GATTTTCATAACTTCGGAGAGCGTTCCTCGAAATTATGGTTTTTGAGTTGTGCCACTGTACTATTCAGTGAGCAATATTATCTTTTAAAATCAAAAACACATTAGCAATCTATGGTAGACACGACCCGAACGCGCATTGCAACTTTATTCTCCCCCCCCCCCCCCCCCCACGTACACATTTCTCCGTGACAATATATTCTTAACGAAATATTATGAACCTTATGTTCCGAGAAAGAAGACCACATCTTCAATATAAAATATTCAGGTAACTTCCGTAGAGATAGTTAGTATCTGTACGGAAACGAGCTATTCCAAATCAGAAACGGTCCGCTCATTAGGTTTAGAAGTCGTTTTTGTTGAATAGAGAAAATTTCGCTGTAGCTGACCGGAATAAATAACCTAATTTACGCCGGACGACAGACGTTCGTTAGATTTATACATCGAATAATATTATCTATAAACATAATTTCGTATTGAACACAGCAACTTATTGCTTTTATTTTATTTTTCATATTAGAAAAATAATAATGACTAGCTTTTATATATGTATTCATCTAACAAATTGATGAGGTAAACTTACTTCAAAATTTATTCCCTACTAGCTTTCCGCCAACGACTTTGCCCGAGTAGCCCTCTAATTTGCTATATACCTTCCTCTTGAGTCACTCTATACATTGATGAAAACGCAATAAAATCCGCTGTGTAGCAGACAGTGGGAAGCGACTTTATATTATACTACATATGCATATATAATATGTATAAAAGCTTGTTTTAAGAAATATATTTTTTACTTTTTTATTTATTTTATCGTAGTCTTTCATTTAAAACCTTTCATTTAATACTCATATAAGCAATAAAAAAAGTCCTCAAAAGTAGGATAAAAAAGAATAAGTTTTTTTTATATTTCATCTTTGATTGTCCCACTCAGTTACGTCAAACAAGACTAAACGTACCTTACAAAATGGCTCGATCTACAAGATACCGACTATTAACTGTAAATGGTTTCAGAAACAATATAGTCCACTTCACGACAATTAACAGAATAGAAACTCATTTTGATCAATTTAAAACATTCATTGAATGATCAAAATGATTCAGATATGTCGTAATTACTATACAGGTACTATATAACAGAATCATAAATACTTACATAAATTCAATACTTACTTATATGTCTATTCTAGCTAACCCATCTCTGTAGCTGGAGTTACTAAAACGGCTAAACGATTGAGTCTAACTGGGAATAATATCAATAAAATAATTTCTATGCATGATAACAGTTAGGTTGGGGAACCTATGTTAGGTCTGGCTATAGTAAATAAAAAGTGTAAATTTTAAAGAAGACTTCGAATTCAAATTAGGAAAATGTGTAATTTTCATTTGTTTTTTCTTACTGTCAAAATTAGTAAATCTAATGAAGAACTTAGATACATTTTAAATTTTTATTATAAAAAGGTAAAAATGCAACGTATGCCGCGGAATCGATTTTTGTTGTTTATGAACCTAGTGCAGTTTCTGTGATAGTTGCACAAATTTGGTTTAAGCGTTTTCAGCCCAGGAATTTTGATGTTAAAGGTGTACTTCGCTCCAGTCACTCTGTTACGAATAAAATGAATGCCATTTTTGAGAAACTGAAGCAAGATCGGCATATCAGTAGTTACGACGAAGCTGAGCTCACTGAAAAAACCTAATGAACCGTGTACTCTTTTGTGATTCTTTGTTGCGGTGTAATTAATAATTATTTTTGAAGAAGCTGCTAGCTGGTGATGAAAACTGGATCACATAAGACAAGAACATGCGAAAAAAAATCGTAGTCAAAGGTCGGTCAGACTTTACAGACTGTGGCGAAACCCGGGTTAACTGGCAAAAAGGTGATGCTGTTTATATGGTGGGAATAGAAGGGCATTATTCATTATGAGCTGTTACCGCCAGGCAAGACTATCGATTCTGAACTCTACTGTGAACAACTGATGAGATTAAAGCAAGAAGTTGAGAGAAAGCGGCCAGAATTAATCAATAGAAGGAATGTGGTTTTTCATTAAATGAAGAGAGTTTGGCTGGGAGGTGTTAATGCATCCGCCATATAGTCCTGACCTTGCATCTTCAGATTTCTACCTGTTTAGGTCTCTTCAGAATTCTTTAGGCAATTCCAGGTAAACATCACGTAAGGATTCTTAAAACAACTTTTCGCGGTTTCTTGATTAGAAGCCCCAAAATTTCTAAAGATTTTATCATGTCCCTACCTACAAGATGGCAAAAAGTTATCGAACAAAATAGTACCTACATATTTTAGTTAAATGAAAGTAAACTTTATTAAAAATGTTTAGAATTATAATCTTAATGAAAAATGCTTCAAAAATCCAGTTTGTCCCCGGCATTCTCAGATGGGACTTAAACCCATGAACTTGGACCCATGGATTGCTAAAAAATATTTTTTAATATCATTATGACTACGTTACATAATGTAGAAGAGTATAGTTGTGACATATTTGAATGTTACTTAAAAGGTGTTATTAGTTTTAGTAGCTCTTATATTTGTTTTGTCAATAAAAGCATTCTGAATTGTTTAACTTTTTATTTTCCATTATTTAACATAACGACGCCGTTTACGCCGCCATTTACGCCGCCACCACTAAATTTTTAGCTCCACGCCGCCGCCGAAGATTTCGGCATCGGCGCACATGCCTAATATGTACATAATCTTACTTTACGAAATTTAACAAAGACAAATTAAGCCTACCTATACATATCTAAATATTGCATTATTACCCTATTTTTAATCTACTATATTGGTGAATAATACAGGGAGACAAAAATAAAATACATATTTTGCAAACAGCAACTCCTGCAAAATGGTTATCTCTTACGAAGGAAATGTAGCAAGGTTTATTTCTCTCTCGGATCATTTATCAAGTCCCGGGTCGAGCAACAAATATTGTGGTCCCGTTTTTATTGAGAAGTATTCGTTTCGTTTCCGTACTGCGAACTTTTTCCACCTATTTTTGCAACAACACCGTTCGGCACAAATCAAGATAATTTAAACACAAATCAATGTAACTTTAAGAACTAACTTAACTACTGAGTATCATAAATATTATTTTTTTGTAATAGCAACTTAGTTTCTTAGTCAGTACTTTTAAATTTCTAAATATATCTACGTGATGGATATTTAATCTTGACGACAATCATAGAAAAATAACACCCACGATATTTTTTAAGGACTTCAAAATCGAAAAGGATAACGTAATATGTTCGATCTATTTTTATGTATGTTCACTGATTTTTGAACAAATTGTTGTTTCAGTAATTCTATTAGAAAACATTATTCAATTTCAGACAACTGTACCCTTGTTTACCTGTGTTATCGATTATCTAAAATACTATTTTCAACTTAATATACATTACTAAATTTATGATAAACAGAACTAAGTTTAATACGCATTTATCTATAAATTGATTATACAAAAATAAAATGGAGACATCAGATTTATCAAATTGTTGTAAATTATTACTAATCCAGGGTATCACAGATAATCTATGCCTGGTAGTTTGTATGAATAAGTCGTGTGGTTTATAAGCTTATAACGATTAAGTTCATGTATTTATTATTTAACTCATCTAAAATTTTAATATTTCATCTTCATTGTTATTATGCTATAAAATATATTATACATATTGGACGACCATTTTTCTTTAAGTTTTCTAGAATTCCTGAAAAATCTTTTGTGTTTTCTTTTTACAAATTTTTCATTCCCTTTCCAAAGCATAATTTTCCTTTTTTATTTTGGACTTGACAAGCACACTCGAAGTGATTCGTTTATTGTTAAATATTTCAGACGATAACTAATTCAAAGAGCTAGTTTAAATACAAAAAAAATATCGCTAATAACTCCATATATTGTCACAAGTTCAGACAAGCATTGTGTACTTAAATGTTAACTTCGCTCAGGTGTATTTATCTTGCTAAGTTACTTTGCTCCAGAGCGGTGTTAAGTCCAAGATAAGTTGCTTTTAGTGCGCTCAATAGTATTATCTTATTTAAATTTCTCAGATTGTAGAGTTAGAACTTAGGTAAACGACAAGATTATTTTCATGCATCGATAATATTTACTTAAAAAAAGGAATAATAGAAAAAATATTTGTCACAAAGTGAATGCTAAAAAATCACCAGACCCAGGCGCCTGAAATGGGAATTGAACTATATATAGCCTTTCGAATTCTTGGCGATTTATTACCTTCGTCAATAGTGAGCGTATTTTCATCAATGTTCAAGAAATCCACCTTTTTTTCTTTAAGATATAACAACTAATACAACATTGTGAGTACTAAAATTAATTAAATATAAAGAAGGAAAATGTAATCCAATTACTGATTACGATTGCAATAGATATCTTTGTAAGGATGTGAAACTAAAAACTAAAAAATCAGGTTTTGATCTATCGTATAATATAAACATAATTGGTGTAAGTAGATTTCTAATTATTATTTTCGATATTTAGTATTCGTAATATATTAAACATAAAGAACAATTTCAGGTATCTACTTAAAAATACTTAAAACATTTTATGTAGTTATCCTCAGTCGATTAAGCATTTTTGTATACAGGTTTAGTTTAGATAACAATGTCTGTTAGCTTATTTACATAATTACTTAGTCTCTAATATGGCGGCTTAATTATTTTTTATGTACTGATGATATATTCAAAATATATATATTTTTCTATCCAATTTCATTTAAACCACACAATTTATAATAACTTATAAAATACTGATCGTTGTAAATGTTGATCCAATCATCCACTGTGTGAATGATATATTTAGAAAGCTTAACGTAATTGATAATTTACATAGAAAAAAGAATGGATTAAATATTATTATTTATTAATTCGTCAACGTTACACTATCTATATTTAATGATAAAATTAAAAAAGTAAATTCAGTATATAAACATCGATTTTAACAATATTTTATCATTAACGTATTAACAGGCACCCAATTAAAATGAAAGTTATTTTGCTATTACTTTTTCTTAGTATTTATACACAAGTTCATCATGCAAATACAGAGGAATATTTAGAAAGCTGGCACGAATCTGTTGGTATTAAAAATGCCAAAAAAATCAAGGAATATGAAGATATATTATATCAACGCATTGTCGGAGGAGCGATCGCACCACTTAACGCACACCCATATTTGGTTGGCTTACTAATAGACTTATGGGGATCTCCCTCTTTGTCAGCCTGTGGTGGGTCACTCCTAACATCTAACAGAATCTTGACAGCTGCGCACTGCTGGTACGATGGCAGATTTCAAGCAATGCGATTCACCGCGGTCCTCGGTTCACCGTTCCTTTTTCATGGAGGATTAAGGATCACACCGGACAGGATTTCAGTCCACTCTCAATACAATTCGAGAACGTTCGCCAATGATATTGCTATGCTCTTCACACCGATAAGAATCGCGTACACGCATAACATTCAACCGATAAGTCTACCTCACGGTGAAATGTTGAATGAGAGCTTTGAAGGCGAATGGACCTTAGCGTCCGGGTACGGGAGGTATTCCGATATAATAAATCCTTCGACGAACACTATGGCAAGACACGTTTCACTTAAAGTGATTCCTTTGGCTCATTGCAGAGTTTTCTATGGCAACATTGTGCTAGACTCCAACATTTGCACCAACGGATATGGAGGTGTAGGGATCTGCCAAGGAGATTCTGGAGGTCCTTTAATTGTCAATCGTGGTGGACAACCAATTTTGATTGGTGTCAGTTCATTTGTGGCTCTCGATGGTTGTGAATTAGGATTTCCATCAGCATTCGCTCGAGTTTCCACTTACATCAATTGGATCCGTCAACTATTATAAGCCTTATAATTATATCAAATCTCATTTTTCTGTATCTATAATTGAATATTTTGATAATTTTATAAAAATAAATTGATCTCCCTTTATTATCATTATTTTAATTGTATTTGCTACTTGAGGTTTATATTACTTAATAACGAAATAAAAGAATACAGTTTATTATGCTTAGAGTAAATAAAATATACTATGCAGTGAAAGTACTCCGTAGTTGAGTGGCTCACCCACCATTTTCAAAAGGTCGCCATCTTTCATCATGTTTGATTCCCGGTCTGGTCAATTTTTTTACGTTGTCTATGATCTAGGTGTTTTAGCACCTTCATTGTTAAAGATATTTAATATCTTAAAACTTTAACTATTTATCTTAAACGATTTATGTGATCAATTTGTAATTAAAGTCTCTAAAACATTATTCTCTATCACTAACAAAAAAGCTGTTGAATCTTGTACGTATATCTAGCAATGACGCCAACTTACTGCAAATTTACACACTAATAACTTGATACAAAATTTTCGGTTACATAATTTGTCCTTACAAAAACCTATGTTGAATGCAAATAAATTTATGGCCAGGTTCAAGCATAATCATAAATTTTTTGTTTTTTTTAAACGTGAAGATAAGTTTTTTTTTTTAAATACATGAAATTAAACATGGAACTCTTGAATTGAAATCTTATTAATAACTTTATTATATATGAAAAGCTTATATAAAATTAAACCTTAAACTTCTGAAAAAAAATTACTTTGAAAATTGCGAAAGTTTCGAATCACATTTCGGGTACCGGAAACTGACAAAATTTCAAATATTCTTTCTAGAATATAAATATCAAATACCATTCTATATATTAGATATAAAAACATACTTATACTATATTTTTGAAATTTTTCTGACAAAAGAAATAAAATGACCACTTTTCGACAACACGGATATAAGTTTTAAGGCCACGTGCTTTTTATATATATTACCAAATATTTATAAATATTTACACAATACGAACCGAGAGTTAATAAAATACAAAACAATAGAAATTAGCATTGAGCATTACAGATACTGACTGAAATCCAATTTAATCCACAATTCGGGGCAATCGTGGACAGGAAGTCAATAGAATCCGGGTTTTGGAGGGAGGTCGTATCAGGAAATTCGCTAATGGATGACAAATACCTCATTAATGATGTATAACCGTTCGTATAACCTTAAAATGCTTAAATATGTGATGATTAATTTAAATAAGTAATAACCTAAGTCACAAATTATTAAATGACGAAACAAAATATGAAATGAATTTATGACAAATCTCTCACGTTTTTATCTCAGATTTTAATATTCTTTACTGTTTCATTAAAATTTCTAATTAATAAATTTGATCCATTTGGCATTCACAATGCTATACTGGAAAATATTCTTATGAAAATGTTTAAAAGATCCACTTTGTCCTTGGTACACTGAAATGGAATCTCCGTGTACTAGGGACAATGCGGATTTTTCCAGCATTTTTCATTTAGTATTAAAATTCTCATTTTAACTAAATGAGAATTTTCAACAGTCAACACCTTCTTGGACTATTCTAAATTGTTAGATTTCTCCTACTGACTATAAGCTTTAATGTGCTAAAAGTTAAGTTACAAATCGTACCTATGCAAAAAAATTACATTTATATGTTAAACTAATCTGTGAGAACTAAAATTAGATAATGACAAAAAAGCAATCGACAGTGAACATTGGTTAAAGGATTATTTACACAAACCAAATACTAACAATAAATATTTGTGATGTAGACGTCTGGCTTCATAGTTCAATTTATTTCATTCGTGATTTTGTCGGTAAGAAAGAAGTAATAATTAATTAAAGTTCAAACTAGAAAACACGCCAAGGGTTAGATTTGAGCTGGAGTCATAAATCACTCACATTTTCATAAAAAAAGTAATCAATTCCTAAAAAGCAGCCTTTATTAAAAGTACACAACAATTAATAAAATTGAAATCAGTGGGCCAACTAGAGCCAACCTCCGTTAGCCAAACAGTTTTAATTGGATTTTTGTTTTAAAAATATAAACTTTTTTGTGGTAGATCTGAATCGGTATTATTAAAAAACACATATATTATTGGATTACGATTATGAGTAATATCATAATCAATAATAATAGCATTTCAAATCAAACACAGTTCAAACCACAGAACACAGAAAGGTTCAAACACAGTGAGAGCGACATTGCCTACTTATCCCTTTGTGGTTTCTGCGAATCGGAGCCGCTCTTTTCTTTGTTAACCGGCTAAAGAACCCATGTATTTATAGACATAGAGCTAGTAACAAAATGTGCAAAAACTTTCTATAGGTTGATGTTTTAATTGAAGTACTAAGGATAAATAACATGATGTATACAACACTCAGTATCCAGTGCAGAGACCAGGTGCTGGAACACCTAGTGGCGGCGGCACTATATAAACTTCTTACATTGCTGAATATGTTTGTTCCATTATTTAAGTAATAAAAAATTTTTTTACACCAACTTGTGATATCTGCTGATTTACCGCTTTTAACGATTTTGCAATATGAGAAGTTTAGTCTACATTTTTATATTAAGAATTAGTTTTTTGCTAATTTAAATTATGCCAATTATAACGAAAATGCCTTTAATATGTGTTACAATTATACTTTACTCCGTACCGGGTATTGACACATGAATTTTTGCACATACTGAAGTTGAAGTATCAACCTTTATAAAACTGCATATTTTTGTCACGAGTTCTCAGTCTATTATAATAATTATACTTCTAGATCCTCAAAAGCATCACCCTCGCATCGACTTCCCGACACATTACCTTAGTTTTGGAGAGACTCTGCGCGCCAATTGCACCACCGCGCCTGCGCTCCCAGCTCCTCATGTTACCTGGTTTATTAATGGGAAAAAGGTAATTTCATATTTTACGATACCGGCCAAAATCTACTGGGTCATAACTCATATTACACTTTTCGGCAGCGATATCTTTTTGTGCGAGGCTTTGAATGCTTTCACTGAATATTTTAACTTCGCTATTTTATGGATAAGGAATCTCCGATAGCGATTTATTATTTCAAAACCAAAGTAACAAGCTATATTAAATAAGAAATAGGTGGCACACCTCTAACATCTCTCACTCGTTATCCTAAAAAATCAGCGTAAAGGCATTAAAGGTTATCAAATTCCTTCAATTAGTCTAGTTTATTTTAAAGAGAAAACATACTTAACTTAAAATATTATTGAGATATTATGTCTCCTTAAAAACCTTAGATAACAAATATCTAAAGTACTAAGTTAAGAATATTTAATAATTAATATTTTTATTATTACCCAAATCAAATCAATCCAAGATCGATCAAATTAAAATCGCCGGAAAGACAGATTATGAATAACAGATCAGATAAAATCGATATTATATCTTGCAGATGGATGAACTAGCCACTCACTCTCATAAGTTCAGAGTACCAATGAGTGAAAGAAATGGTAGGAGGGGTCTCCAACGTCCATTCGAGTATGAGTTCGGTGTGAGCAGTCCATCTCCTCTCCTCGCCCTTACGCACGCATCTCACGTCGCTACTCGACCTCCCGGATGCAGCCTGAAGGAACACGAGGTAAAAATAAGACCGGATAATTACCACATCATCGCCATCACTGATCCCATTGATGGAGTAAAGGATGGTATAAAATAAGGAGAATGGGCCTTGATCCACCACGCGGGGTCAGTGCGGATTGGTGGATTAACTATTGCACATGCAGCCCAGACCAACTGCTAATGAAGCACTAAAGAGCGATAGTAGATTTTTCGTCACCCATCCTGTGACCGGCCCTAACGAAAGTTGCTTAAACCCCGCATCGCCGACCGAACGCGCCATCGAGCTCCTGTCACCGGATTCTGCAAAATACAGTTAAAGAACACACTAATGATCCACTAAATTGTATTTGAACATAATATTATTGTATTATTATCTTAAACATTTTTTTTATCTTGATCCGCGTATGATGTAGCTTCCCCTCAGTCAAAGAATTTTCATGTTCTGGTCAGTGTATCTGAAGATTACCCCCTACAAATAAACAAACAAAATTAGAAACTCTACCTCTTTATAATATCATATTACATATAATAATATTAAAGAGAGCAAGATTTGATTGATTGTTTGTTTGTTTGCAACGAAAAGGCTCCGAAATTACTGAACCAATTTTAAAAGTTTTTTTACCTACGAGAAACTACATTATATACGATGCACATAGGCTATATTTTATTTTGAAAAACAGCAAATAAAGAGTTAAAAATGAGAGTGGAGGTTTGTATAGGGAATTGAAACGTTACCATAATAACCATTGTTTACTATTCAATTTGTCGTTGTACTTATATCCGTCATGGTATGAATCGATATCAAAATCAACAGTTCCTTAGGGACCACGCGGACGAAGCCGCTGGCAGGAAGCTAATTTATATTATAAAAAGGAAATATTTGATTGCTTGTTTGTTTGCATTGGATAGGCTCTGAAATTGTTCAACGGATTAATAAAAGTCTTTCATCTACGGAAAGCTACATAATACGCGGAGGACATGGCTTTAATTTACGCGGGCGAAGTTGCAACGAAACCGCTAGTTATAAATAACTCAATAGGGTTTTAATAATCTCCTTATTTTTTTTTATTTCTCCTTAATTATAATTTATAAGTCCGAAGAGACTTTCTTAAATTACGTTCTCATAAATTCAATAACTATTTAGGTACTTTGGTAATTTAATAAAAGAAAATTAACATGAAATAGCAATTTCGTCACCTCACTATATAATTATCTAATTAAATAACCCTATCCTTTGTTTACTGCACAACTACCGGTGCCGCTAATTAACTCTAGGCCACATGCTTATTTTGTTTGCTATCCATTCTCATGGAAATTACTTTTATGCAAATTATTTCATTAAGTTCGCATGTGCGCCACCCAATGGAAATAAACTTGCACGAAAATAGAGTACGTTATGTAAGTATGAATTTTTCACGGCCGAAGTCTCACTATCTTTTTTTCTCTACGATCAGAAACACTGTTGACTAAATTTAACATTGAAATCTGAAGTTACCCTGTATATATATTTTAGAATTTATTAAAAGCATCATTATATTTTATAAATTTTTCTACAAAAAAAAATCTTTATATTACCCATAAAATCCGTAATGTTTTACGAGTAACTAATGAACAAAAAATTCTACGCGCAATTCGCATTTGCTAGACGCAATGAGATAGACAGGGACGTAGGACAGACTTTTATCTTAACGCACTACCCGTATAAGGTACAACAGATACTGACCAATTCCAGATTATATTTTTTGTCATCCAACTCCACAATCACGAACACGTTAACTACTCCACCATTAATTCCTCGTAGATATCTAGAATCAACGTCACGGAATACTCAAGCATCAAAGTAATATTGTGATTTCAGTTGTCCGAATTGAACTTGCACAAGGAAACTAACTCGGTGCACTCTAGCAGCCGTCACAGGAGCCGCAGACCTAGTCGTGGACGGGACCTGTACGTGACGGTGTCCGAGCTACACATGATAGCCACCGGCCGCATGGAGATCACCTGTGTCAGCACCATCCCCGAGTTTAGGAATAAGGAAGACAAGTTCGCCGACGTCAGAAATGATACTGTAATAGGTAATATATATATTTTTTTTAACTCTCATTATTTTTCCTAAAATTAGAACAAATTTTCATCTAAGTCCAAAATATTTCTTACGGCTGTTTAGATCGATTGCCTGAACATTGATGAAAATAAGCTCACTGTTAGCGAAAAAGTAACAAGTGCTTGAAAAATTCGTCCGTCCTGCTGGTTCTCGGATATCTCAATTGTTAGATCAGTCGCCTCTGTATTTATTTTTCTTATAATCTAGTTTAAAAGTTTATTTTAAAGTAAATAGTGATCGCGATATCTCGGAATAATGACACTTATCTGACTAGTAAATTCCATCTTAAAATCCAAATTGACATATAAATTCAAAATTCATGAATTTATAGTGAAAAGAATAATGATTAGGTTACACTTTATTTACCCGTGACTGTAGCCAATATTCAACTTATATTTTTGGGTTTTAAAAAAGAAAACTATCTGCTTCCAGCCCCAAACTGCATATTTTATGTCCAATCTTCATCATCATGTACAATATGTATAACAGATAAACAAAGGTCTTCCAAATGAAAAAGATAGGAAATATACTATGATCCAGAATGCATAAGTGAAAATTAAAAAGTTTAGTAAATTCACCTTAAAGGAAAAGGGGGGGGATTATAAATATATATTTTACAGTTGAAACCAGTTTTTAGATAGAAGGCGTTCTTCCTAATTAAGAATAGTTTTTGTTTTAAATGCTTTTGTTAAAATTAAAACGATTCCAAACTATATATATTTGATTTTCAGATACAACTTGTTGTCGAGCTTTAGTTAAAACTAGTACTACAGAAACTAATTTGGGATTAAAAACATAATATAGTTTCGTATTGAATCACACCAAAGAAATAAACAATCATTGAGTTAGATAAGGTTAGAACTGTGACTAAAACAAAGCAGAGCGAGCGCCTTATAAGTTTTGTATTTATCAAATTCTATAGAGTAACAACACCTTAGGTTATACAAAACTATGAAAAGATTTATTATTATTATAAATTACTACGTCAATCTTGATGTTAAATCGATAAAAAATGGTATTTAGCTAGTTAGTTAGAAGTTACGAATTTCCTTATTATCGGCCAAGATTAAACCACGTGAACTAAGTTGCGGGCAGAAAACTACCGTGTAAATATGAAATAATAAAAAGACATAAAAAAATATTTATGAAAAGCTAAAACTAAAAATATATATGATAATATTAGAGGTAAATACAGAAATACAGAAAACTGGGAAATTTCCGGCTATTTGAACGGGGTTTATCGCGTAGGGCCTCAGCCGCAGATAATGTCACATTATTTCACAACTTTACCCACTCTTACCTCTCTTTGGACGTAATTGTTCGACCCGTACTTTATCCATATAAATGAGCTAACAATTTTCTCCTCGCAATAAAAAGGAGAACTTCTTTGAAGTGACTATTTGCGAACTTCACACATTCCTATATTTGTGTTAACACGTAGGATGTTTCTTTTAGTTTTACTCGATTATGTACTAGTCTAAACAAAATAGGATCCACTTCGTTTTCTCAGTCTGATTTATGTATAATGTACCTATATTTTGAGAGTTCCTCGTTACCTCGAAAGGAAAAAACGGAATCCTTATAGGATCACTTTGTTGTCCGTCCGTTTGTCAAGACTCTTTTTCTAAGAAACGCATGGAGGTATCAAGGTGAAATAAAAATAAATCAAATTCTCAGGTGTACTGTCCCTTAGAGTGGTGAAAAATTCTAACTTCTAAGCCAACCCAAGCAAAAGATACAACCGTTTAAACCGCAAATTTTAGTTACATCATATTGTAAAAATATTTGTAATAAATGCCTACAGGTTTGTACGGACCCCTCGATGCGCGAGTCTTATTCGTACTTGGCCGGTTTTTTCATAATATAACCTTATTTAAATAAGATTCATGAACAAACAATGGAAAGTTGTTTATTTTACATAAGTACCTACACGTAACAATGTTAATGGAAGATATTGATAAATTTAAGACAACAAACCACTCTGTGCTCTGTGATCAAAACCATTGAGTTGGTACTAGAGTTTTAAAATTCCGTAAGCAAAAATTGTTCCGAACATAATTACCTACACAATTGAAACTTGGTAGGTACGCTTCATTAAGATAATTCAAAAATTAAGGGGACTCCCCATACACGGAACGAAAAAAGCTCTAATCTCATTGATGACAACTTAGTAAATATCTATTTTTTTTCTCCCAATTTTGTTCATTTATATCTTCATATGTGAACAAACTTAAATCATACTACCTATTTATATTGTAGTGAACTTGTACCAAATAGGTTTGTATTATGTATAAAAACTCTTTAAATAAATTAAAATATATATTTTTGTTTTGTTCCAGTGGATGTAATCAAGCCATCAACATATTTACAACCAACAATCAACTTAACCACACCAGAATCCAGTAGTTCAGAAGGCAGCATCTTCCTTCCATCTATTATGCATATATTCCATTGTATCATTATTCTAATACGAGTTCATGTTGCTTGATAGAGGTTAAAATAATTTAAATTATTTGGGCTGTGATATTTCCATTCACTTATTAAAGTAAGGGTAAATCTTTTAGAAGCTTCGTACATTTTATAGTAAGTGATTAATGTCAATATTTTATTTTCAGTTTTCTTATTATTAATGTAGTTTATTTTTCTTTTATACAAAATAATTAACGAGATTCTAATTAAACAAATAATATAATATATTTGAAAAGATCAGAGAACATGGCTGAAATATCTATGGGTAAATAATGTAACTTTAGAAATCAAAACTATAACAAACGTTGTAATAATTTCAGTTGTACTTCTTGTAATTAACCTATAAGATAACATATATAGGCCTTTTAAAACTATATCTACCTATATGGCTTGTATGTTATATGGATACACAGAAGAAGAAAAAATTCCAATATTATAAAAAAAGGTTTCACATCTACTTTTTAACTTTCTTTAAAGTACCTGTTGTAGCGTCAAATATGTACGAGACCGTAACTTCGAGTATTTATGTTATGTATATTACTTTATAGACACTATATTATGATGAGTAGTCGATGTTACACTCACCTAAATACCGGTTTTTGATAGAAGTATTTTTGATATTATGAAAGTTACCAATTTCTATTATAACACAACCAACCCAGACTTTCACTGTATACAACATGATTAAGTACTTACTACCTTATAGTTTTAACTTTGATTTTTATAACCAATGGTCAATTATTGAGGGAAAGTCTCAATTACCGCTATTGTGCCTACGTCATATCTCCTTGGAAGTACTATAATATTGTTACTAAATAGTACTTATTACTTAAAACTTGCTTACTTATTACTAAAGTTCTAATCATAAGAACTTGCTTACTTGTAATAGTTTTAGTTCAATTTATCATAAACCAATTGCCATTTATTATTTTAAAAATCCCATAGACCTGAATTTGTATCATTATAAAAGCACAAGAATTGTCTTGCGCTTTTATAATTGCTATTATAATCACCAACTCTTAGCAACATTTTTCTTCTTCTGTCGGAATTAATTTGATAAACTTCGTAAGTTTGATGCAATGAATTTAATTTGATATATTTGAGTTATTCTTAAAGTACTTACCTAAATGAAATATTGCTAGTAACAAAATTATTTTCGTTCAATCCATATTTTCAAAGGATAATGAATATTTCATGCTCGCAATAACCGCCCACAAGATAGACAGGGTTATTTTAGAATCATGGCAAAAGATAAATATGAGAGGCATAAAATATATCGATATCTAATCCAATACTCATTCATGACCTGAAAGTCCATACATTATTTTTTTATGTTATATAAATGACCAAACATATCACTATGAAACTCAAACTTAATTACCTAAGTAGATACTAAAGTTTTAATTATAGGACTGAAACGATAATTAGGTGGATAAGTAAATACCTATACTGTATGAAGATTTTCACATTTTTTTTAAACTTAACAATATGCAAATCCACTCCAATTTACATTTACTTATTGCTGTTAACATTATATTAAATATTACTGTGTATAATTCCTACCTGTGTTTGAACATGAACTGCTATCATAAAAATAAAAAAATGCTTACAAAATTCAACAGTCCCATGTGCCCAACATTGGGATTAGAGATTGAAAATAGTAGGTAATTTTATTAAATATTGGTTATAAACGAACGGATAATTTTAAGGGTTCTGTATCAAAAACGTAAAACTGAACCCTTATTAGATCACTAGGATGTCCTAAGTCTGTCATATATGATTTCTTCTGAAACTGGACTGGGGCGAACGCTTATCTCTATAGCCATGATTCTAACCATAGGATACGAAATCTTATCCATATTATGGCGATATTTAAATTCATCTTACTTCTTTGATATATATTACCAATTTATCCACCAAAAGACGTGTCAAAGTAGTAACTTGAAACGAAAATATCATCATAAAATCGTTAAGATATCATGTCCTAATACTAGAATCAAAGCTAGAGAGTAAAGGCGGTCGCACCCCTGAACCAATTGAATTAATATTTGGCAATTCGATGACGTGCCGTATAACATAAACATGGATATTTATGTTATACGATACATAGATAGATTAGAAAATAAAGAGTAGCCAACTATCCAGTTGCACAAACGTTCATTACGATTTTAAGCTCTAATCAATGCTATATATTTGAAAAGTATCGGGAATGACGCCTTAAACTAATGACAATTTTTATGAACGTTTGTATAAATGCGTTGTGACATTTTTTATAAACAGTTTAGAAGTTATCTAATAAAATAGAAGAAATTTCCCCGAAGCACGTCACTACTTAATCTAAATTTAAAAAATATATTACAGGCAAACCTATAACAAAATTTTGTTATTATGATTCTTAAAATTTAATATCTATAGATTCATTCTGGTAAATTCCCTTAACTTTAAACTAAGTAGGTAATACTGAGTACTTGCGTCACATAACAAACATCGATAGAGTAAATAATATATTTCAATATTGCATAAAACATTATGTTTGGTCTAATTACAACAATACAAAACAATCAATTATAAAAAAAAAAAAACTTGCATTTTGTATATTATTAGTGTCATTATAATTAGAACTTCCGTACGAAATGTGACGAAAATAATATTTTCTGAAAACTGAAACTGAACAAAATTATATATATCCTTTGCTATTATGATTTTTCATTGCATTTGAGATTCAAGGGAACAATATAATTTTAAGAAATCGTTTGTAATTAGAGTTAGGAGCTTAATAATATTACTTTATAGGTGATTCAAATTCAAGAAAGTGAGACTACCGTTTTTTGTATATACCGCTATATTTTGTATTTTCCCGACTAATCCAACTCGTGTGCCCGATTTGTGAAGTTAGTTCAATAACTCTTAACCTTATTTATTATTTTACTTAATTATTTTCTTTAAGTATTTGAAGTTCCTTAATAAGTTATAGGTATTTTACTTACCTATCTACGTAGGTACCTACTACATTTAACATTTTTTTATTATATATACGTAGGTAATTAAGTGAAATTGTTAAAAAGGCTTCCTATAATAATATCAGTAACCAATACATATCATAATTGACCTCTTTGATAGTTATAATGTTCGCATAGATGTTACCTACTACATAAGTCGTTGTAGATATACAAACATGGATCTTCTTGACATCATACTCCTTTGAAAAAATTAAATTAACTGTATATATTATATTCACTTTGTTAATAGTCGTAAAATAAAAGATTTTGAAATATAAACGTTTGTTTTTATCCTTTTGCTTTCCTTTTATTAAACTAGGTATTTTATCTATTTATTTACTCTTTATTCAAAAACGTAATACGGCGGACTAAATGCCTGAGGAGTACCAGTCAACTTTAAGGTGATGTGGAGCAAAATAAGTGGTAAGGTGCACAGTTGCAAACAATATGGCAACTGAATAAGACTAAATTACATAAGATCTCTAACATAGGTTAGGTATACATACAATATAATATAGAAACATAAATATAAATACTATGATTCAAACTAAAAGAATCTGCTTGCTCCAAAATGTAGCTACGTGATTTTTTAATTTTATAAATCCTCGATATTGACAATATCTATTATTCACTAACAAAAGCATAAGAATGCTTTAATGTAATAAGAAAATAGTGAACGATTTAATAGAATTCATAGAATTGTAACGAAACAGTGTAATTAAGTAATTTGTCGTTAAAAAACCTTCATTACAATAAGTGTATAAGGATTTGGGCGTTCGAATCAATATTAAAAATCCATCTAGTCTAATAAATTTCTTTATTATAAACAACGTATTTATTTATAAACATAACACTTTAATAAATATTTACAGTTAAAGTGCAGTAGTATAATGTTTGGTGCATTACTGACGGCAAATCCGTCGCGTGTCATTTGTCCTTGAACATTACAACTGAACAAATATATAATACTAGCGGTTTTCCCGCGACTTTGCCCGCATAAATTATAGCCTATGTTGCCCGCGTACGCTGTAGATTCCCGAAGGTGAAAGAATTTTCAAAACTGGTAAAGTAGTTTTGGAGCCTTTTCGATGTAAAACATAACAAAAAAACTTTCATTGTTATATTACTATATGATACCATTCAACTTTCCACACTCGACGAATAGACTTCGACATTTTAGACATCTTCAATAAAGTACATCACACACAGCGCTCGCAATAAATATATTTTTAAATCTGAAGTAAACAAAACGCGTAGTTCTTAACATTATTATCACTACTAATTACATATTTTGTTGGTAAAAATAAAAACATTATGAATTATAACATTAACGCCATCACTTGTAAGTCACAAAAATTAAACCTTGATGTTTTAACTTGAAACACTATCGCATATACCTACCACAGTTGCACCACCAGTATTAATGTATTGTCTATGGTTGCACTGTTCAACACAATGTAGCGTGCTGCATTCTATCATTTATTCAGCTTACAATTTGAAGAGACCATAAAACACATCTATTGTTTGGAAAGTTTAATTCATTTGCTTGCAAAAAGCTCGTTAGTCAGTTTTTCATTAATTGCTCTATGCGACGTATAAATAACATTTTCTAGTGTACCGATACTTTAATTGACAATATAATACATAATATATGTGTCGGTTTTAAGTTACCTAATTTCACGTACCAATATTTAATTTTATTTTTGGATCATAATTTTACCAAGGGTTTCTCTTTGTGAATATAACCAATCATTATTTTTCTACTAATAATAGGAAAAAATTGTTGAAAATAAAAATATTGATGGGCAAATCAAAACAAATGAATATTAAATGAAAATTGCAATCGTTAAATGGGCCCATGCCACTAAAGGACAGGATATGTACATATCTGTATTTTATTTCTATTGAACTATAAATTGAAATGACAAATTTCCATTAATTAATATTCTGATACAATATACCCCATACTTTTGAAAACTTTTAGCCCATTATAGGAATATATATTACATTAAATTATTTAATGTTCGCTATTAAGATTTCTAATTAGCTAGATAAATATTTCACTCAAAATAGGAATGGTTCGTGCATGCTTACATTCTCGGAATGGGTTAAGCCTGTAACGATAGTATGACTTTTAGAAAAAATAAAATAAATAATGTTGCTAACAAGGAAAATAAATGCTCGCTCGATAAAATGGGTTTGAAATGCAGATAATAATCTCTGGAAATATACAGTTTATCAAGTCTACTGTGTAATATTACTAATATTTCAATGTGAATTATATACTGTGTACATTGTAACATTATTGAAGGTATAATACATTACATCTACTTACGCCTTAAATTGGTAATGGTTTACAAATATATTTAATATTGAAAATAATGACATAAATTAATGAAAATTGGAATAAATATAAATACATAATTGAAACAAGTACTTGTGCATTTAAGCTAAATAATATTATTATGCAGTGCATTTTAGATAGATACCAGGATACATACCTCACATCCATACAAGCAGATTCCGTAAAAATTCGAACCCGTATTCGAATCAGCTGTCCAGTTCACTTGAAAGCAACATCCGCTTCACTTTCGAAGTAAATTTGGTCACCCGATTGAATTTGAATTCGGGTTTGGATTGTTACGGATTCGCTCAGAGGAATAGCACTTCACTAAAACTTAATACAGACTAAAACCAAACTTCGACTAAGAAATGTACAGGCCGCTGTAAAAAGTAGGGTGTATACTAGGTGAGGTATGTAATGTGGAGGTAGTCTACTCAAGGATAAATTTTAAATAATTTAGTATCAATTTACAAAAAGTAGTGGCAATTCTGTTACACAGACTAAATTTAATTTTAACCTTTTCAAACATTATTTTCAAGAGAAAACTTGTTATCATATAGTATTTAGGAATATAATTATAATTCTTTGGTGGCAAATGACTGTGGAATAATGTTAAACCCAAATTAAAATTACATTATTTAGAGTCGTAAAACAGAACTGATGCCAATTTTTCAGAAAATATAATGTTACAATAAGAGTTGTTTTGCAATACCATTATCACTATTGTCCTTTATTATCAAACTGCTGAACAATCTGATTGGAGACAACTCTAGTAGCTACTGAAGCATTGGGAATAAGAAAACGATCCATATCTTTGATCAACAAGTTATCACCATCTGGAATGCCATATTTAAAGGTTATCAATTCTGGATGTCTCTTTTTGGCTGTGATTTTAACAATAGTTGATAGTGGCCTCCTAGACATGACTTTTCCCATCCCTTTTTTGTTAGGAATGTCTCTTAGAACCACCAAATGTGTTTCAGTAACAATTAGATGTGAATCATGCATATAACCATTAATTAACACCTCTTGGCATGGAAAAGTGCTCACAACATTGTGTTCCTTTATATATGTCTGGATATCAACTGTTTCTTCTAATGATTCACAATCAGCTGTATCTTTTCGACTATCAGAACGGGAGTCATCATCTTCATCATTTATACTGAACACAGGTGGAACATTTCTATATCGTTGTTCTTTCTTATCATTAGCTGATACGTGCCATTCTCCATTATTAATAGTAGCATTTGGATTAACTATATATTCAATAAGTTTTCCTTTGACTTCTTGACTTTTATTTTTCATTGCTGTTGATAGTTTGCTAAATAACTGAATAGCTGGTACATTCTCTCTTACTTTAGTGGTTATTAATGCATGACCTTCATTATTATTATTAGGAGCACAGACTAAACATGTAGAAGGATTGTGTTCTTCTAAGCAATCCGTCATGTGTGGACCAAAATAATCATGTATAGCAACAAAACCACCTTCCAACATAGACACATGTTTAGTGTTACGTTTAAGAAATGATGCGACAACCATATGAGCATAACTATCTTCTTCAGTGCGTCCTGAACCAACAAAACAGAGATGTTCACCAGCTGCAAGTGAACCTGCAGCTAAAGCTTGTCTTTGTGCATTAAGTAGGCCTTGAACTGCGGTATTAAAGGCATTAGGTTCTTGCAACATCAAATTACAATCTAAATGGAAGGCAGTTGATAAATGTCCTGAATTGTACTGCTCAGCAGGGCGGCAATCAACCAAAAAGAATTTCACATTATCCATATCAGACGCATCTACTGTAGCACTTTCAATTAATTCATGTACAGCAACAGGGAGACATAATGCTTGGGAGTAAAGTTTAGAATTGATTTCAACATTACTTTGTGAGAATAACAAATCAATAACATCTTCTCTAAAAGACAATGGTGTTTTTAAGGAATAGTAATGAGCCAATGAACAAAAATCAGATACGTCATTGGCTTCTAAATCAGCTGGCATGTTTTTTAATGTTGCAATTATGTCTGACTTGTCATCATTTTTCATTTGCAGTAGCTGTTCTTTTGCATTGATAATCATAATCAAACACAGAAAAAAAATAAAGAATGGGTCTGATCTCTGAAAATACAAATCCCACATAAAAAGTACCACTTCTAAATTACAAGGACCAGCAAATAATGACCTTAACCATGGTAAGCAATATAGTTCAGGTGTTATTCGTTTTGTATCTAAAAAAGAACACAATTCAGGATCATGATACTGCAGTATCAATCTTAATATATGGAATGGTACACCATTTTTTGTACAGCCTTTTGGAATGTATAGCTTTTGTATTCTTTCAAATAAGTTATATGTATCTGATCTTGGTAATTTCAAACTCAATAATGGTAATAGAATTTCAATCCAACCATTATTAGAATTATAATTGACATTATTTGATTTGCAATAAAATGTGATAATTGATTCAATATCAGAGATTACTGCCAGTTTGTCGTCTTCGTCATTGCCCAATCTATTTACAAATTTTTTCACATCATCCCTTAATTCAGTCTGGTTGGGTAAATCAAATATTTCATCAAATAACAGCAACTGATTAACAGCATCCTGACAATTGAGACAAAGCAACCAAACATCAGGGCGTAAGGTTTCCGGTATTTTCTTTCCTTTTGTAAGAATGTTAATTTGTTGTGCTGTACATCCATCCAAGAGTGCAGACTCTAATTCAATCAACCTGAAAAGATATATGAAGCCTGGTGTAGACATAAACTAGCATTTAAGGTCAAACCATACCTCTATTATAGAGCTTATTAAAATGTTTTATAAAGGTACCTAAACTAAAAAAAATGGCTCTTACCAGGTGCTATCATCTTCTTCTGCAGACATCTTAATATTAGAAGTAACGAAAGCAAATCACAAAGAACTTATTCAGTTATTATACAGAGTTCCACCATAATATTGTGATTTCAAAATAAACTGAATCGGCCAAATATAAACGTTTGTAAACAGTTCTATAAGGAGCTATTTAACATGAATATTATGCTTAATATTAGTTCTGCAAAATACTCAATGGGAATCAGCAAAGTTATTATGTTTTCAGCGATTTTCTTGATTTTTCAGTCAGGTAAAAGAACTACGCGACGGCCTTTGATTTGACATATGATGACAGGCAGACTGACATTACTTGTTTAATTTTTATTAAAGCAAAGGTGTCTCCTCATACTACCTACTGTTAACTAATAATTTTAAATATTTCAATACTTTTTTGGTGTTTTTTATAGTAACTTAAAATCATAGAAATCCACAAACAAACTCATAATATTTCGGATTGTCTTAAACACAAATAGATTAATGAAATTATCTTTAAAAGTAAAAAGTTCAGAATTGACTAAAATAATTACAGAATAAATAAATTATACATTTAATCTTATCTTTCCTTCGTATTGTTAGAGTGAAAAAACATCGACTACTACCACTACAGGCAACCCTAGCTGTCAGTTAGCACTCACTGTCATTTTGAGTTTGACGTTTTACATTTAGTGCTTGTTACATCATCGCCATCTTTTATTCATTTCATTTTTATTTTACTAATGTAGTACATGTAGTAATTTATTTATTCACTTGACATTGGCAGAATTGTGCGAAATGCGCAGATAAGCCATGCTTTTATTAAAAGAAGAAGAAGAAGAGTTTGACGTTTAATTATTTTAGCGCCAATATACTTCCGGGTTGATGTCTTCGTCTTCTTCTTAACTTTAATGGCACTTTGCGTCACCACAATACTGCCAACTTTACGTAGGAGTAATTTAAATACATTCATTCAACCTCTTTGATATATGATACTTATTCGGAGTCCAACCTCCTGTTTTTTTTTCTCCTTTTTTTTTATTAAAATCGAATATCTGTCATAAATTAGAAGTAACGAAAGCAAATCACAAAGAACTTATTCAGTTATTATACAGAGTTCCACCATAATATTGTGATTTCAAAATAAACTGAATCGGCCAAATATAAACGTTTGTAAACAGTTCTATAAGGAGCTATTTAACATGAATATTATGCTTAATATTAGTTCTGCAAAATACTCAATGGGAATCAGCAAAGTTATTATGTTTTCAGCGATTTTCTTGATTTTTCAGTCAGGTAAAAGAACTACGCGACGGCCTTTGATTTGACATATGATGACAGGCAGACTGACATTACTTGTTTAATTTTTATTAAAGCAAAGGTGTCTCCTCATACTACCTACTGTTAACTAATAATTTTAAATATTTCAATACTTTTTTGGTGTTTTTTATAGTAACTTAAAATCATAGAAATCCACAAACAAACTCATAATATTTCGGATTGTCTTAAACACAAATAGATTAATGAAATTATCTTTAAAAGTAAAAAGTTCAGAATTGACTAAAATAATTACAGAATAAATAAATTATACATTTAATCTTATCTTTCCTTCGTATTGTTAGAGTGAAAAAACATCGACTACTACCACTACAGGCAACCCTAGCTGTCAGTTAGCACTCACTGTCATTTTGAGTTTGACGTTTTACATTTAGTGCTTGTTACATCATCGCCATCTTTTATTCATTTCATTTTTATTTTACTAATGTAGTACATGTAGTAATTTATTTATTCACTTGACATTGGCAGAATTGTGCGAAATGCGCAGATAAGCCATGCTTTTATTAAAAGAAGAAGAAGAAGAGTTTGACGTTTAATTATTTTAGCGCCAATATACTTCCGGGTTGATGTCTTCGTCTTCTTCTTAACTTTAATGGCACTTTGCGTCACCACAATACTGCCAACTTTACGTAGGAGTAATTTAAATACATTCATTCAACCTCTTTGATATATGATACTTATTCGGAGTCCGACCTCCTGTTTTTTTTTCTCCTTTTTTTTTATTAAAATCGAATATCTGTCATAAATTTTTAAATGATACCTAATACATAAATTCTGCATAGAGATTCTTATTCAGCACCTCAATATTGAGTGAAAATAGCTACTTTCAGCAATGTTAGAAAAGAAATTTAAAATTTGACACATAGTGTTATCAATAAAGTCGGAAATTATGAAATTAATAAAAATAATAGGTGTTCATGACATGTTCACGCAATTTTGACCTCTAACTCTTAATATTAGTGTCGAAAATCATGTAATTATTATAGAATAGTATTTCTAGTATTTAGAGAATTATAACCTAGTATTGTAAAATACCAAGTAGATGGATCTGTTCTAGTAAATACGCCTTACCTCTACTGTAGTACAAACTGTACTGTACTGCTGTGCTGTACTGTCAACCACCACAGAACAATAATACACTGCACTGTCACACTGTCACTCGCTGTCAGTTTTTGCATGAAATTAATGAATTAGTTTTCAATTTAAAAAGTAGTGTAATAATTTATAATTTATTAAAATATTGATCATCAAGTGGTCATAAAAATGAAAAAAGACCTTTTTGCAAATAAAGAAGCTTTTATAATTTTTAATTTATACATAATACTATTTGTCTTTCAAGGTACGTGTTTTCATGTATTTGATCTCATCTGAAACTACTTATTATGTTAAAAAAATATGTCATTCTCGGACGCTCTATCCAATCAGTAGCTACAGAGATTTATTGTTTATTCTCTGTATAATATTCTGAACAGATTGATGCAGTAAGTTTCTAGTATAATTGTATCCTAAAAAGCTTTAGGATGAAGATAGATAGGATAGAAAGCTTGATTGATTAATTATTTAATGGTTGTTGAAAGTTGATTATTCTTAATGCTTCACATTATAAGTTTATAGATTCCTAAATCATGAAATGAAAAGAAAGATAAAGCTTAACAGAAGCATATAAGTTACTTTGTGTTCTTCTTCCTCTATTTCTTCTACAGAGTTTATAGTCAAATGAAAATAATCTTTATTCAAATATACTTCTTAAAAGTACTTTTGAATCATCTATCATTCTTTTTCCCTACCATTCATTCAATATGTCTTTTGGCTAATAAGAAGAATAAACAAAAAACTCACCAGCTCTTTTGGGAGTAATGACATTCACAAAAACCATGTCATTGCCAGATGAATACATTATAAATAATAGGGATGACAACTAATTTTTGTTTGTTTGTCCGTCAGGTAGAGTGTTAAAAAATATTAAACATATATTTTTTTATTTTTTTCATAATCATAAAATTACGGCGTTACTTGGAGTTGAAATTTCACATGACGTCACCTTATGGTACGTTTTCTACTAAACTGTGACGTAGCGAGCCGCCACTCCTCAACTTTAATGCATGTTATCTAAGCTATTTCTTGTTAAATTGAAGTAAAAAATAATACATATCTAATATTTTTTTATTATCTGACTGACGGACTAAATAGAATTGCATTTTTTTTACTCAGTCGTCATCCCTATTACTATTCTATCTTATATAATCTTTAAAGAATTTGCAAGTACTCAAACACACACTTAATTCATTCTATGTATGAAATAGGGAACAATTTATTGTCACTTAACACAAGGGTGCTTGCTACTTGGATGTATGTATCTGCTATTTATTATATTGATAGCCGGAAAGTGCAATAGCAATTATTAAAATACAATATTTTGATAACTTGCATATTTGTTGTGTAATAATTATTGAAACTATTTAGTAATTATTTTTTTGTATGTATGTAACTATATAAAATAAGTGAACACAAAACATGTATAATTTAGTTCCAAACTAATTACCATATTATACCATAATATAACAGATTGTCTTGTAATTGGATACAAAATATCTATTCTGTTATATTTAAACTTTATGAGTATATTTTTACATCAGTCATGATGTTCTATGTATTATTAAAACACAACTTTGACTGAATGATCATATATTTTATAAAACTGTTTTCTTTAACATAAACTTTTCACAACAACATTTGTACTCTATTCCCGCCCGAAATTATCTCTTCATTTCTAATGTCAACTTCAAAGGTGACAGTGACAACCCACTGACAGAAAGTGCTTCCACTAATACAATCGATAAAGAGTATCGTAGTCTAACAGTATAAATTAAAATTAACTTTTTACAATTTATATACATGATACTTATTTTAGTGTTATTGTTACAGTTATCTGCTTCGTTATGATTTCTATGCTTTAACTATAAACACACACACATACATGCATGCACGTACACAAAAATTCTATAATAGAATTTTTTTACAAAAATTCTATAATAGAATTTTTGTGTATGTGAAAAGTTAATTATTTCAATAGACGGTAGGTAAACTTTTTCACGATTTCAATGTTGCGAAACTACTCCGGTAATGAAGCAGAATGGTCTTCAACATACTAAAACTTTTTATTTAATTTTAACTTGAAATAATTTACAGGCATATAAATGTATTTGTATTGTAGGTGTCTTCGTTACTGCGTCTAAAACCGAAAACGGTGGATATGACTACAACACGACACTGGTGGTATTCTTAACAGAATTAATCAAGCTTATTCTGTCTGCCATATTATACACAATAAAGAAAGAGTAAGTCACACTAACATGCATTGACTTTTTAATATTCTAAATTAAATATTATGTACAATCATAAGGGTTATACAAAGGTCTTTTCGGGATCTCATCAGGATCTCAAAGACAGTGCCACCATAAATAAAGTATGTTGAAAAAACATATTAGTGTATTTTAAACTATATTGACCAGTTAATGATAAGTTTAGAAGTGAAACTGATAATTCACATAAATTGTATCCTAATGATTTGGTATGTAGAGTTTTTTTTATGCGATAATAATAATCTGTTAAGCGATCTTCATTTTTCATGAAGTCTTATCTACATATCTTCAACTTCGATGTGCCGAAGGAAGATATGTGAATCAGACAACGTCGCGACGTATGTTGCATTCATAATGTCATTTTTACCAAAGGTTGATAATATCAAACTGCTATACCCCTTCATATCCCCCATAAACAGCAACATTTATTAACCTCGGGCTGCTTCCCAAATTATGGAGGCTAGTATTGGCTGACATATAGACTGCGAAAAGTCCTAGGCTTCCAAATATATTTTGAGTTGCGAGCCGAAAATGCTTTACAATATTGATGGACCATTAGTTTAAGCTTTGTAGGAAGCATAGGTAGTATTAAATTGAGCGATCGTATAGTGTGTGGAGTGAATTTTGTCTTTCATATCTACAAATCAATATGACGCAATATTTTTACCTCAAGCACCTATGTGAACAATATTTAAACGTTAAACTATATCTTCAGTTTCATATTTAAAATATTTTGTGCAATATAAATCATATCTATTATAAAATATGTGCTACTATTTAAAGCAAATGTCTTACAAATGTTAAAAGGATGACTTTTAGAGACTGGCGATGTTTGTATAAAGATCGGAATCTTTTCTTGTATCCGCAGGCGTTCTACATGACTCACATCTCGATACAATATTCTTCAATACCTTTGTTAATGACATAACATATTCCTTTTTACATTACATTTATTGCTAAAATCCTAAAATCCTCTTCTATTCTACTTCAAGAATGTATTTCTTAGACATTTATGCTCATACAAACATATGGTTATGGTTGTTGAGGGATCTTTTAAAAATAAAATAGTACTTAATACTAACAAATGCGATTTAGTTCTAGGTTCTAGGTCTAGGTCTATAGAGTTTCTTTATAGATAAGATAGTCCTCGTCTGCTAACTAAACTTAAATTCAATTTCCCACTTAAACTCCGTTGTAAAAATTAATATTCTATTTTGTTCCGTTGTCATCTCGTAGCAATCTCGGCACCAACGCCCCCTAGACTTGATAAAACATAAAACTCTGTCACAAACTTTTAACATTGATAATTTTCAAATATACCTACTGATCTAGAAAAGAAATTGAATACTTTAGTGTATAAGTATGGCTAATTATAAACCGACCGCAAAATTAAAAGTAGTTACTACTTTTTTCCTTGTGCATTTTTTGTGGTACTACCATAAAAAAATATGCAACTATTTTCAATTAAAATGTAATTTTGGCAATTCTGATGCACAAATTAGGCCATATTTCCATATGGTTTTGATTCTGTAATAATAACTACAATAACAGAAGAATTTTTTTTTTACATTATACAGGAGGATGATTATATATCATTGTTTGCATGCCATTCCATAGTAGCGATGGAACAAGTTCAAATTAAAACTAGATTTTTTAGATTGGATAAGTAGTTTAAACTTTGACATAAAAATAGCAATGTGTTTACTAGTTACCGTTTACTATCTCATTAACGCGTGCCGTGGTAATTTTGTAAATAAAAACATAAGCATGAGCCACATATGATCTTGGCTAATAAAATAAATATAAAAACTTTCAGTTATAAAAAATGCTTTATAAAAAATCTCTCACATTCCCATATTTAATTACATGAAATGACATACTACTTAAACAATTAATTATAGTAACCTGATTTAACGACCTCACTACGGCAGTTTATTCCTGACCAATCACAATAAAGCTGCTTATCTATAAGTTTCAAAGCAATTACGAAAATAATGCACTTTGCGTTATCACTAGTTTCTAAAATTACCTATCTATACAAAATTTTACTGAGAATTAAATGATAAAATATTGTTAATAGGTACATAGTATATTGATTACTTATATTTTCACGCGCATTGTCCATAAATGAAAACAATACAACTTTAAACGGTTTCATCGCGTTTGTTTTTAGTTTTATTGACGTTTCGGACCCTTTACAGGTCAATAAAATTAAATACAAACAACGCGATGAATCTGTTTAAAAGTTGTTTCATTTGCTTTAATAGTAGTTTTTGTTGCTTTGTAGATAAGAAAATTAATCAGCACTATTACAATAATCATAGCTAGATATTAATTAATTAATACCTGTTTTTGCCGACATCCGACATCCTCTGTTTCAGGCATAACCAAAACTTAATAGAAAATTTCTGTAAAAAATAAAAATCACCAAATTACCCGCTAAAATTCAAAATTTTTCATATATTTGTACTAACCAGTTGAAAGTTAGTGATTTTAGCTCTCTTCATGTTAACAGCTCCAGAAATTTTTTAAACTTAAAATATTCAAGCAATATGAACCGTATTTGAGATAAAGTAGGTATTATTATGAACAAGCGCGTACACCCACCAATTCTTTAAAAAAAAATTGCTGGTTTTGTTATATTACACTATCAAGAGTGCCTCCCTCCCTCGTATAAGAAAAATAAGATATAATCGACCCTTAAATTCGTCTTAATAAATGGATAGCCCCACATTAAACTTATAACTCTTACAAATTAACATAACACTTGAGTGCCTATTTATTCTATTTTTATCCAACGAAAATTCAGAAAATTGCGAATTGTTCTTATAATTTTGCAATAATCATAGCTGTGAAGAAGCGTATCTTGGCGGGGCCCCGTATAAGAATTGTTTAATTGTATGTATGTATCGTATCTTTATTAAATGATGTACTTTAAAGAAATCCGGTAGACCGCGAAAACCGATGCCGAGTATTGTCAAGTTTGAAATGTACGCTTAAGGCGGGAAAAAGAAATTCCTTTTTTTTTACTTTAGTCATTTTGTGAAATAAAAATAAATATAGGTAGTATTTTTTAATTTTTGCTTACGCAGAAATTATTGCAATATTCGTGTCTGGAATCGTATAAGCATTTTGAAAATAGACAAAATTCCGTTTTCGGTGAAATAGTATTCAAGTGTGATTTTATTTCGTACGAGAATAATAATAATTCTTTAAGTAAATTAAATCAGAGTATCTGTTATTTCCCTTTCCCGCTCTTTACCTAATATAATAAACCGTTCCAATTAGTAGGTCGCTTATTAGTAGATAACTTATCAAGCGCCTATCTGTTTCCGTTCATTTTGCGTGTGGAATTTTTATAACAGTTTATAATAATTTTCGAAATTTTCCTCCTCTAATATCTTGTACGTACACAGAACACAGAGAGGAGGAGGTGTTAACAATTTTCTAATGTTATTTTATTCTTTATTTTCAGCAACAAACCACATATATTTAAAGCGATTGCGATAAATTACAATCTTCTTCTGTTGTACTTTGTGCCGTCTCTGCTGTACTGTTTCTACAATAATTTAGCATTTATTAATTTATCACATTATGATCCAACTTCCTATTACGTATTGCTCCAATTCCGAGTTGTACTCACTGCGATACTGTTTCAGGTATGTAATTAATAATTGTTACGCTATACAAATCTTTTCAAAATTTCTAAACTTCTATGTCACATCACATTTATGGAATTCGATTCGGTTCCTTTTTCCAATCCCGGGATTTTAGAAGTTTACAAAGGAGAATAAAATCACGTAAAACTGTTCTTATATAGACTTTTGCAGTTTTAATTACTTTTTTAACTTAATAGATACTATGGCGCCCTTAAGTAAGCATAGTTACTAATAATATTACTTATTACATAAAGTATTTTACAAAATATTGTTAGTTTGCTACTTATTCTTTGTATTAAACATAGTAAACATAGAAATATAGATAAGAAATAACTAATTTATATTTGAGGTAAATTAGTTATTTCATGCTTTACAAATATTTGTAGCATTAAACTAACTAATTATTTCTACTGATTACACGCACTACGATAGAATTAATCTGACGTGGCGCGTATAATTCGTAAGTTTATATAAATTGTTTCGTTTCAAATCCTGGAATCCCGGGATTTTAATAATAATCCCGCTATTTGAATACTGAAAAATAATACGAGAACCCTGAATGTCCGATTTCCAGGCACCTGTATAGTTTTTTTAGTATTTCGTTTTTCATACCATTTATTTGCCGATACATGTTTATACAGCCAGTTTCGGAAAGTAATTAATAAAACATGTTAATTTTATTTCAGTATCTATTCAAAAAGAAACTGACGTGCATCCAATGGATATCATTAGCCATTCTCACGTCGGGGTGTATAATCAAAAACTTTGACGCATCAAGAAATTCGACTAATACAAACGGTGACACGGACACATGGTCACAAATATTCAATATATATTTTCTCTCTATAAATTTTCAAAATTTTTGTTCGTGTTTAGCAGGTACGTATAATGAATACTTGTTGAAATCGCAAGGTGCTACTGTTGATATTTTTCTTCAAAATGTTTTCATGTACCTGGATTCTATCATATGTAACTTCTTTATTTTAATGCTAAAAGGAGAGCTTTCTACTGTAGTGGAGGACTTACAATCATTAAAAGACACATTTGTAATACTTATTACAATAAACGGTGCAATAGTTGGTATAGTTACTAGTTTCTTTTTGAAAAATCTCAATTCTATATTAAAAACATATGCGAGTGCTTTAGAATTAATCATTACAGCTGTAGTATGTTATATGCTATTCAATATTTATATTACATCATATACGATTGTATCTATATGTCTAGTCAGTATAGCGGTTGCAATGTACTTTAAAAATCCCGTTAATAATACAACACCGTCTAATTCGTCAAGTAGAGACAAGACACCACTTTTAGAAGTTACTTCCCAATAAGTTACTGATAGTGTAAGAAAATTTATATTATTATCCAAATTCATAGGTGCTCATAGTCATGGCTGCATCATTTCTGTGAATGACAACCGAACCTTTTTTTTTTTGACGCTGAGAAATGCGTTGCGCATACCCGCTACACCCAGCGCGGGCTTTACGGCTTATGTGGGACTCCTCCTGCGGCCCCACCCCTAAGGGGGCTAGACAAGAAGCAGGCGTTTACCCACTAAAACTCAACTATGTCCCTCGCATGGAAGGCGATGCACGGGACCAGCCCGAAGGCCATACACCGCCATATACGCGGTTCGCCCCCATTTTGGCCCGCCCTGAAAAGGGCAGGTCCCTCGCGGGTTGGGAGTACGCCTCAGAGACATTCGAGATGCACCCCCCAGACAAGGCGGAGGCATTTCCGGTCCCTCTTACCCGTCTATTGGGAGGACAACACTGGTAGAACCATTATCGTGGATTCCCCCCTCCCCTCACGATCGCAACTACCGCCGGATGCCCCGACTGCAGCCCTGAAAAGGGAATGACAACGCAAAATGATGTACTAAATTTGAAATCTCTTAGCTTGTTATTAAGCATTATTCGTGATTTGTATCATGTCTCCATGGGCGGCAACAGTCCGAAGTTAACCATATTACTGACTGGCGTGACTTGATTGCCAATTTTATTGCAGAGATATTTTTTTTTCTTTCTACCACCCGTTACTGGTGTGTCTTCATGGACCTATCAGAGTGCCAATTCCAATTTCCATCAATTTTTACTTATTTATTTGACATCGTTACACTGGTTTTGTAATGGTAATGGTTATTTTTTTTATATATGTCTATATTAAGAATCAAGAAATGGTGAAGTGTATAAACAGGTGTCCCAGTGACTCAGTATGGTTTCTCCCAATAAGGTAGAAATACTATTGGATTTTTTTTCGTTACACGTCCGAGATCCACCGAGTCGAGGAACCAGTCCAACAGTATAAGTTCCTCATTTACTCATTTTTCTTATCAGGCAATATACGTCCTAAACAAGGGTAGTGTAAAATGTTAGACTATTCAAAATGAACTTTATTTAAATAAATGTTATTTTGATTTTGAACTTATGTAGGGAAGTCTAATAAGAAAAGTTCACGAGGTTTGTCGTATCGTCACGTTTAATGCTTTGAACAGACTGAAATTATTTTCTTAAATTGCGATTGTAAGTTTCTTCACTTCCCGACTACGTTGACATCTGCTATTGACTCTTGTGCTAAAGTACTTAAAATTATTTAGATGAAAAATAAATTATGTTAAGTTTTTTTCCCATTGACAATTTTGGGGGAAAAATAACTTACACCAAGATGATGAACCTATGGTTAATATTGATTTCTTAATTCCCTTTATGTTTGAGACAAACAGTTATCGTCATAGTCTAAATTTAAAAATTGTATCTTCTATTGATACACCCATAACCAAAGAAGTATTTAATGATTAAAAAAAAATTATAATAAAAAAAATTTGGTCTTAACAAGTTGCGATGCAAGTGAATTAGGTATGTGATAAAATCGTATGATAAATGTTATTCCTAGCTAGTCAGTTAGTAGGCAGTATTACCAAGTATAATGAAGCTAAGACTGGTAAATGATTTTGCTTTTACCAACGTCAAATCCAAATCAATTAAAACGTATTCCATATATTTACAAATCACTTAATTGCAAAGTATTGTAGATACTAATAATGTATGTACACACTTTAAGATCAACATTAACTGAATGATGTTAACGATCTTATGGATTTGACAAGTAGCATGAAAAGAGCCAATCTGTTTCTTTTATGAATGTTATTTTGCAACCAAGAAGAATATATTCTCCTTAATTAATCCCACAATAGCATCAGCTGCAATTGTTTAATTTTGCCAGTGTTTCTTTTTAATTGAAACTCTTACAAAATTACAAATATTTTAGCATTAAGTGCAAGTTGAGATTCTAGGACCACGCGGGCGAAACCGCTGTCATAAACTTAGTACACAATAAATATCATACCAAAGCAATATTGTAGTATATAATAAGTTCCTTTGTATAGTGTCAAACCAAGGTCGCAATTTTTTGAAGATAAATTATATAAGTGATAAATTTTAAGGTTTATTTAAGAAACTGTAAGCTCCCTCTATTGAAAAGTTCTAAATCGTAGTACTAAATGAGGTACTTACAATTAAATTATGATATTGAAAAGCGTTTTGAATTCAATGAACTCGTGTAAAAAGTCATGTATATCCCTGTAGTATAATTAGTCACCTATTCTTAAATTAATGTCAAATAACTAAATCCGTATTGCCAAATTGTATACGTACGATTAGAAATGAAATAAAGGTAATAACTTGTTTTAAAAAGAAAATAACATTCATTGTTTATTTATTGCCAAGAACCAGTAGTACAGAGATGTCATTGGCTATTTTAAAATCTATCGCATCCCTTTGAATTTAACATTTGATGGATATTCACGAGTTTCACGCTGCAACTATTTGACATGTGATAGCGTTTGGAATTGTGGCTTTTTAAGATATTGAGTAAACGATATCGCTAATATAAAGTTAGCGGCAAGCGATAGATGTAAATATTACTTTAAGTTACCAAGTTTTTATAATGTCTCTTGATCATTCAAATCGTTTGAGCAAAAACGATTGCTACTTTAACCATTATACGATACCAAAACCGCTATACCTTTAACAGTAACTGCGATAGATTTTAAAATTAAACAATTGGGCCACTGGTTTTCCTTATGGATGGAATCACGGAAATATATCTCCCACCACCACGTGGGCGTTTCGAGTTGCACCCATCAATCCCATTTTATTCCTATCTCCTTTAACCTTATTTCCGTTTTAATACCTATTAAAATTGAAATAAGTTTTCATCTATACTAATATTATAAAGGGAAAAGATTTTATTGCTTGCTTACAACGAATAGACACCGAAACTACTGGAGCAATTTTAAAAATTCATTCACCTACGGGAAGTTACGTCGTTATACGGTGAAAGAAGTCTATATTTATTCCGAAAAACAACAAATAAAGGGATGAAAATATGAGCGGAAGTTTGTATAGAGACCACGTGGGCGAAGCCGCTGACGGGAAGCCAGTAGGTAGTTGTTATGTGTAGGCAGTGTTTTTCAACGTGTGGTTCTCGACCCCCAGAAAACTACCTATTGTAAAAAAGGAAATAAAGTTATAAGGTATATAAATAAGAAAACTTTAACAAAAAGTATATTACTCGTAATTTGTGTATGTTATACAAAAAAAAAAGTGTTAAATAACATCTTAAAGTGAAGAATGAACTTTTTTATGACAGATCATCTCCCATCGTGGATCCGTTTTGGTACATTTAGAATTAATAATAAAGATATCCAAATTTTAACGATTTGGACCATTGATGAAAACGTCAAAGGGATGACGACTCATTTTTGTTTGTTTGTCGGTCAGGTAGATTATTGAAAAATATTGAATACGTATTTTTTTCGTAATCATTAAATTACGGCCACAGAACACGGAAAAGAGGTTAGAAAGGCGATCATGCATCCTTTGCACGAAAACCGATATCGCCAGTCTTGCCCCACTTTTCGTCCGCCATACATCAGACAAAATATTGACCAATTATACAAAAGATATGAACACACTTGCATTTTAGACATGCCAATCAGAACGCTCCAATATAACTATAACCAATCACGCTCAACCATAACAGACATCTAGAGTGCGTAATAAACGTGTAATAGCCATTTTAATTTGACATATTACACTAGTGATTGACAAAGTTATTTACTATCGATATTGAAAAACCACAAGACAATTAATTGAAAGGATACTAGAGAAATGATTTCTTTATATTATTTTGGATAAACATTGAATTGTATTGATTAAATGTGACGTTATCTTTTTTTTTTTTAGTGGCGTGTTTCACAGTGCTTACAGCGCGCGCATTCGTGAATGACTAAACATCGCGATCGCGTGGTGAAGTCACGATCCTGTACATTTGTCCAGGATCGTGACTTCACTGCCACGCCCACAAGGCCCTTCTAACGTCTTTCTGTGTTCTGTGATTACGGTTATACATTGAGTTCAAATGTCACATGACGTCATACTTTTGTACATTTACAAAACTGTGAAGTAGCGAGCCTCCATTCCACGACTGTAATGCCTCTTATCTAAGTTATTTCTTGTTAAATTAAAGTAAAAAATTGCGTATCTAAAATTTTTCTTTTATCTGATTGATGGACTAAATAGAATTTCTTTTTTTACGTTGTCGTCATCCCTATACAGAATACATAAGGAATGAAACGATGCTTTTATTCGAAGTTTATCAAACATCTCATCAGTAGATAAGTCTTAACTAAGTACCTATAGAAAACTCATAAAAAATTCATGCAAGTGAAATGAAGTTAAAATAATTATTTCATACTATGAGGGTCGTGTCATAAAAAATGTTTAAAAACACTGAATAGGCCGTAAGTAGATATTTGCCAGAATGCAGCACTAGCACAAACTGTTAACAATTTTCTATTAGGTACTACATGATTAACATAAGATCATCAACTAAGTAGTTTATTGAATACAATATCATTATAAAATAAGAATTAGACAGATAGGTATATTTTTACTGTGATATGAAAAATATTATTTTCATAAAGTAGGTCTTTAGATTGTGAATGTATTCAATAGTTATGGATTATAAGAGCACGTAAGAAGGCAACATCCGCTCCGCTGTAACATACCCCGCTTCGATTCGGTTGAAATTAAAAACAATCGAAATGCACTCATTCAATATTGTAGGTATTGTTAGATAGTTCGATCAATACATTGGATTGAATCAAATGCACTCAAAGTTCAATATAGTTTCGAACATTTCGATTGAGTCGCATACCAATAAAATCGAAGCCAATTTAGTTGCGCAAGTCACTACTACTGCTATCATAAAAATTCACGATAAAATCTAATTAAAGTGAAGTATTAATTGTATTAATTAAAACCATTATTTTGAATCATTTTGTTTTATTTCCCATTAATCGATTATTTGAGTAGCTCGGTGGCATATTGGATAAGCGACGCGGCGGTCACGGGATAGGTGACCAAAAAAATTATTATCTCGAGCTACTCCATGCTTCGGAAGGCACGTTAAGCCGTTGGTCCCGGCTGCATTTGCAGTTGTTAATACCCTCCAATCATCGCATTGGGCCAGCTTGGAGACCCATCCTCCTTAACCATCGTTACGTAAAAGGGCTGATGATGATGAATCGATTATTTCATGTTCATTATCTCACTCAAATGATAGCTACAAAAAAGTCTTATTTTTATTCCGCACAAATACAATGATATACTTATTTTTTTAACAATTTCGTAAACGGCAGAAGCCTCCAATTCGACTGTTTTCTTATGCAGTCGTATTTTACTCGATAGATTTTTGTTTATTAAAAGTGCCTCTTATAAATCGAAAAATAATTGGACGGCAATCCATTAAAACGCACGCGGTTTACCTATAACACGTTCACGAAGCATATGTACTTACATTGTGATTCGTATGTAGGCCCGGATCTGGTGAGGGCAATGTTAGAGGGGCGCCAAGATCATTCATTATTTAATTTCCATTCAGTTAAATGGAATAAAAAGAGCTTTACAAATCTCTTCATACGCATTACAGGCTATGATACGATACGACCATAAAATACAGAAGTAAACTGTAAAAAAAAGAAGATTCGACGAAGAAGTTGACGTTCGAGTCATAATGTAGACGTTCTATCGCGAATGAATGTATTTAAATCGTGTAATGGTCTTCTAACGTGAAGTTGGCAGTAATGTGGTGACGCAGTGCCATTAAAGTTAAGAAGAAGAAGATATTTTTGTGACGTCTTTCATCAAAATCAGTTCAGTGGTTATGAAGATACATATACCTAAATTATATAAGTTCTAACTTAAAAAAAGAAGAACATGACACTTTAGTCGAATTTGGAGTACTTACCTTAAAGTGATGCTGTAATTACACTTGGAGACCCTAAAACCTTTGATTATGTGCCTAGGTAGACACACTGAACGGCTAAATGCCAAAAATGATAAGTGTAGGTTCGATTCACCCTCTCTGTAGCGACATTGTCATTATGGTATTTAAAAGTTAAAGTTTGCGTTATTAAATTATGTAGGAATTACAAACAAGGATTGAAATCAACTAAAAGTATAAGCACCATCCTCTTCGATTTTGAAACAAATTCTTGATCCTTGTTGATCTAGACCCTTCTGCAAAGTTACGTTGTTTCGGCGATATGTCAAAGCAGTTTTTGTTATGCCGCTGGGTTGATTCTCGTATTTCTCCGTAACTATGTAACTTGGCTGTTTGTTCCCACTTTATATTATACTAACCAATATGTCCCATATTGATGAATAAAGAATTCATTTCAAAATCGAAGAGACTGGCGCTGCCAGCCTGACACACACCCTATCATCGTAAGTATATCTCATATAAACCGATTAGATAAATAAACAATCTTTACAGAATACGTAACGTAACACAAACAGCAGTAGACTTCTTTACAAAGGTAAAAATTTAATTTGAATATAGTGGCGCAGAGATAAGCGTCGTTCAGTCCGCCATTGCTTATAGGTATTAAACGATTATTAGCCGATTATTAGATGGCTGACAGAAATTGCATCCTTGAGACCCCGCGTTCTAGCAGGCATGTTAAGCCATTGTGCTGCATACCGCCAGGAAGGTGGGTTCTGGCTCATTCTCCCTATGTAATTCTACCCAAGAGGAAGACCTATCGCCGAGTAGTGAGGACATAATAAGCTGATGAAGACAGGGTAAAATTAGACTCCAAGTGATTACAGTCAGTGTTTTTATGTAATAAGCAAAATTTATGTCATAGATGTTATAATTCTGAAAATTCTTACTGTAGTGTTGTAAATGAATACAATCACTTAATGACAATGTATTATTAAATAAAATTAATAAAGTTGTTGTAGCTTACACCAGAATGCAACTCACAATAACAATTATTTCAATTAAATTGCAACAACCTAATTAATCTTAAACTTACTAATAAATTATGACTTTATTATAATTATGTACACTATATAATTTCTATGCCAATATATCTAAAACGAAATTGCAATTACTTGCAACTGAATACAGTAACAATTTCATAATAACTTTGCAAGTTTTTAAATGGGTTTGTAGAGCAAAGTGGTAACATACTTCTTTCTATATCGATGTGTTGCAGACAACACCATAACTCCATCTTTTATAGATAAGGCATAAAGGTGGTTTAACATCACATGGTTTGGTTCTGGCAATAAAGTTGGTTCACACTGTAATCAAATTATGAGAAAAACATTGATACCATGAAAATTTATTGACACTACTGATAATAAAGCAATGAGCACTTATATTTTTATTTGGACAACCAACAAAAATATCACTGTAGGTGTAAAAATCAACTTTTATAATAAAATATTAAATTAGTTGCTTACCAATTCATCACCAACGCCGCAAAGGCAAAGTTTATGTTATAAAATTATAAAGGAGAACAATAAGAGGTTTTTTGGATGACGCTTTTATTTCACAGTATTTAAAAAAAACTAAATAAATCAATAAAAATCAAATGTGTGAGTATACTAAAAATGGAGCATTTCTATACACATAACAAAATTTTTGTATGACATTTACCCCTTTGCAGTATTGGCAATGAATTACAGACTGCTTTTCCAATGTGAATAGTAATTTTGAGGGCAGAATGCACCACACATGTATTGACATTAACTTAAATACTTACTGATAAAGGTGTGTCCTTATTCAATATAACTTGAAGTAAATGTGGAGGCAATATAGGGGGACCAGATACCTTTTCCCATGGTTTAGACTGTGGTATTTCCTAAAAAAAGTGATACATATTTTAAAATTTAGGCAGTGATCAAAAAACTAATAACCTGTTATTCAAAATCAGTGATCAAATGAAAAATTTTTTTAATCAAAATTTATACACCACAATGATGTTTCACTGTGATATAAATGAAGTAAAAATAAAAAAAAACCCTTATCTATTATGTCATTATTATTTTGGGATATTTTGATTATATTCATTAATTTTAATACTTTACCTGAGAATATTCAGTCTGTGCACTACTGTGAACACCTTCACTATCTTTAGCAAGTGCTTGAAACACTTCAAAGTCTGACATCTTTACAGTCACTAAATTATTTTTTGATCCCATACCATTATCTATGACTTTCTGTAAAAATTGATTATCATTGTTAAAGTACAGTATAAGAGGCTTTAAAGAGACTGAGGTCTGAAAGTACGATAGTAGTCAAATATTTGAGCCCAGTCCACAGTACCAAATGTATTGTTATGAATGATTGGGGTAAATATTAATCATACCACTGTTGGGTCATGACGCCATTCACCGTCTACAAAATATTTGTATTGATGTTCACCTTCAGGTAGATCAATAATGGTAACAAAATCTCCATGAGATTTTACCATAGGAATTGTTTTCCAATCTGTAAATGTACCACATATGTAAACCTAAAACAAAAGAAATTAGTAATATCATTTGGTGAAAAACACACAATTTTTAACAAAAGTCATTAACAACACAAACCTGCTTTCCACCACCTTCCCATTTGAAAACTGTTGGTAACACTTTCAATTCATCAATGTCTTTATTGCTTTCTGTCAATGTGTTTGACCTTTCGCGTGGAGCATTGTATTCTTCCTCGCTTTCAGGAGCTGCTTTTGTGTAATACGGTGCCCCATCTTCAATAGTACTATCTTCATCTCTACCTCCACGCACATCATCAGACTTTTTATCGAATGTAAACGCCTCACCTTCTTTTACGGGTGACGACGGGCCAACATCAGGCACCTTAGGTATTGTTTCTCGATGCCATTCTTTAGCCTGATTACTTCCTGCATTACCCATAATTTTTCAATTGATCTACTGAATCCAACCAAATTAAATTTTACGACGAAAACAATGCTGTCATCGAAGCTGTCATTGTCACAGACTTAGTAGGTATGTCATTGTCATCTGTCTTTTCAAGAGTTGATTCCTAGTGTATGATTATGAGTGAGCGATACAAATCGTTTAAAGATATTGTAACGTATATTGCATCAATATCATAGTATCGGATATCGATGCGCATAAACTATATATTTTTCGGTAGCACTATATTGCAGCATCGGTGCGATACGTCGTAATCGTACTATATAATTTTTTTGTATGTGGAAGCTACAAGACTTGGCTCCAAGCTAGAATAAACAAAGAAAACGTCGGATTCGGTATATCAGGCTGGATATTCGATACTTATTGATATAGGATACCAAACCGCATTGAATGAGGAATTATTTTAAAAAAAACGACAGCACTAAAAAAAGCACCTCCACTAGATGGCGACTCTAGCAAATGTTGATTTTTGCAGGAAAAGAATGGACCAAAGTAGAGGTGTTTTTAGTGCTTTTGTGTTTCAAGCACATCGCCACAGATATTTTACTAGATACACGTATCGTATCGATATCAAAGAAGTATTCTATACAAAAGTACCGATTCTTAGAGGTATCGAGTCCTTTTTTATTGCATTTATAAAAAAACGTGAATGGGAGTGTTTGTAATAAAAATTTGCTAACTTGCTAGCTAACTTTAAATGAATGAGTACATTAATTAAACTTTAAATGCTTTTATTGTTCTATGATGGTTACAGTGCAATGGAAATTACCTTTATAAATCAAAAACAATTACTACACAACAGCATTTCTGATGATTAGGCTATTCCTATTTCCTATTTTATTAAGTTCTTAATTCCATTTTTTTAAAATTGAGAATCAGCTTGCTCCTTTGTCAATAACATCTGATGTAGACCTTACTACTATGACCAATTCACGTAAATTACCACAAATAGTATATTAAGTAACATTCCGATATTTATATATTATCAAATCGACGGTATGTACATCGATGGTTTTCAGCTAAATAACGATGTTCATTAAACATTGAACAATATTGAATCCCTACTAGTGTCGTGTTGATATGAACATTTTATTTCAAATACATATATGATCAATATATTTTCTTTTTCTTATGCTAATAATTTTTAAGAAATAGATAAGAAGGAAAGTATCGATACTTCAAAAGCTTCAAAAACGGCGAACCACAATCGTGGTTTATCGCGCCAGAATGGTGGTATGCGGAGTGGGAGTGCGACGCTGGAGATTTCGTTTGATGTGGACGGCGACGGTGGGTTTGCTTCCGTGTTTGCCATCTTGTGAAAGTTTTTCTTGCAGGAGAAAGGAACCTTTAGGAAGCGTATGGTTGGAGATTGGGGTCCCTAGTATGGTGATGGTGATCGGCTGTTTTGTGTCGAACGATGGCGGGAGCGAGATGGGGATCTGTCTCTGAAGCGGTTGCGTGAGTGAGACGGGAATGCAGTGTACCGTGTCCTGTGATCGTTTATTTGTTGCGTGTAATGGTAATGTGGCGGCCCACTACAGCTGCTGCGGTAATTGGACTGGTTACGTGGAGCGATGGGTCGTTATCTGTTTTAAAATCACGTAACGCAACCGTTGACGGATAGCCAATCATCGATATCAAAACTCTATTTTTGATAACTAATTATTTCCCCAACGCTATAAGTCAAAGTGAATTTTACTCTAATGCAAACGCGACAATGCTCTATTTTCGGTTAGTTACTTGATCCAAAAGCCGAACTACGCGGAACGTTGTACGGAACGTTGTACGTTCCGCGTAGTACCTAAATATACCTTTTTCGTTCACACGTATACATACATACTGTTGTTGTTTCATTCACACATGGCAGGTTGCTTTAAAAGCGATCCATATTATAGTAATCACGGTTCAGGCAAATCACTAGTTGAATAACTATCTATCGTGAATAACGTCTATCGCTAGTTCTGTGGTTCGTGTTCCGTGCTCTTTGGTGTCAGATTGTCAGTCAATATTTCTCGGGTTTGCTTTTCATAGTTCTATGAAGCCGTTTGGGCACTCGTTTAGTGCTATATCTGATAATTAATTATAAATTAAATAATTGATTATAAAGTAATCAGAGGGCATAGTTAATGAAGCTCTTATTTATCCAATAGTCAACTTTACCAGAGAAATAATTGTGTTTTTAATTAAATATGAATGATGAGAAGCAACCCCTACTCATTGGACCAAATACACCTATTGACAACAATGATGTACAAGCTGTTGAGTTGATAAATGATCCAACAGTGTCTAAGGATGATAAAACTAAGCACGAATATCACCCTGCTTCTGAAAGATGTTTGGAACATCCAACATCAAATTTCGATACCCTCATTCATCTTCTTAAAGGTAATATCGGCACTGGTATCTTAGCCATGCCCGACGCCTTTAAAAACGCTGGTTTGTTGTTTGGTAAGTGGATTATTTGAAATATAAAATTATTTTTGATTTACTAAAGTTAGTGAATTATAAAGTACTATTTTAAAAGAAAATATGACCATTTTTCAGGTGTATTTGGTACATTATTTATGGGTGCAATTTGTACTCATTGTATGCATATTCTTGTTCAATGTTCAAATGAACTATGTGTAAGAAATCAAAGACCTGCTTTGGGATTTTCTGAAGTAGTAGAAGATGCTTTTACATCAGGACCAGTGCCTTTGAGGCCATTTGCCAAAAAAATGAAGTAAGCTATATTAATAAATAAAAAGAGTGTGGTTGTTTAGCTGTTAGCAAAATTTTAGTATATATATATTTTTTTATTTTGGCATGCTAGTTATCTTACAAATAAATAATAAATAAGCATTTTAAAATAGTATAAATAATAATTATTTGTATTAAAATTTTTAATTAAAAATATATATTTTTTGCTAATCTTCATTTCACAAAACGAATGGAACCTAAGTTAATTTTATTTTTTAATGTATCTTTTTTAATAAAAAACTCAATTATGAAAAAGAAACCTTCTTATAATATTCATTATTACTTGAAATTTCTTTTCACATAGAATAAACTTTTTTCTATGTATAATTAAAAAACCTATAGAAAACTAATAAGATTTAGTAAAAAACTCATAGTTTTGTTCTTCAACTGTAAAAAACTAATGAGATACATTATTGTTACTTTATCAACAATATGCTGATTTTTCGTTTACTATTAACACTAAACTGTTTAACTAAACAAAAAACTACTTATTTTGATGAATCAAACAAAAAAAAAACACAAAATTCACATAGTTATCACTGCCAGAGAATAAAAGAATGTTGATAATGTATATACTCAATTGCATAATTCTTATAACATGTAAATATTTGTTTAAGATACAGGAGTGGAATCTTTTTTATTCTATAATATATTTTCCATAAATTATTACTTCATTTTACATTGTTAATCTTCTCAAATGACAAAAATTTTGTGATAGACCATTTGTTTTGAAGCATGGTTTCCATAACATATTTACATTTATTGTTTCAGGAATATAATCAATGTATTTTTGGTAATAACACAATTGGGATTTTGCTGTGTGTACTTTTTGTTTGTTGCCACTAACCTTCAAGATGGAATGCGTTTCTTCCACATAAACCTCAGTGTGCATACATATTTGGCAATCTTATTTCCAGCAATTTTAGCATTATCTATGGTGAAAAATTTGAAATACTTAACCCCAGTATCTTTGGTTGCATCTATAATGACCGCTTGGGGCTTAGTTGTAACATTTTATTATATATTGCAAGATTTGCCACATACCAGTACAGTGAAAGCATTTGCAAGTTGGCATCAGTTACCTTTGTATTTTGGTACAGCTATTTATGCATTTGAAGGTATAGGTGTGGTAAGTTTCTGACATATTATATATTTATATCAATTATTATTTTTTAAATTACCAAGTTTGGCAATAATTTTCTTTGTTGTTTGTTGAAAAACAGACAACAAAGAGTGTGGTTGTTTAGCTGTTAAAAAATCAAATAAAAAATATATCCCACCTCGCAATGCAGTATAAACTCATGGCTTGTAAAGAAAGAATTGCAGAATCGCTACTTAAATTTTAAAATGCATGATCTTATCAAGCCACCTTAAATACCCAGGATGCTACTCAAAAACTATCCAGAATATCACAGGATACTATAAAAACCAGAATATGTCCTAGGAAAACAAGTCAGTTGGTAACTCTAGTCAATTAGGACTCGAGTACCAAGATCGCATTTCAGAAGAACTAAAGAACTACACAGTGAAATCTTTTTATTCAAATTCACTTATAAGACATAAAAATTGTGAAAGAGTTGCTCTGAGCGCCAATAACATTCTTATTCAATTGGCCAGCACTTCCAAACAGTAGTTGCCATACCCAAAGTCCTTGATTCCATAACAAAAACACCCTCAAATGCAAATCTAATTATATTGATAATCTTTATTCTTTTATATAAAAATCACAGCCTGTTGTATACCTACTTATCTTGAAATCAGAGTAATCCATCTGTCTGGGAAAGTTACACAATAATTAACATAAATATTGATTACTCTTCCCATTTATCAACACCTGGCATTGATAAAATGATAAAACATGAGTTTTTTCCATTGAAATCATTTAAGTATTTATTCAGTTAATTGGTAACTTAAATAAACCAGTTTGAGTTTGGAAATATTTATTTATGATTAAAATATTCCATTAGGCATCTCTAATGAACATATTAATTTCCGTAACTGCTGTGTTTACAATATGTATTATAATTATATGTGCTTACAGTTATCGCTTAAGGTGTAGTTAGGGTTATCTCTTAGCTGTCGTTAGAGTTAGCATTCTTCATTTGCACACTGATTGAATATTTTTGCATGCCAACATGACGCGACGTTTAACAATTACATCATCAGTCGTGCGACTGATAGGGAATTTAAATATATATGTTAGATTTCATTATAAACCCCTTGGGATCTACGAGGTCTAAAAATGTATGCCTATTAATTAACATGATTCTTATTGAAAACTTTATAAATAATATATAAGTCTTATGTCTATTTTCTTCGAAAATGATGTGAAAATGGTTTTTTAAAGTAGTACGTGTTTTGTATATATGATCCTATGGTGTTCTGAGGTATCGGCTTATTTTGGAAAAATTGCTCTTGCCTTTGCCCAAAATAGTTTGGTAATCCCTGCAATTTATTACCACTGAGTGGAGCCAATCGACATGCTGCGTAGTGGTGCGCGTAACGTGTTTATTTGTCAATGTTATGATAATCTCTTATCGCTTAATCACAGTGTATAGATTTTCATTTAAAACAGGGGGTGGTCAAATTATTTGATAGTCGGGCCACATTGCAAATGAAAATGATGTGCATGCAGAGATTTTTAATTTCTTGCATAATTATATTAAGAGAATGTGTAAAAGAAATTGCTCCTCGATATTCTGAACAGACAATCTTGTGCGAGTAGAAATCAAATTAAGCACTCGATAGACCTCATACCCACAGCTGAAGCGATGTAGCAGACCATTAGGACCTATATGTATTTCGATAGCGAGCAAATCTACATGATCTACATATATCGACACTTGTGTTTATTTATACAGTTTCTTGGTCGGCACAATTTGGTATCGAATCAGCCTAATTAGAAATAACTAACCAAATACCTTCCACAATTTTTATACAATGTGACTAAAACAGCTTCTGATTTCGAGGGGCCGGCAAATCGGAGCGTCAACTAGGTCGTAGTAAATGGCGCCAGATTATAGTACATGTAAAGTTTCTGCCCCGGTTTGAAAAAAGAAATAGTAGGCTTACAAGATCCTCGACTAACTATAGAAAAATCATAAACTTCTTTCTGTTTATGGTCAATCTAGTGTTATAAAGAGTTGCAGTATCGTTGTTGTTGTATTTTCTAGTAGATTGACGGCTGGTTGGGTTATTGCATAGAAGCCTCTGTATTTGTATTGTAGTATAGACATTGAACATTTAATATTGAAGATTATAAAATTGAATTTGAAATCAAAGAAAGTATTTATGTGGCACGCAACAATCGTGTATGCTGATACGAGATAAATCTACGTTAAAAAAATCAAAAAGATCTACATAATTATACAACAAATCTTAAAACGTGTTTTTCATAACTACAAGACCATTAAGTTCATTTGATTCGATGACTAAAAATATTGTGCTAAAGTTGTTTATTATGATTGTAATAAAAGATTTCATGCTTCGGAGGCGAAAAGTCTAGGTCATTTATTATCATGAATAATTGTGTAATGTTGAAGTTGGTTGCTATTGTGTTTATATTTGTACAAAAAAATATCGAATTTTTCATATTAATGTTTTTAGGTGCTGCCCCTAGAAAATAATATGAAAACTCCAGAAGATTTTGGCGGATGCACTGGGGTATTGAATTTGGGTATGGTTATAGTAGCGGCATTGTACACTGCGATCGGCTTTTTTGGATATCTTAAGTACGGCGAACACGTATTAGGCAGCATCACATTAAATTTACCAAATGATTGGTGAGTTTTCTGAAAATTCAAATATTATTATAACTAAATTGTATTTAGTAATGTCTTATTAGAGGGGTAAGACATTACTAAATACAATTTAGTTATAATATTACAATTTAGTTATTAGTCTGTACACAATACATATTTCAATTGGTTTTGTATTTACCAAATTTAGTCGATAGGAAAACAATCACAAACTTACACCTAAAATTTACCAATTTTTCCATTTCTCGTAATTATGCTCTTTTTAGGGTTCCGTACGCAAAGCGTAAAACGGGAACCCTATCACTAAGACTCATAAACAATGATAGACAGATGATATTTTTATAGATGATGTATTTCTGTTGCCGCTTCAACAATAAAAACTAAAAACCTGAAAAAAATATCTAAGAGGGCTCCCATACAATAAACGAGATTTTTTTACTGTCACCATACGGTATCTCCGTGATAGTTAGACACAGTGGTGTAGTTATACCGTTTGAGGCCCGTGGCAAATTCATCAGATATTCAATTTTTTTTACTAATAAATGTAAGGAGTCTCCTCTGATCGGGGGCCCCTTTCAGCTAGGGGCCTGTGGCATTTTGCCGACTTGTCACCCTGTAATTACGCCACTGGTTAGACAATTGAGATCTTTACAGATAATGTATTCTATTGCCGATATAACAAAAAAGGCTAATAAATAGAATAAAATAAATATTTAAAGGGGTCCCATACAATAAACGTAATCTTTTTGCTGTCACCAGGCTGTATCTCGTGGACCGTGATTGTTAAACAGTTCAGATTTTCACAATATTTCTGTTGCCGCTAAAACAACATATAGGTACTAAAAAACAGAATAAAATAAATATTTAAGGGGGCCATTAACCCATACAACAAACGAGATGCGGAACACTTCTTGCACGACTCCGACTCGCACTAAGCCGGTTTTTAAAATTTCCTTTCGTTGATAGCACTTTTACAACAATCATAACAGTTTATTGCGAGTGATTGATTAAAAATAGTTTTTGTTATTAAATACCCTCCCTCCACCACCCACCCTCTGTCTTAACGCCTAGTCGTGTAAATGAAAATCGTGTTCTGTAATTCCAGGCTAGCTCAGAGTGTGCGGACGGTTATGGCTGCAGCTATATTTCTATCGTACGGCCTCCAATTCTACGTACCGATGAATATAGTATGGCCATTTGTGAAATCGAAATTGAAATCGGATGAGGCGCTCAAACATGGTGAAATCGTGACACGAGTTGTCCTTATATTCATTACATGTAAGTATTTTCTCTCATGTTTTCTATTCCTGATTATTCCATTCTAGTTTTAACAGCAATTTGGGTCAAAAAAACAGGGTTCAATTTGGGGGAGCATTGTTTAAGTGAAAAATTATAAATGTTATAAAATAATATTTAGCAAAGACCTTCTAAATAACTATAGAAAGTACGCGAAAATCTATAGTCGAGTAAGAGTCATAATATGAGTAAAAGTAATAACTTAAGCAATTTAAAAAAAATAAACAAGAATTTGATAGAAGTCAAAAGTAAAATTATTCTTAGCTATTAAAAGTACTTGCTTCATTTAAATTCTTGTCGCCAAAAAATTCTCAAGCAATTACTTCTCTTGACTATAGATACAAGTGTTAGAGTTTCCCCAAAATAAAGGGATCATGACCTTATCACTTGTTTGCAAACATAAGCTTGTTTATTTTTATAGATAATATTTTTATTGACTCACAGTTCAATGACTCTAATTACAAAATAGAAAATTGATGTTTTGTTTGAAAATATCTAAATGTTTTAGAAATATCGGGTTTTTTAAATTTATTATTCTATGTGGCGGCAAGTAACAAGTGTTTTAATTTATTTTTATTCCTTTAATGAATCAATGCAAGTCATGTTAAATGCCAATGAACTGTTATGATAGTAAGAGATAATGCTATGCTGACAGACGTGTGCCTATAGACATATTATTTTATTCTCACACTAGATTATTTTTATAAGTAGTACCGAGGTCTAACTTGTGTAATTATAAAATCTATCGCAATTTTCAATTTGAAATTTTAAAGATATTCAGGAACTTCACGCTATAAATATTTGACATGTGACAGCGATTGCAATCGCGACTTTTTTTTAAAGATATTGATTTAACGATAAAGTTCACGGTAATAGGCTAGTTGACATTTTTTTATATATAAATAGTCTATTAATATCTGAGATGAAATGTAGAAGTAACTGCATTTTTGCGATTAATTGTTTCGGATATCACCGGTGCTATGTTTGTGGATCTGCTGCTAGTCGGTCGAAAACGTCCCACAAATACAAGCCATTATGTGACGTCACACAGTGCAATAGATCAGCGTCTGGGCAATCTTTGTAATATCTGTTTTATTCGTGCGTTTCTGTTTATAGCTGTTACAATGAAATTTGCTTCCTTATACGTAACTAATTTAATGTCATATGTATTTTAGCATATAGTTTGTAATATTTCCCCCTACCTTTTTAAAGTTTTCAAAGCGTAATACTTTCGAAATTATTGTTATTTGTCGAACATATAACGGAACCATGTATATTCACTTGTAGGATACAACCCTATTGTTTAAACAAAGCGATAAATGCTTGAAAGCTATTGAGACATTTCGAAAGAAAGACACGAATGCTAACTGCAATCTTTCGACAGGTTTAACAATTTTAGTTGTTTTTTAATTATACAAATCATCATTTGTTTCAGAAACGTTTGCAACTTTACATAATTTCATAAAAATAATAATATTAATTATTTTTATTTGCGTTAGATTTTGAAATTAGACGGTTAACCCACGGGTTACAATGAAAAAATAACTAAACTTTCATCGATTCTTCATGTACTAATAAATTTTAGAGAAACTCCGTAGCTGAGTGGCACGCACGCTGGTTTCATGGTTAACTTTGAATTCCCGGGTTCGATTGCCGATCGGGTCAATTTAGAAAATGAACTTTTCTATTTGTGTTAGGTCTGGGTGTTGTATTACCCAGACCCAACATAATAGAAGTAGCTTTAGCTACTTAATTTAGCATCTGAGCAATGTCTCATTTTTATTATCATTAGTTTGACCAATACCGTTCACTTTTTACCGTACGTTTCGCAAGTATAAAGACTGCATATGAGATTATGTTCAAATAAATTATTAAATTAGTCAATCAAGAACTGGCGGTAGGAATCGTTTCATTTCGATATTTCAATGAAAATAATAGAATACAAAGCCGATATCTTATCAGCTCATTACCTATATACAATGAACACGCTATCGAGTACTCTACACGAATGAGGTCATCTAATGCGTTATCGAACAGTTTCAGCGGCGGCATTGATTCCAAATCTGAGCGGAATTATTTCGCTCGTCGGCGCATTCAGCAGCTCAGCATTAGCGCTCATCTTCCCGCCTATTATTGAGATTGTCACCTTCTGGCCCGATCATTTGGGCGCACACGGGTGGAAATTATGGAAGGATGTATTTATAATCGTATTCGGCATCACAGGATTCGTATTTGGAACATACGCGAGCTTGGAAGCTATTTTGAAACATTCGTAAAATTAAAGATCTGAACATTTGTTTGATAACCAAAGAAAATGATTTGTTACTTATTTATATAGATTTTAATGTGTACCATGACAATAATATTAATCGATAGATCTTATTTCGCTTTTTAAGCTAAATTTAGCTTTGTAGGTGTCGAATTGTAAATCTTAATATAAACGAATAAAATTTGGTTAACCTGTAATTATTAACATTTGAATGCTTCATGTTTAAATTTATTGTGATAAAAATGGCGGATTTGTCTTAAAATCATATATTGATTAATGTTGCAATTTTATATTCCATTTAAATCGATTTGTACCTGTTGTCAGTGTTTTTTGCTTATGTGATATTTTATTTACAGTACCTAGGTTATATTGGAAATGTAATAATTGTTAACAATATCAGACTTTTATTTAGGTGCTTAAATGTTAATATAATTTATTGTGATGCATAATGCATTATATATATATTTGTCTTAGTAATTTTAAGAATTCCATTGTGTTATAGGGCAAAATAAAATTGTGTACTATAGTTAATATTAGAATACAAGTCACAGTCATCTTTTACCTTTGGTTTCAGCGCAGTATAGTTAACAGAATATCCATTGATTCTGAAAATTTGCAATTTTTGGACGTGAGGTTTGTCTCGAAATATTTTTAGTTTTCTATTAGAAAACATAGTTAATTTTACTCTCTTATTTTCTATGCACGGTTTTTTTTATAACGTTGTTTTGTTTGTCGACTTTTTTTTTAAGTTTATAATAATGTTAATAAAATGCATTTATAATGTATATAGTCAGTCACTATTAATTAGCCATTATAATATTATTTTTGATAATAATTTTATGAACTTCTCAATGTGTACAAACTATCTGTTTTATTTAATCGTATTAGTGAATTTTTGTTGCATAATTAATGATTTATATTTCATACGCACACAAAAATTTGGCGGGAAAAGCGTTCGTCGGCCGCGGTTTGAATATTGATGGTTACTCTGCAGTACTATTCTATGTGTTTAATAGAATCAGGCGTTATTTTACGGAAGTCCTAAAACTAAGGTAACTAGCAACTTCGACACCCAGTCAGTATCAGCAAGACCTACTTGCTGTGTACTGCCTGAACACAAATTCGCATGTACGTTTTTCCTGTGGTTAAACCTTCTTTGTATTTTTGCTCTCCTATGGCAATTTAACTAATAAACTACAAAGTTATAGTTGAAGTCCATATGCCCGCCAAATTAAAGTAATTCGTCGATTAGGATTTTATTATAAGAACCTCATATAGGATTTTACGGTGCTTATTGGCCCGAATACAAACTAAATTATAAGGCATTTATAGAATGTGCCTATTTTCTGATCTTCGTATAGAATTAATCAATCTACCCTTTTACGCGTGCATTATGTTAGCAGTGCTGACTTTCATTATTCTGTTCCGAATATAAAGAAAATAAAGTTTTTGATAAAAAAAAAAATTGCAATTATAACTCGCATGCTTGTAGAAGATAGGTTTACCATTTATCTGGTTTCATTAGGTTGCTGTGGCATCTTTTGTATATCTGGGAATCCTAAATGGATTAATCGAGCTATTTTTTTCAGTTGTAAAGTTCTAGTTATTATTAATATAACCCGGGGAAACATCACAATTATTCTACAATATTTGACGACCTTCGTAACCAAGTGGTTTGCTATCCGGTTTCAAGGTGTCGCTAACTCTGAGGGTCCGTTTTCGATTCCCGGTCGAGTCAGTGTAGAAAAAAAAACTTATTTGAATTGTCTCGGGTCTGTCGGGTGTTACCTCCAGTTCAATAGCGAATCTTAACATTCAAAATGTTATATTGTTTCTTCAGTTTTACATTAATAATACTATACTGAAAAATATTTAAGAATTTTAAGCGTTTTTCATTAAGAATATTTTTCAGAATAGCATTGTGAATGCAAAATTGATAAAATAAAATAATTAGAACAAATTTTCATCTTTAGCGAAAGTTTAAATATTTGTAAAAATATTTCCTTCGGCTGTTTGGGTGGATTGCCTGAACATTGATGAACATACGCCCTGTAGTAGCGAAAAAGTAACAAGTGCTTGAAAAAATCGTCAGTCTTTTAGGTCCTGGGTAGCTCAGTGGTTAGAACAGTCGCCCAGGTTGCGAAAGGTCGTGGGTTCGAATCCCATCTCAGAGTACCAGGGAAAAAGTAATTTTTTTTAAGCATTTTTCATCAAGAATATTTAGTACTTCTTTTAATAAAAATAAATATGGAGACAATTTCCGTTAACCGCTTTTAGTTTAGTCGACGTCTTATATTCATATAATGTGGTAATCCTAATCGTAACATCTTTTAATAGCATGGCACATTAACGTTCTAGGATTGAATCTAATGGATATAGAATATTATGTATAAATTTTAAAGAATTAAAGGTATACTTCATTATTTTTTTATCATATATATTGACTTAATGTAGTCTTTAAAGTTCTTCTTACGCTTCGGTATGTCAGCGTTATTAAATTTGGTTGACTGCTATGGATAACTAACTTATAATTGTATATTAGCCATAATAGCAGTGTCTATACTTACTAGTAAAACATTCTTATTGTGTTAGAAAGTGTATTGTTTATTGCGACTATTTATTATACTGTGAAATATAAACTTTATCAAACAGTCAAAAATCTAAAAGCTGAACATTTAATAAATTATTTGTGCATAATATGGTTTTTATTATACTTGTTAACCCCGTTGTAACTATGCATCCATGATATGTCTAAAACAAAAGTTTCTTACTTTATAAATATAACTAATACATTTTAGCTATTATTTTGAGTATTAGAATTGCACAATTATCCTAACGTCTCAAAATTAAGTCGCAATTTTTAGTCTGGGTGTCATGTTTAAGCACGACCCGCAATATTGTGTGACGCCGCTGGCGACAGGTGTCAAATATCTAGATGGCGTTATTTTTGTTTTATTGACATCTTTTAGTCTTCTACTCCATGCACCTGTTTTGATACACAAAACAGATGCATTACTCTGATATTGCTTTTGGTTATCAATAGTAATAAATGTATTCAAAATCAATAAAAAAGAAGTATTCTAAAATTTAATAATACCTGACTGCCAACATCGAGCTTAAAATATAAAGAACAAGTTGTATTATGAGTCAGCTAAACAAAGTTCTCATTGGAATAATTACAGTATTATAAGAGTTTAGAAAGACGACTTTAAGCTCTAATGAATGTTGAAATTTTTAAAAATCGCTATAAAATGATGACAATCATAATAGAAGTTTGTGCTACTGGGTTTAAGAATTTTTAGGTCTTTTATACGTCATATCGATATTAGGATATAAGGATATTTTTTGACCAATCGATAAAACTCATTGAAGACTTTGCGCCACTTATTAAGACGAATTACATAACTTCTTCTTTTTATTTTATTAATGGTTTATATGCGTTTTTCGCACAATTTTGCCAACGTCAAGTGATTAAATTAGTTAAATACAAATTCGATTTATTTCTATTTGTAAAATTAAACGAATGAATGATGTCGATTATATCCTGTCTGCTCACTATAGTCTATGCATTAAAATTGCTGAGTTATCTATGGAGGTGCTACAGAGTAATTTCTTAGAGACTACCATAAAGTAACTTATATAGACTACTTTACTCGTACTTACAAGAAGTTGATATATTTTTCTATACCTATTACAAATAAAAACATATAGTGTAGCTTTCTGTGATATTTTACTCTTTTCTCTTTAACTTTGAGTTGTAAGATGATTTATAGCATAAAATTGACATTCCATACACCATCGCCAACAAAATCAAGTTCATTTTTTGCTACGATTTTTTGTGCCACGTGCATTCGTTCCTAAACGTAGCTTTACTAAATTAGAAACTTTATGGTTAAAATGTCACTTATGTCATTCACCGACAACAATTAAAAAATGTCGGAATCGTGTCAAGACGGTAATTGTCATGGAATTAACGAATATGGGCCCGACGAATCACCTACGAAACTCATTGTCAATTACATTCCTGAAGTCATGACCCAGGATATGATGTTCTCGCTGTTTTCGACAATGGGTAAATTGGAAAGTTGTAAACTGATAGCGAACCGAGGCTATGGGTTCGTAGAGTACACTTGTCCTGAAGATGCAGTTAAAGCTCGCAAAGCTTTCAATGGCCTTTTAATGCAGAACAAGACATTGAAGGTGTCGCATGCACTTCTTAATCCAGAATTAAAACCCCCTTCAAAACCGGAAGCAGATTGGAACCTTTACGTATGTAACCTGCCTAATGAACTGACCTTGCAGGATTTACATGGACTTTTTGCACAATTTGGTAAAATAGTTAATTCTCGTATAGCTGCAGGTATAGCATTTGTTTTATATGAACACCAATATGAAGCAGAGAGAGCCATCCAAAATATTAATGCTACTACTCCTCCTGGATTTTTACACCCTTTAACTGTTAAGTATGCAAATAAGAGTAACCCAAATAAACATAAAAACAATAATAATAATTTTACTAAAAGTCCTCTGGTGAAACCTTATCATTGGATTAATCATATGGGTGCTATGGGGGATCATAACTCTCCTAGCACATGGTCTATTTATATTTATAATATTGCTCCAGAAGTTGAAGAATTAACTCTGTGGCAATTATTTGGTCCTTATGGTGCTATTGTATCTGTTAAAATTATCAAAGATCATCAAACAAATAAAAGTAAAGGATTTGGGTTTGTTACTATGAGAAATTATGACCAGGCCGCTATGGCAATACAAGCCCTAAATGGTTATGTTTTACATGGTCAACCTCTCTCTGTTAGTTTCAAAACACAAAAAAGATAATGCTGTGAACAAAGACTCGACCATAACAATATCAATACAGTAATGAATAGACAAAAATAATAATTTTATCATTGATTGGCATTAATATAAGCTGCATTGAAATAGACTCGATAACTGCCCATGTACACATAACCATGAAGTGGGAAGTCTGTAGACACTTGTTGAAAATATTATATTACTTTGAGCTATCAGCATTGTTAAGTTTGTTTCTTATTATGAATAATAATTTATTCAGTTTGCTCGTTAAATATTTCAAGTTTACTAGAGATGTAAGATTTGTATTGAAGATGATTGTTATTTGGATTTTCAGCATCAGTTGTAAACTAAAATGCTTTCATTATTTTTATCTATTATTTAAGTGTAATAAACCATTTTTAAAAAAGTGCTTTTACAAGATCTTACTAATTAATAAGCCACATTGAGATGTTTAATCAGCTACTAGTTTTAGTTGTACACTTTTTTATAACATGATGTCTATTTAGGTAGTGAAACGAAATCTAGATTATATCATATTTATACATTTAGTATAAAATTTGCTGAATTAAAGTTCATTTTCACAATTTTAAAAATGTATTTTGATTTATTTACCAAATAAAGGATGGAACTACTAGAAATGTCTGAATCACAACATGTCCTAATAGCTTTATTCCAAAATCTATTTCTTGGTAAATATTGAAAGTCTGAAAAGTATACCATAAAACACTACTATTCTCCAACTATTAGAGATACCATATAAATATCTCTAATAGTTGGAGAATAGTAGTGTTTTATTATTCTCTGACTTAATATCTTTTTAAAAATCTTGAATGCATATGATTGTAAGCTATCTACTAACTGTAAAAGCTGTATATTTTTATATAGTTGTTATGAAATAATGATTAATATGAAGTATGTTTTCTGAATTGAATATATAATTTTCTTTTTTATGAACTAGTGAAAAAATGTATAAAACTGGTTGATGTTTTTTCGTATCTTAAAGGCTTAAATGTAAATGAGGTAAAGTATGTTATTGATTTTTCTCAGAACATTAACCGGTATAGGGTAAACTGCATAGGTAATAATTTTATTTGATATTGTCCTGGAATCTCCAGAAATATTGTAGTTATTTAAAGCTAGTCTATTTTGTGTTCTTATAATGTATTTTTGAAGGAAGATAGAAGATAATCTAAAAATAATATTTTTAATACAATTATAGCTACATATTAGCTTTAATTTTATAAATGAATTTTTATGTGTCTTTTTATTTTAAAAACTTAAGGGATCATTTAAGTTATTAAATTTTGTAATTTAATTACGGAACAAAGAAATGTAATTAGAAATAACAGCAGAGCCAAGATTAAAAAGTTTAGGTTAGTATAGATAGTATAGTAGCACACAAACCAATCCGCCCATTGAGTGTAACTTTAGTTTGAGTTGCCTCAATCCCTACTAGATGGCGTTAGTAGTAACAAAATATTCACAAAAATAAAGTATTACCCGCTATAGTTCACTCATTTAATAAACAGTAGAGTTCAACCTTGTTCAACTTAAACTTTATTCAAGGGCAGTAGACCATTCTGTTCCTTTAATCTAGGTTATAGTGCGGTGTGATGGTTCCCGAATGGAAATGTTAAGCACTGTGTACACCTCTACAGCTGGCGTAGCACGTTTAGTTCGCATCCAATGACCTACATACTTATTTTGTAAGCACTGTTGGCCAAGTTTGTTTTAATTTGTTTCCGGTCGGTTAACCTAAAAAGAAAATTGAGTAGTATCTTTGAAATAATGTAGTAACTACTGTCGTCTGATTATTTTCCCTGATAAAATATAATCATAAGTTGCTTATTTTATCATTGTTACATATTCAAATTTATCACTATTCTTTGGGATTTTTTATGTTTCAATGTGATGGAAACTCAATAAAGAATAACTAATTTTTATAAAATATCCTCGGATACTCTACATAAGCTGAGGCTAAAGTAAAGACTTCACATATATCATAGACTATCAGCCAATTGCACAAACTTCCATTAAAATTGTCATTAGTGTAAAGCGACATTACCCTTCTGCTCTGCCCCCTCCCCGTTACAAGTATTGAATTTTATTTTGCATATATTTATATTAAAAAAATACCGAAGTCATTACTGAAGTCATCGATGATGCAATAAAACCAGTTGAAAGTTTGTAATTTTGACTATAATCGCACTCTCAAACAACAATAAAGTGTATATATGTCTAACAAGTTCACACATGGCGTAGTCCAATAGAAGTACACGAACTTTCTTTCCTTTTCTCGTAGATCACTTTCTAATTTTTCTGGTTCATATTCACAAAATTCTTACTAAATGGGCTCTATCCGTCAGGCTGGCAACGCACTTTCTTGAATCTTGAAATTAATTACTCGACTCATTAAGTCCTTTGATTTTCATTCCGTTACGAAATAGGGACAAATAGCTAAGTTACATATGGTCAGTTCCACAAACACCCATTAACGTTTAAGACGCCTTGAAACTATGAATATCAAATGTGTATGGGTAATGTCGCTTCAAACTCGCTATGACAATTTTAATGGACGTTTGTGCAACTGGCTGATAGTTAATAAGAAAACCGGCGAGGTGCGAATCGGAATCCGCATCGAGGGTTCCATAAAAACCTGTAGGTATATTTTGATATACCTAACTAAAAATTTAAGGTTAAAGGAATTTTTCCTTTATATGTGCTATTAAGCATTGCTACATGCCAAATTGATTTTCTTCGAGCTTAAAGGTATTATAGTCGACCTATAGACTATAATACCTTTAAGCTCTAAGAAAATCAAACTTATATGTCAACGCAATCTAAAGAAACAGTAATTTATGTTACCTTTGATTGCGTTGACATAGAGTCCGTATATTTTCAAACTCGCAAGGGCATCAAAACCTAAAGGGTGAGATAACCTACTTTTGATGATATAATATGATGTAGGCAACTAAAAATTTACGCTTTTAGCAATTTTTCCTCTATCTGTGCTTTAAAAAGTTCGTACCAAATTTCAAGATTCACGGGAAGTACAAAAGAGAATCAAAACCTACAGTTTTGGAGTTTTGAAAATTTTCGACATAAACGGCTGTATCTTTTGATTGCATTGGCTTAGAAGTTTGATTTTTCACAGGTCCAAGGGACGGTAGACCTGAATATTTTATATAAATTTCAGCTTGATACCTTCACGCGCTCTGGGAAAAGGATCGTTACAGACGGATGGACAACAAAGTGACGGACAATAAGGGTTCCGTTTTTTCTTTTCGAGGTATGAAATTTAAAGTAACTTTCAAAGTCATCAATTGATCAGTAAGGGATAATTCGCTAAACTAAAAAATAGATTTACCAGCAGGCTGATTAGGCTGGAGCCTAGGGATGCAGATTTTTGTTAGAGCCTAGGAATAACAGAGGTTTTTATACCTAGTTCCATAAATAATTTCGACACTGTCATTTAGCCATAATAATCTTTTCTTTTGTTCTGTTTATTCTGACGCTGTGTAAACTCTGCTAATAAACCACATCAGGGTTATGGGCGTAAAAATCCACCACGCTGAAGAATGTCTAGAGAGAATAGCGATAGTATGAGTACAGTCGCTGATAGAGGTGATTCGAGTTATAAGAGTGATTCGTATTTTGGAACTATGAGTAGTACACCCGTTATAGAGAAGCTTGACGGTAATTCAAACTATTCTACGTGGAAGTTCCAAATGGAAATGTACCTAATCGATGCAGACTTATGGGAGTATACGAGAGAGACTCCAGCCGTAAGTGACGTACAAGGTACAAAGAGAGATCAGCGGACTAGGGCCAAGATTTGCTTGATGATAAAGCCTCATTGTTTAATTCATGTCAAAAAGGCCTCGACAGCTAAACAAACATGGGAATCATTAAGAGATGCTTTTGAGGATAAGGGCCTAAATAATCGCTGCAGGCTGCTATCAAGACTAGTAGGTTACAAACTAGAGCGTTTTTCAACTGTTCGAGAATATGTCACTGCAGTAATGACAACGTCTCAGGAGCTGTCAGATCTTGGAAAAGAGATCGATGATGAGCTATTAGCTGCTTTGATTCTTCAAGGTCTTACCCAAGAATTTCAACCAATGAGATTAGCTATAGAGAACAGTAACATTCAGCTTACTACCGACTATGTGAAGACCAAACTTTTTCAAATGGAAGATACGTTTGCCGCTTCTACTTCCAAAGAACGAGACATGAATATTTCTGTGACTTCTGCACTTTTATCAAAACAAAAAGGCAAGAAGAAGCCAAAAGCTAAGAAGCTTCAATGTTTTATTTGTGGTGCTGCACATAAAGCGATCGAATGTCCTAACAATCCAAAGAAGCAAAAGGAAGCGTTACACACTTTTGCACTAGCTACAGCTGGAGATTCCGGAAACGAGGATTGGGTTCTCGATTCAGGAGCGTCGTCACATATGACTAACAAGAGAGAGTGGTATAAGGACTATAAGAGTATAGACCCTATAACAGTGACTTGTGCTAATAATACAAAAGTGTATGGAGAAGGAGAAGGTACGGTAGTATGCAATTCATTAGGAGGAATGTCAGTTACTAATGCTATGTATGTTCCTAAGTTATCAACTAACTTATTGAGCGTAAGTACTATTGCGAAAAAAGGTTACATAGCAGTATTTGGAAACGAAAGGTGTGAGATTTTTAAGAGTAATGAATGTGTGATTTCAGGTCGAGTATTTCTGAAAGGTGTAGTAGAAAGAGGCGTATATAAATTAAAACAGTGCTGTTTACAGGGATCAGCTCTTGCATCAGCGACTGAAAAGGATTCACTGATAGACCTGTGGCATCGGAGAATGGGTCATCTTGGTAAACGTAATCTACTACTACTTAGAAATAAATTAGCAACAGGGGTAAGTTTTCCTAACACAAATTCTAAACTCGAATGTGTATCTTGCTTGAAGGGAAAACAAACAAAACAACCATTTCCGAAAAAGAGTACACGTGGTATGAGAGCTACGGAGGTACTTGGTCTAATACACTCGGATGTGTGTGGTCCCATTAATGCTCCTTCTTTTGGTAAATGCCGTTACTTTCTTACCTTTATCGACGATTTTACTCGAAAAACTTTTGTCTACTTTTTGAAACATAAAGATGAGGTGTTTGAAAAATTTCAAGAGTTTAAGGCACTAGCTGAAACGCAAACTAATAAGAAGATAAAGGCACTAAGAACGGATAATGGCACAGAATTTGTTAATAGAAGGATGGATGAATTTTTGAAGAGAAATGGAATTCAACACCAACTCACGGTTGAGTATACCCCAGAACAAAATGGTGTTGCTGAACGAGCAAACCGCACAATATGTGAGAAAAGTAGAGCGATGATTCAAGGTCTACCTAAATCATTTTGGGCGGAAGCTGTACATCATGCAGTGTACTTGAAAAATAGGTCACCGACTATTGCTCTTAAAAATAAAACGCCAGAGGAAGCCTGGACAGGGAGAAAGAGTAACCTTGAAAATATAAAAGTTTTTGGATGCAAAGCTTTTATGCACATTCCTGACCAGAAACGAACGAAGTTTGATGCCAAGAGCAGGGAATTAGTCTATGTTGGATTTTGGGATAATGCCAAAGCATATAGATTGATAGATCCTAAGTCTGGTGTAGTGTTTAAAGCGAGAGATGTTGTATTTTTTGAAAACCAAATGTATCAACAAGAAGATCCTTCTACGACGAATGCACATTCAGATTTTTTAGAGGAACATCAAATAATTGAGGAAGTTCGTACTACTGGGAGTAATGTAGAGCAAATTGGAGCCTCAGCTAATGAAGCACCTGTTGAATTTAATCAGGAGGAGCAAGAGGATATGCCTGGAGAAGATTTTGGTCAACAACTGACTGAATCGAATGTTGAAAATGGAGAAAATTTTAATAGAGCACCTGTCGAAATTCGACAACAGAACGAATTAGATGGTGAATGTCGCGATGAGGACAATTATTTTTCAGCTGATGAAGACGAAATAGAAGCGTCTACGGCTGAAAGGAGATATCCATTAAGGGAAAGGAGAGCCAGAGAGTTTCCCGACTACATCCTTTATCATACAACCGGGAGTGAATCGGATCCAACATCGGTTCAGGAAGCTTTGTCTCGGAGAGATGGGGATAAATGGAAAAAGGCAATTCAAGAAGAATTGCATGCATTAAAGAAAAATAATACATGGACCTTAGTGAAACCACCGGCAAAGTGCAACATAGTTGATTCTAAATGGTTATTTAGAATCAAAGAAGAGGGAGGAAATAATGTGAGATATAAAGCTCGACTAGTTGCACGTGGCTTCAGTCAAAGAAGAGGTTTTGACTATGAGGATACGTTTGCACCGGTGGTCAGGCACAGCTCGTTGAGGACTTTGCTAGCTTTAGCCAGTGAGATGAATTTACAGGTTGACCAAATGGACGTCAAGACCGCTTTCCTGAATGGAGATTTAAGAGAAACGGTCTACATGAAACAACCTGAGGGCTTTGAAGTTAAAGACAAAGCTGGATATGTATGTAAATTAAATCGGTCATTGTATGGACTTAAGCAAGCTCCTCGTGCATGGAATAAGAAACTAGATAGTGAATTGAACCAACTTCAATTTATACAGTCTAAAAATGAACCTTGCGTTTATACAAGATTCATTGAGAATAGAATCATAATATTAGCTGTTTACGTAGATGACATGCTGATATTTTGGAATAACAAGGAGGAGCTTCAAAAGGTAAAACGGGAGCTTACCTCGAAATTCGAAATGAAAGATCTTGGACCAGCACATATTGTTTTGGGAATGAGAATTACCAATAATAAGGATCATATTAAAATTGATCAAGAAAAATATATAGAGAAGCTCCTCAAGACGTTTGGTATGGAAGATTGCAAAGTGGCTGCAACACCTGCAGTACCTGGAACTCATTTAAGGAAGTCGGAGGACAAGCCAGATGAGAGAATTCCTTATCAGAATCTTATTGGGTCATTGATGTACCTGGCGGTTTGTACCAGACCAGATATTACAAATGTAGTTAGTTCCCTGAGTCAGTTTAACACCTGCTACGCCGAGGAACATTGGTCAGCTGCTAAAAGGGTGTTGAGGTACTTGAAGGGCACAAAGAATTTCGGAATTCACTACACAAGGAATCGTGATGTGACTAATAGTCTTCAAGGCTATGCTGATGCAAGTCATGGTGGCGATTTAGACAGGAAATCTTGGACGGGTTTTGTTTTTACATCTCAAGGAGGAGCTATTTGCTGGCAGAGTGTCAAACAACGCACCATAGCTTTGTCGACTGCAGAAGCAGAATATGTTGCCTTATCAGAGTCTGCAAGAGAGGCAATATTCTTAAAGAGATTTATAGCTGAGATTATGTGCAAAGAGGAAAAGTGTATCACAATATTTAGTGATAGCCAATCTGCTATAGCAATTGCACAAAACCCAGTGCATCATCAGCGAACGAAACATATCGATATTCGCTGCCACTATATTAGAGAAGCTGTTGAGAATAACCAAATAGTGGTTAAATATGTTGAAACCAATCGGATGGTTGCTGATGCATTGACCAAACCCCTAGCAAAAGGAAAGTTTGACTGGTGTGCAAGTCAAATGGGTTTAAGAGTGTGATTGAATGACAGTGAGTATGCATGGTATATGCTGAATCAAAATTAAGGAGGAGTGTTAGAGCCTAGGAATAACAGAGGTTTTTATACCTAGTTCCATAAATAATTTCGACACTGTCATTTAGCCATAATAATCTTTTCTTTTGTTCTGTTTATTCTGACGCTGTGTAAACTCTGCTAATAAACCACATCAATTTTAGGGGGCGTCCAAGGCCCAATATTTTTTTGTCTTACAGAAATTAAAAAAAATATTTCATACAAATATTTAGGTGATACCTATCTGATGAAAAGCGTATTTTGTTTTGTTATCAAGGGAAAAAAACTACTGATTTGATTCCGATAAAATTTAAATGGGACCACCTCGGTCCATTAAGTTTCGAATAAAAAAATAATTTTGGAAAAAAACATCACCGTCGAATATATACCCTCCTCCTTCCTCCTTTTTAATTTGAAGTCGGTTAAAAAAGGATTACTAAGGGTTACTCCATAATCATGGCACTTGCAACAGTCCGAAATATCGGGTACTAAATATAAAGTCGCAATCTCGTTTTCAACAATCATTTTGATGAGGGTTAAATAAATTGTATTACGATAATTATTGCTTTACAATAATTTCTATGTAAAATTTACAACATTATGTCGTTTTCATGTATAAAATAATGAACAAAAAGTGCAAAAAATGCGGTAAATTCTAAATACTCAAACTCAATAAGTACTATTTGTCAAAAGGGATATGAAGAAAGTGGAAATCGTAGCGTAGTTACAAAAAGTTAACATAGATTTTGTTGATCGAAGCATCTATGCAACATCAATGAATTATGTTTCAAAATAAACTTCAAATTTAGAACATTCATTAGGGCTTAAATTTGCCATTAATTAAACCTTAACGGACGTTTGTGCAACCAGGTGATAGAATAATATTATTTTTTTATATAAAGAACAATCAATACTCATCGAATATTCTAGTACCCTATTTTTGGAACGAAATACTGTTACATAGTGATAAAATCCAGTATCGGAATCATGGCTCAAAGTCAAATGTGTAGCGCTTGTAGGCAGCAAACTTATATACTTAGTGCCTAATAGTAAAATCATAGCAAAAACAATTATAAAATGAGGCAGGCGTTACACGATTAATTTCTTTTTTATTTTATATATAGAAAAACAATTGAAATGTAAACATTTATGTTTTTTCATAATATAACTATACATCGTCAACAAGATACTGCAAAGCTGTAGCGACTTACTCCTACGGCGCATGCTCTTTTCGTGTTTCATGAATCAATATGCTTAGTGGTTGTATATCACGCAACCAGTTCTGTTTCTAGTTTTATTTCTATTAATTAAACAAAATTACGTTTCATAGTGAATTAGAATACCGCTGAAGTGGCCGTGGAGGGAGAGGGTTCTGCGGTTGCGGGAGGCGTAGGCCTCGCCGTGAGTAGTAAGGTAAGAATTTTTTTCAATAAAAATACCTTTATTATTAAACACATACTATTTTAAAATAATTCGAGTACCGATATTAAAAAGATATAGGTGAATATTTGTAATATAAAAACGAGGTAGGTCTTGGGAATTTATTACTTTGATGTGAAATACGATAAGTTATTCATGAGCGCCGAATATTACTAATAATTACCTACCACCTAACTACCCCAATGCCTTACGCAAATGACTTAGTATGAAATAATGTTACTTTCTAAGGTACTTAAAAATAAAGAATAATAATAGAAGATCTCTACAATAAATTTTCAATTTAATTGAGTATAAAGAAATATGTCATTTATAAGACGGGGTTCGGTCTCTATTACGAGTATCTCGAGCTCTACTGTCATTCGAAAAGCAAATTAAAACCTAAGGTTATAAACGTTGTTGCGGTTCATTCTATCCAGACTGATATTATAAATGCGAAAGTAACTTTGTCTGTTTTTGTGTGTTACGTTTCAAGCCTAAACTCTGAACCAATTTTAAAGAAATTTGTTACACAGATAAATCACCGCGGACGGGAATTACTCTAAAAAATGTTACCAGTCGGATCCAATCTTTGGCGGTGTAACGCTTTTAAATTCAGGAAGGGGGTTACCATCACCTCTTTCAGCAATCTCCCGCTAGCTGCACGGATTAAGCATACTATATATATATACTATAAGAGCTCATGATTGGCCCCCAGGTGTATCCTAGTCCGGGGGCGGCGCGCGGCGTCTGGGCGCTGCCGCAGCCGCCCCCCTGCTCGATGGCAGCGGAGGAGCCCCTGCCGCCGTGCTCACCCATGTCGCCTGACGCACCCGCAGCACCGCCACGTGCTATTACCAGCCTATATCACCATTCCGATTTACACCAGCTGATATTTGAAGCCGTGCGCTCAGGGTAACAACATGTGATAATCTTATACGACAATACTTAGCTTTGCACGTTCTAGAGCCCGATTTTGGATTCGAACCCAATAGCTTTTCTCAATCTAGGTGACTGTTATAACTCTTTATATAGCCCGAAGACTTATTTTCATCAATATTCAGGTAATTTACTCCACGAATCAATAAGTATAAATATAAATATAGTACGGTACATTATGATTGCAAAATGTATTTAATGGCATTAATCTAATGAATATTTCTGATCGACCTTATATCATTAGTATTATGAAGCTAATTACTTGTAATTTCGCCTATTTTTTTGTTCTGTTATGCCAATTAATTAATCAATAACAATTTAAATGAATAAGGCGTTACCGTAAATATTATCATCAAAATGCAGTTTATGCTACATCGAACTCGTTCTCGAGCGCAGCGCTGTGGGTTTCAGTGAAATAAAACCTCTACGCTATGATAGCGATGCATTACGCAACAAGTTCGACGGTGTTTATATAACGGAATAGCATTGCTGGTCCTTCGAGCCGGAGTCCTTTTGGTGAAGTTAAATATTATACTTAAATATTGAATTTAATTAGAACAAATCGAAAAATAACCCAAATCCTACTTGCATAATAAATAACGAATAGTAATTAACCTAAATGAACTCTTAAACCAAAGGTCATAGTCAAAAGTTTATTTGCAAACTAAGTGTCGGTATATAAAACATGTATAATAAACTGAAGATTTTTCTCCTTTTTTAATTAATTTGTTGTAGCGAACAGATGACATACAATATGTCTCATGAATGTAGGTACTCATTTATAGAGTAGTAGCATTTTGATACAAGGAACGAATCTAAAAGTAGAAGAAATGATATAAATAAACAGGAAGGTAAGTATTTAATATTTTTCTGTTTCCCAGCGAGGTATCAGAAATAGAACGTTTGGTGGAGAAGTTGGGTGTGGAAGTGCTCAGTGCACGGGACCAGCATGGATACACGCCAGCACACTGGGCCGCTTTAGATGGCAGCGTTGCGGTCATGCGATACCTTGTAGAGAGGGGTGCTCCTATCGACCTATCCTGTCTTGGAACACAGGTGAGTCACTTCTTTTGTGTCTCCATAGCCCATCGACATAACGGTCCAGTATCTACACAACCAAAAGGTCGAAACCGTAGGACTTGGGAGAGTGCATTTGTTTTTCAATTGAGAGTTCATTAACAGGGGTGCGAATTTTGTAGTCATAGGAAACAACATCTTAGCGATATTATAGCGATATTTTTACTACTTTGCTACTTTTTACTACTTTGACATGTCTTTTGGTGGATCAATTTGGGATGACCTAACCATAAGCACCCATAATTGCACTCACGTCCATTAAGGGGCCGTCCATTAATATCGTGATGTTTTTTTCAAAAATTTTTGACCCTCCCTCCCCCTTGGTGATACATGGTGAGGTTTAAGACTACTCATCAACATCCTCCTTCAACCAAATAATGTGTATTTCAAAAAAAAAAACAAAAAGTCTCAATTTTTGACGTTGCTTTTCGGTTTAATAATCGCGCGTCGAGGAAAAATAAATAAATACGTGATATATTACTACACCCCCCACCTCCCTTGTGATATTTCGTGATTTTTAACGGATCCATAATGCTCGAAAGGGGGGGCCCTTTCGAGCACCACGTGATTAATGGACGGCCCCTAAGGTTTAATCGTCATCATCATTCGTTATTCATTCGTTTCTCGTTATTAAAATACCTACATGTCAAGCTTTTATAAAAAACTTTTTATAAAAAGTAGAACCGACTTTAAAAAAGTGATAAATGATACCTACTTATCTCAAAAGCGACTTTTTGAGGAAATGCTATTTAAGTCGGGAGGAGGTTTTCTGTATTAAATAAATGATAGGCGCTCAACTTCAATAGCATCTTCATGAATAAATCGCTTTTGAGATAAGTATAATTTAACATTTTTATAATTCATTAAAAACTGTAGTTTCGTTCGGTTTCGATCCGTTTCCGATTCGATTTAAACGAAATTTATTTAGTAGAATTGGCTCCCAGCTTAATTTTAATTGCGATAAAATATGTTTAACATATATCTAACACTATTATGTTTAGGGACCACGTCCGATCCATTGGGCGTGCCGAAAAGGTCATGCATCTGTTGTACAAGTATTGCTGCAATCAGGTGTAGCAGTTAATGCAGCTGATTTTAAAGGTACATAAAAATTCACGTAAAGTTAATAGTTGTACGTAAATAACTATACGTTAAAAAGACTTATTGTTACAAATCATAGCATAGCAGTATAAAAAGGTCTGATGTATTTTTATTGCCCATTTTATTCAAGATGTTTGAATCTTGTGCATTGCCCAATAACTAAGTATCTTTAGTCAGTAACATGGTCTAATGAATTATGAAAATCATTATTTCAAAATCTAATAAAAATATTGCAAAATGCAAAAGACCTACATACTTCTAATGCGCAGTAATGTTTTATTTCAACATAAACAAGGCTGTGTATAATGTGTTGCTGTAGATGCAAATGGCAAAATGGTATTTAGGACACCGGTGCCGCCCGTTTAGTACCTAAAAATGAAGGCTGTCATTTGAAAGGCTATTTGAGCAACCTACTTGGTTGCGACATATTCATTAGTCCACTCGAGTCACCATATAAGGGTACTAAAACTACGAGTATCAGTCAAGTATAAACAATATAAGTACATAAAAAAATAACGCCCCTGTCTCCAGCAGTTGAGATAAACTGTTGAAAAGCTCACATAGTTTGATCATCACATTTTTTTGTCTTCATAAGTAGGGTAGAAGACCTGGTTTTTGCCACTAACTACACAACAGACATGTTACTTTAAAGTGAACAGTTTCAAAAATGTTGCATTATAGCAAAATTACAGCAATAATAGCTATGATGTATTAAAGTTAACTACCTAGTGACTCTTAAAATGGCTACAACCGGGACGTCTGCCCTAAATAAAGACAGATTCAACCAAATTTTTTGATGTTGGTGCCTTTCTGTAACTTCCGCTTGGCAGGGTAGATCGCCCTTACATACGTGCCTTTATACAACCCATACACACAGTTGCATAAATTTCCATTAAGATTTGATGAAGCTAAGCTCTAATGAATGATATATGAAAAATTGTATCGGTACCTATTATACTCGTAGCATTAAACTAATGAAAAATTTGATGGACGTTTGTGCAACTGGTTGTTAAACATCTAATAATTTCAGGTTTGACACCATTAATGACGGCCTGTATGTATGGGAAAACAGCAACGGCTGCTTATTTGTTGGGAATGGGGGCGGCGACACGACTCTCTGACATCAATGGCGACACGGCCCTTCATTGGGCAGCATACAAAGGGCATGCAGATCTAGTTCGTCTGTTGATCTACTCCGGTGTTCCTTTACACTGCACTGACAATTTTGGTTCCACACCTTTGCATCTGGCATGTTTATCAGGCAATCTTACGTGCGTCAGGCTTTTATGTGAGAAGGTAAAATACACATAATTGCACCCAAAATAATTGCAATTAGGGTGGGTGCACCAGTCTCTATGGTACCAGTCCTATTGATAATATTATTCTAATTTTGATGACCATGAAAGTTTAAAACAACATATAGTTTAAAGATGTGCATTAAACCTAAAATGAGCAAACACGACTGATTATACCTGAAATGAGACAACATTCCGCTAAATAGAACCTCAAAAATATTTTAAAAATAATCAGTAGCAAACCATTATGGTGTTTTCAATGTGATCTCAATTTTAAATCTCAAGTAGTCAGTTAACTTATACATTAATAATTATACCATAAATTAAAGAAGAAATTCAATATACCTACCGACAGTTAAATTTTGGTGCCAACTTTGTCAATTCTTAGTATCGAAAAAATATAAGAAATTACCTTTTCACCCTTTGAGATGCTGAAATTGCCATTATAATAAAGAGCTTACATCGATTAATCAAATCATTATCTATCGTTATTTTTAAGGTAAAGGCAGAATTAGAGCCACGTGACAAAAATGGCAAAACACCGTTAATGCTAGCTCAGAGTCATCGTCACGCAGAAGTAGTGAAGTTACTGCAAAAAGAAATGAAAAGGAAGTCACACTGGATGCCTCCGCTGTCTGAACTGTGGGCTTTACTGTTTGGAGGAGCAGGCGACTCAAAAGGGCCTCTGTTGTTCTTCTTAGTTTCCGTCTTATTGTGGGGTTATCCCATGTACATAATCAGGGTAAGTTAGAGGGAAACATTTTATTACAATATCAGAATAAAATAAGTTACATGTGGCTATTAAGGCCCGCGTTGTAATAAGAACTACCTTAGAAAAGTCGTGCCAAAATATTACGTCTATTCCTATTCAAACTACTCACACATGCGTAACACAGCGTATTATTATTTATTATTTATTATTTAAAGATTATTAGTATTTAAAGATTATTCTTGTTCAAACTACTCAACATGCATAACACAGCGTATTATTGGTGTTATGCATGTTGAGTAGTTTGAACAAGAATAATCTTTAATGCACACGACATAGGACAAGTAACAAATTGCATACCACGAGCAAAATAATATCTAAAAACACGGCGTTATTGCTACGTAGGAATATCTTCCAAGCATCTTCCTATGGAGGAAAATGATTAACTATTGAAAAGTAATACGGGAATACGGGTGGAAATCGTAAAAGACAGAACAGATTGGAATTAATATATTGACTAAAAACGGAAATTACGTGTACGAAAATATTCAAGATCTGGAAAAACAGTAATTTTTAACTTTATCACTAAACGTAATTCCTGATAATATCCAATATGATTAAAAGCGCAGTTTAATTGAATTTTAAAACAGCAGAATTGCTACCAATATCGAAATTTTAACGTTTAAAAGGAGGCATTTAAACACCAATAATAGTACAAACCAAACTGTTATATTACGGTGTCGAAAATTCTTTGACTCCTTTTTAACTACAGGATGTTGACTTGCAAGTACTTTATAAAAATAAATATCATAATATCTCCTTTTTTTCAGTGTATACCGCTTACTTGGAACACATTGCGGTTGTCACATTATTGTTTCCTCTATTGGAATATTATTATGTGGCTCAGCTGGGTGACTGCTAATCGCCGCGATCCTGGATATATACCCCAAAACTCGGAAACCTACTATCGGGCAATCAGACAGATACCTTATTACGATAAATGGAAGAAAAGGAATGTCGTCCTCTCAAGACTTTGTCACACGTGTCGTTGTTTAAGACCGTTAAGGTAAAACATCAAAGGAAATCCATTTACGGATTTTTAAATAAGTCAAACTAAACATAGGTGTTGTTACAACACTTACGTAGTGTTAGCAAAAGCAGAGAACCTACGCTAATTAGCGAATTAACGACACTTTAGTAAGGTCACCAGATTTATAGCAAAAATAAACAAGATTATTAAAACATCCATTAAATTATCTTGATTAATTTTTAAATGATTGCGAAATAAATAGATACGATTATTAGCAACTTAATTCGTCAAGTGTTTTTCTTTTTTATACGTGATATGAGTTTATATCATTTTTTTCAAGTAACTAATCTATTTTACTTTAATATTTTTAAACTCACACGATTTGTATACATTATAATTATATGCAATCGGGTCTTGTTCGTGCATTTTTTAAAACAATTAAACATTATTACCGGATTACCCTCAACTAAAATCAGAAGACGACACCCGCCAGTTCTCCAGTCTCCTCGTGACCACGGCTGCTGTAACGTAGCCGAAACGTCGAGGTAAATTAATTGTTTTAAAAATGCACGAACAAGACCCGATTGCATATAACTATTTTACTTTAGTCTATCATTCATAATTATACGTTAATTAAATAATTACAGATCTGTATCTTGGATATCGTATAAATTAAACGAGTTATTATCTAATAGACACACAAAAGATAATTGAGATAGCTGTTATCATACTCTATCTATACTAATATTATAAAGCTGAAGAATTTGTTTGTTTGTTTGAACGCGCTAATCTCAGGAAGTACTGGTTCGAATTGAAAAATTATTATTGTGTTGAATATACCATTTATCGAGGAAGGCTTCGATTATAACATCACGCTGCAACTATTAGGAGCGAAGAAATAATGGAAAACGCGGACGAAGTCGCTGGCGGCCACTAGTACTCTATACGTATGCTGAAACACGAGTTTTAGGAGCTGTCACCGTAAACAGATTTATCATAAATCAATGTTGAATATATCGTTTACTTCATCATGCCCTGCAGTACTAATCTGAGTGGTAAGTGTAAGTTTAACGCTAACGCGTTCACTAGTGAGCGCGTTAAGAATTTGTATGGAGATTTGTAGTTCTTGATAGTTACCGCTAGGGGCGCTGTGCCGAATTCCATACTAAAATCTTAACGCGCTCACGATCGACAGTGAACGTAAACGTCAAAAAAACTTACACTAAGCGCTCTGATATAAAAACAGCCACTAACTCTTCGTGGAGCGCAGCGCTGTCACGTCGTAGAGGTTCAGTCAATGAAGATCGAAACTTAGATATCAATATAAATACGAAAAAGTACAATCAGAATATGACTTGTTTATTGCGTTTTGAAAACTAATTTTCTTTTAAACATGAAAGAAAACCGGAAGGGTTGTCATGGAGAAATCAAGAACGTACCGTAGCGACATCTAGTTTGATTTCGGGAACTAATGTTTTTATTTAAATATTTCCTCATTCTAACTTACGACCAAAAGATGATTGCATTAAAACTTTCAACCCCGTTTTTAAGAAAAGCATAACTTTTCTAGTTCGTTGGCGTAGTGGATAAGCGCCGCGGCCCGCGATCGTTGGTGTTAAGTAACTTTCGCAAGGGTCGGACACGGGATGGGTGACCGAAAAGTGCTATCTCAAGCTACTCCGTGATTCGGAAGGCACGTTAAGCTGTTGGTCCCGGCTGCATTTTCAGACGTTAATACCCTCCAGTCCGTATTGGGCCAGGACGTGGAGGATCATGGCCTATCCTCCTTAACCATCCAGAGCCCCTGCAGTTCGGACGTAAAAGGGCTGATGATGATGATGATGATGAACTTTTCTAGTCGCTGGCATAGACGTCGAAAAGTTAACAAGATATAGGTTTTAAGAATTAAAACGCCATTACAAATTTGCATACGCCGCGTAGCGACAGAGGGCAAATTATACAAGTTTCTAGTTTAATATATGTAGATAGGTTCGGTGGTTTTCCAAGGTTTTTAATGAGTTTTTTTCATAAAATAACCTTCATTCATCATCTTTTAAATCCCAATTATAAACTCTAACATACAACATTAGTGAATATGGACACAATTATGTACTTATGATCAATATTTTCCGACACGGAGACCGGTTTTAGTACGTCTGTTATAGTAAAGTAAATATATTTCGTTTATTTAAAAAAAACTTTTGGTGACAAGCTTTTTAAGTATTCTCGCCTACCTATAGGTATATTTTAATTTTACAAAATAATGAACAAGATTTTAATTACTTTTAACTCATTTCAATTGTTGTTTTGAAATGAGTTAAAAGTAATTAAAATCTTGTTCATTATTTGTTTTTTTGTTTAAATGTTTGTGTTTTAATTAGTGTAAACGACAGCAGATGCACCCAAGAATAATGGACGAGCTTTCCGAAGCACGGTGGAGCTTGAGATAATAAACTTTTGCCCACCCATCTTATGACCTTTGTGAAATTCACTCAATATCCACATCGCAAACCGAACGCGGTAATTACTGAGCTGCATGATTTTTCTTCAAATCCATTTTCATAGAATAAATAATTTTGTTGCAGGGCGAAGCATTGTCGCATCTGCAAACGGTGTGTAGCATACTTTGACCACCATTGCCCATTTATTTACAACTGCGTTGGAGTACGTAACCGCATGTGGTTTTTCCTGTTCGTGATGAGCGTAGCAATTAATTGCACACTGTCCATTTATTTCGCCTGTTATTGTCTCCTGCTGGAAGGGTTCGGGTTATGGTACGCTCTGGGCTTACTGGAAGCTATCACCTTCTGTGCCCTCGGCTGGATACTCACATGTACCTCTGTGAGTGTTTATATATTTGATTTTTTTAGCTTTTCACAAGGAGTTTGTATATTAATTTTGTTATTGAATCACGTAGCTGCATTGCTGAATTCTACTGGTTATTTATAATCATTCCCTTGTCCTTACAGATCCTGCACGCCTGCATGAATTTGACTACAAACGAGATGTTCAATTATAAGAGGTATCCTTACCTCAGAGATAAGAGGGGACGTTACCAGAATCCGTTCTCCAGAGGGCCAATAATGAACCTGATTGAATTTTTCGTTTGCCTTCCCGATAAATGCGACGAACAAGACTTTTTACACGAAGAGACTATATGATGCGAAACTCGGTGACCTAATGACACAATATCATCTCCAAACGGCAATCGGAAGAATATGGTGTTGTGGTTAAGTCCAATGCAATGTAATGCTACAGTGTAAATCAGAAATAAAAGATTTTGCTCGGTCATCTCAGTGTTGGTGAACAACTGTAGTGTCCATGAGTCACACTCATAACAACGTTGCCTTGGCAGAGGGCCGTAAAGTAGATGCCGTTGCACAAAGGCGTCCCTTAGTGTGGAAAAAACAAAGGCGGGAGAAGGATATGTTACCATACTTTTTGCATTATATAAGTACATGACCGAACACCCGGCTCGAAGGACCAGAGAAACTAGACGGCGCCTTTACGCAATGGCTTAGACGATACGCCCCTCTTGCTATGCGATTTAACTTTATGTCATTTACTGCTTCATTCAGAGACCTCATTTAGGTAAGTTTAATTAGCTCTTTAAAGAATGAAAAAATGATCTATTGTTAATAGGAGTCTCTGAGCTTGGCAGTTAGATATACTTAACTAACATAACAAGTACATACTTGTATTGATATTAAGACATGCTTGTCTATTTTGTTACAGATTGATTATCTTTAGATATATTTTAAATATGTATATTCTCAACTTACACCAAAAAATCTACAAATTTTTATAATGTAGATTTTTTTATAAATTCACCAGTATCATCAGTCCCCGGTTCCCAAGATGGGATAGGAACTCACAATCTTACGGAATCCGGGTTTTTGGGTCGGGTTAGTTGATTGGATCCAATCTTTGAGCCACCCGACCCTATGGCTTTTTACAAATTGCTTAAATTTTTACACGCTTTTACATCTATAAAAATATAGATAATATTTCATAATCATTCAAAACACAATGACAATTGAATGTCTAAGAGGATTTACTATGGCAAAACACATTTCAATGATGTAAAATGCTTTCACGATAAATGGATTATGCCGTGACGTTCAATATGTAAACATAATTATGATTAAATAAAAATCAAACAGATAATGTTTTTTTATTTATAATTTCAATAATTTACATGTGGGAGCATGTGCTCACGTGTTAATTAATGTTTATCGATTCACTGTAAAATCAGATAATTACACAGGAAAAACCGGTCAAGCTCTGATTATGTACCCAATTTGTGATTCCGACTGTTATTATGTAAATTTTTATTTTTTTAAATAGTACCGTTTTCAAATTTTAAAACATTATAAATAATACTCTACTACTAATATTGTGTAGGTCAGAGGTTCCGTTGAATCCCTCGTGGAACCCGGGGGTCCGCTGGACCACTTAGGGAATCACTGGTGTAGGTGTGTACAATTGGAGGAAATATCGGTGAACATTGGTACACAAAAAATACATCGCCGTCGAACATATACCCTCCTCCTTTTGGATTTTGAAGTTATGCTACGAGTGGTGGCTTACTTACTCTGCAAAGCCGCAACGTAACGAAAGCCGTGATTGATCGGCTAACAGATCATTCAGTTATTCATTTAAAGAGATGGTCAAGAATTCAGTTAATATTTGTTCGAAGCCTTAAATATCAGATTACAGGTACAGGTACTACCTACAAAAAGTCCAATCGAACAGTGTGTTTTTTATAAATCGCGTTTTTTTTGTTTTGTATTTTTATATGATTTAAGGCAGTAGTACTTACCTACCCAGATATACTACCTATATAGAGCAGTCACATTAGCATTTCACCTTTTAATGAGAGATTTAAGGACAAGGTCAAATATTACCTTGTTAAATTAATAAAAATAATACGTCCATGGAACCGGCTCGAAGGACCAACTCGAATAGAGTAAATTCGTACGTACTTTAAAAGAAAATACGGACTGCAACTATATTGGCGATATCAATTTGTATTTAAAAGATGCGTCGTCCTGCCGTTCGATTCTCGGTCGACGAAACAATATCTAGTACATTGTATTGTAAAAAATGATTTTTCCATTATATCAGGGGTTTAGGTGCTTTATATTCGTTGTCGGGTCTAGCTGTTACTTTTTGACGACGCTATGGAGATAGCGAATTACTTCGCACGCCGGTTTCAAGATGTCACTATCTCAGAGGTCTCGGGTTCTTTTCTATGTTGTCTCGAGTCTGGGCGTTTTTTGTGGTCCCTTCGTTGTCTCAGATACTCCATAAACGGGAGCTTTAGCCTCTTTTATATGATATTGTCTGATATTTATTTATATTGTATCAGATTTCCATGGTACAAATGCTTTAAGCTACTTAATTTTAATTGGTTAAATTCCCGGTCGAGTCAATGTAGGAAAGTTCATTTTTCTACATGAACTTAAAAGTGAATTAATATGCGTTGTCTTTGGTCTGGGTGTTACAATGGGGTGTTACAATTGTTGTTCCAGACTTCCGTTATAAAAGTAATTTTGGCTACTCAATTTTTGATCAGAGTGATGTTGTCTTATATAAATTTATAAGTAGTATAGTCATAGGGTAGGTAAATATAAATAAATAAGTAATAGGTAGCCGTTGCGCGCTCTCCGTTCTCTCAAAAAAGGATTGATTATGTTACCAATGTTAATGTGTAAAGTAAAATTTGTCGAAAAAGTTTTAACTCATTGAATTGACAGAAACCGAGATAACGATAGTTACCTTTGATCTTTAATACTTAATATAACTTACAATACAGATGTTTAATATAATGCAACTTAAAACACACGTTGAAGATGCCACAATAAAACTGTGTAGGTACTGTAACGTCCGTGTACATTACTATAGTTGGTTTACTCTTCAGACGGTTTATGGTCAACGCTGGCCGTAAATTTTTTTTTTTTAATTATTACTTATTCCGTTATTCGAATTCGCCTGTTTGTGTTTCGCTGGTAAACAATCTTCCCTTTCTGATCGAGACCGGCATAAATTGAGTATCATAGTATTTCGTTATAAGTGATTCGATGTATCTTTATTGAAAATAAATCAAGTCTATATATAATAAATCAAAAAAGAATTCTACCAGCTTTTCATTGCGCCACCCATCTCCACCATTAGAATTAGTTATCAGAGTACCTACGTCAATTGACTAGGCTAAAAATCTGCAATATAAAACAGTGTACAGTCAGTCAGCACGTCGTTTATGTACAGTCAGTCAGCACGTCGGGTTATAAAAATCTGTCAAACTTCGTTACTTTAAAAATAACTGGAGCAGTGGCGTAGCGTACCTTGGCGGGGCCACATATAAAAATTTGTTTGGGGGCCCTTAAGAACGTACAGATTTCTAACAAAAGGAAAATAAATGTTTGATTAAATGATTATTATTATAAACTGTCGGAATTTATAATCGTATGTTCATCGATTATTGAGAGATTACCCCGATGAAATAAATTATTTAAACGGAGAAATCCCGGAGTCCGCGAAATCCGATGTATGGTGTTGTCAATTTTGAAACGCATGCTTTACTTGTTTTTTTTTACTATTGTCATTTCTGAAATAAAAAGAAATTTGAGAAGTTTTTATTAATTTTTGCTTACGCACGTTGGGGGGCACCCCCCTCGCCCGGGGGCCCCATATAATTGATACGGCAGATACGGCGGTAGCTACGCCCCTGAAATAGAGAAATTGAACATATTGTGGTAACCTGGCGTGCAGCTGTGTGTACAATGAATATCTTCACTTGATTTAAACCATAACGATAGGTTAACGACAGCAATTATCAATGACAGAAAAGAATACGTCAAGTTGATATGGTCGACTTATTTTGGTCGGATAACGATTTAAACCGGATACTAAACAGATAGCATGCTAACTTGGGGCAAGTTTGATTTTTCTTTGATTCTAAATTGCTGCGTCAAATATACGAGGCAAGTTTGTAACAATGTCGCTGCAAAATGAAGTTTCAAGTTTGCGACAATATTGTTGACAAAGATACGTATGTATAACACACCCATCATCTTCATAGGTGCCCGAATAGTTCTAAGTCTGCAAACTAGATGGTGCTGTTCATTTAATGCATTGCGGTATCAGTTTATATAGTTAGATTGTATAAGTTATATGCCGACTAATGTGATCTTACGATTCCGCTCTCAGCTTTCGTTGCGCGCCCCCGTGCGCGTACACGACTCTCTCCTACCCAAACTGTGAGTACTCTCGTGCCGTCTGCACACCCCGAGCGCAAGCCCTGCTGATTTTGTTTTTCTCAAAACATTAAACCAGTAGGACTTGACTCACTCTCAAGTTCTTGAGTTGGTGGATACCTAACGGTGGCAACTAAGCCAACTGAGCGATCCCGGTGCGCTCGCTAAGGCCCTTCAGGCTTTAGCAACACCGAAGACCCGATCCCAGTGCACTTGGGCCTTGTCCCAAGGGTGAAGGTTTGCCGCTATATCCAATAGGGATAGCCGCATTTTTCCGCGTCGCGTTTTCCCCCCTCGCTCCGGCGCGGGGTAGGTCTTTTGCACACTCGCCCTATCTCCCTCTAACCTACCAAGGTAGGTGTGACGGAGAGAAGTGCGAGTGAAATACAACTACTCCTCTCTCTCTTTTGCATCTAACGGTTTGCATTGCCGATATGTCAGACATAATAAAGAAAAATAAACACTTATTCGACGAAATACGGCGAACAGTGTCCGATAGCGACTACCAAAGAATCATTGAATTGACTTTGGAGTCGGCTGCCGCTCAGGCATCGCCTGTCCCCCCAACTTCCGACATGGAGTGCGAAAGCACATCCATAAAGAGGACCGCTTCTCAGCGGTCCCCCTCCTGCCCCTCCGCTCCGTCGGACGACGACCTTCTCAGGACGTCTGATTCCGACGAATCCTCGGGCACATTTCATACGGTGAGAAGCCGCAAGAAGCGTCGTAAGCCACGCTCTCCTAGAGCAAGTGCGGACGCTTCCACGGAAAACGTCTCAACAAAGCCCCGCACATCGGACGGGGTGTCCTCGGTAAGCAATACCGCCGAGAAAACCTCCCTCGGCCCAAACCTTACCAGAGGCAACACCGGCAAAAAAGCCACCCGGGAGAATACTCCTAGTATTACTCCCTCCCACACCCCGCTGCGGCCGCATAATAAATGCACTCCGCAGCCGGGTAAACCCAAACCTCCGCCTCCCGTATTCATACGGGACAAATCAAGGTGGGCAGAGGTCTCGAATCTCTGCACACAAAATAAGATCAACTACACCCATGCCAAAAACATGGGTGTAGCTATCCGGGTGGAAACACCCACCAGTGAGGACTATAGAGCCCTCACTAGACTCCTAACCCACCACAAGGTGGGTTATCATACCTACGCTCTCCCAGAGGAGCGCAAAGTTCGTGCGGTCCTAAGAAATGTTCCGTACGAGCTCGCCACCGATCTGATCCAAAAGGATCTAAACGAACAGGGATTCCCTGTCGAATCCGTTCACAAAATGCATAGTAGAGCCGGCAGGCCTTTCCCACTGGCTCTACTCATCATTCCGAATGTCCCCAACGCTCGGGACATTTTTAAGACTAAAGACCTTAGGGTCTGCGGCCTTACCGGGGTTAAAGTAGAACCCCCTCACCGACGCGGTACTCCGGGACAGTGCCACCGATGCCAGCTTTATGGGCATGCGGCGGCTAACTGTTCCGCGACTCCGAGGTGCGTAAAGTGCCTCGAGTCACACCCTACAAAGGAGTGCTCTCGTACTCGAGACACTCTCACCCCTCCGGCTTGTGTACTGTGTGGCCAAAGCGGCCACACGGCCAACTACAAAGGTTGCCCACGAGCACCGAAGCCCAAACCCTCTTCAAAGAAGAAGGGTAAGGGTCCGGTGGTCAACAAAGCACCTAAAGCCCCCCCTCCGCCCACTGCGGCGAATTTTCCCGCCCTACCAAAGGCGAACCATTCCGCCCCCAAATCGGCTTCTAAACCGGTTTGGGGCCCCCAGACGAAACCTTCACCCAAGGCTTCCGTCACACCTCCCAAAACCGCTCCTGTTCTTTCATCTATGGCCGATGACATAAATCTAGTTCTCAACTTGATTCGTGGAATCGACCTAAATGAAATCACCACCCTAGCGGCTAAGCTCCGTCGCGCTTCGTCCACACAGGAACGCCTTCTGGCGCTGTGTGAACACGAAGCGCTACTAAGTGCTTTATCATAAGCACTAACATGTTAGGTCCCCCAAACCTTCCACACCCCATCATACTGACCCTTCAGGTCAACCCTCTCTGCCCTCTCGACCTGACATCCCTTCAGGATGCAGGCCACACAAATTGTTACGGGTATCAATTAGCACCCCTCTGGTGGTATGCGATGCTCCCCTCCCTGCCCTCCACACGCCGACCCTTCAGGTCACACCCCCGTCCGATCCGGCTGATCGTTCCCCTTCAGGGAGTCAGCTGTACGTACCTAAATCCGATGTGCCGAGCCCCCCACGGGGTTAACGGCTAACATCTCGACGTCACTATTCATGTAAGTGTTTAGGGACGTCTGCGCCGCCCCCCCCCTTGAGGGGGGGCGGTCGCTCCGATGAAGGTTCGTTGCCTCCGGGTATGTAACCAGTAGTCCAAGGCGGTGTTTAGTCAGTAAGAGTCTGACATAACCCTCACAGCCGGCTGTGTTGGTATCCAATGAAGGATTCACCGCCTCCTTCCTACGTTTATGGGAAGGTGGTTCCGAGCCCATAAGGTTGAGAACCCAAAAAAAAAAAAAAAAAAATGTGATCTTAATATGGGATTCGAAACTAACCGTTCCAGTTAATTACTTTGGCTCTTAGGCTAGGCTCTGTGCTGTGGTCTGAGTTTAAAGTCGCAATCGCTTTTGGATCAAAAGTTTTGAATGGTCAAAAGATTAATAAAAACTTAATAAACTTAAAGGAATATTTGCCTCGATCCTGTATTTCGAATCCCGAGTACCTGTAGTGTACCTGCTAGGTATTCGAGACATTTGCACTACCTTTGATACGTCAAAGATAGTGCAAGTTTGTCACACTGAAACTAGAAAGTTTGATTTAAACTTGCTGGATGTTGCAGTTGTCATAGCAAACTTGAAGCAAGTCTTCTTTTTTGATGTATCAAACTTGTTGCAAGTCAGAAACAAGTTTAAATTGCTATCTGGGATGTTTCATACCTACGAGCATTCCGCCAGCGAGCAAAGCGCATGGTCCTATATTAGATACATATAAACCTTTCTCTTGAATCACTTCAGTCTGTATTTTGATGAAAGAAAGCGAAATTTATAAAATACTGTTTGTTTCCGCAGTAATAAATCTATTTGAATGAAATTACGAAATAAAATAAATGTCACTTTTGAATTTGGCTTAAACGCTTTATACACTCAACAGCACGTCAAGTTATAACAAACTGTTAAATTTTTCCATTCGATTTTAAACTTTAATAACAGTAGAGGTCAAAAATCATTGCGGAAATTTGACATATTGTGTTGTAGTAACCCGAGTGCTGCCGTGAGTACGCGCGTGACGTTACCTATAATTGTTGGTTATCACGTCAGACTGTCAAAAATTACGGTATATATCCTGGCGAAGGAATATGCTGAAGGTTATCATTATAAAAGATAGAGTGAACATAAAAAAATATTATTATTAATACTATTCAGTTCAATAAAAGTAAAGTCACTGCATGTTGCAAACTTTAAATTGCAACGAATACAAATACATATGACCTCTACCCTCTATAAATTAGGGTTTAAAATCGAGAGCGGAAACTTAACAAATTTATATAGTCGACTGTATAGTTCTTCATCCATGCGACCGCATAGCTAATTTATACATGTTTTTGTATCCAGTTATTTTTATAGTTGGATACATCTAATTTGGTTCATTCGTTCTGGTAACACTATGATATCGAGTTTATGACGTCACATATCATGAGAAGCGCGAGATTCAGATCTTGTTCAAATCACGTGATTTTAATATTAATTGAAAATTGTAAAAATCGTATACCCTCGTTACGAATTTATTATCGTTACCAATTCGAACCCAATTCAACTATTGACAAACTATCACATAACTGCTCCTTTACTCCAAAACCCTATTGTCTTTGATTAGGCTATGATTTTGTTCAAATTATGATCAGTTCTTATTTGGCTTTTATAAGTTGAATAATGTCGGTTTATTTAATTAATGGTAAAACATAAAATAAAACAATATGTTCAAGTAGCACTAGAAATATAATAAATAAGCATAGAACAACAATAGTATGTCCAGCATGAAACGTGGCACAACACAAAAACTAACGAGTTACAAACATTTGTTAAAGAAATTACGTTACAAACGCAACATTTATGCTTATATTTCAATACAGAGTGCTTATTATAAGTGCTTATATCGTTCACGTTCACCTTTACTTGTGAGCTCGTTAAGATTTTAATACAGAAACTGGGCACAGCACCCCTGGCGGTAACTATCAAGAACTACAAATCTGTATACACACTCAACGTACTCACTAGTTATCGTGTCAACGTAAAACTACACTCACTGCTCAGGTAATATTCACATTCCATAATAGTCATAGGTATTTGCCTACCTAAATATCACAATTCTAAATATATTCATTATTACACATCAGTCATTTCGCAGTGTTACATCACACTCAACAAGACAATTATATTGCCATAAAAATAAGTGAAGTGCTAAACATCGTAACATCATATAATTTATATCACTAATACGTGTTAAAATCCAAACAACTTACTGCGATAGTCAAACAAACTGTGCGTCGATACGTAATGACACACTTTACAAAATTTTCATTATAAAATGCAAGAAGACTAGCAACACGGTCTTTGCGTATTAAATAGTACCTAATATGCGGTTTAACTATAATACTGATGTTTTTTCTTAACTAACCTATCACAATGAGTTGCTTAGATTTATTAAACTTTAAAAGTTTAACATTTAATTCTATTATAATAAAACTTACTCTCTACATATTTATATCAGTAACTCTTACGATATAAAAAAAACAAAACAAATGAAACAGGATTAGTATAAACATTTCATTTGAGAATCATATTCAGATTTTTCTTATATTCAAAAGAGTTACTACTATTTTGAATAAAGTTAAAAAAATTCAGAAAATCACTGGTTAATTGGTATTTATAATACCTTGATGATGATGCCACATCACTGTATAAAAAATGTAAAATACAAAAAATGGGTGTATATAAGTAACAAAGGTAAAAGCAGACCAGGCTCTTAAAATCTTACTTATCTTCTAATTATTAATACAAATAATTTTTAATTATTTATAAAGTGAAATTAATTAAGAATTATCTTCAAATCTATCTAATATTGCGGTTATATATTTTAACTGGTTTCCACAATTAAATTGGGTTGTTACTGTAATAATTAGCTAATATTTCTTTTCCGCTTAACATAACAAAGGCATAGGTTCCCCTATTAACATACAAGAAATTATCCAAAGAAAAGAGGGCACTTTTCTTTTAATAAACAAATATCATAGACCATATTTCTTAATTCTGGTTATAACCAGAATTGGGTGAGATATATCTCTATTTTTAGAGAAATTTAGACATCGAGTTTAACTGGCATTTATAAATTACTTATCACAATAAGAATCATGTGATATTAAAAGTGTACTTTTGTAATCTTTAATCAAAGTACATGGGCGGAATTTAACTACAACATTCTTGTAAAACGGTCCAAGTAAATTATAATAGTAGGCTGGTTGTCTACTATGTAGTTTCTTTCTTTTTAACAAAACTTTCACTTGCAAGTAAGTCACCCTAAAGGCTCATCAATTTATTTTACTTTGTTCCAAGTTTATAATATAAGGAAGCGCGAGAAAAATATTTTTTTTTATGCATGACAACATAAAACTTTGTGATTATAAAAATATGTAAACTCTTTTGATTAATCAATCTGCAGAAAAATTTGATTTTATAATCAGCTATAACTATATTAATTCAATACTACTTTACTTTTTAAACATACACATTTTAGAATTTATATTCTATTTGACAATTTTAAGAATGAAATGAAAAATTTATCAAGTTCCGTGTCAAGTTTAGATAGTATTTAAATTAAAGATTTACATACTTTTATATCTAATCATCTTTTGGATTGATCCTGATAGCTGCATCCACTTCTTCTTTGGGCTGGTCTTTATCACCCCATCCCCAAAGGTGATGGGAACCATCACCTGTACGATTCACCCTCTTCTGTACAATTTCATCAGAAACTGTTTTCATATCATACGCCCAGCCGATTTTTGCGAAAAAGTTAATAAAGTTTGTTGTGAAATTCAATCTATTATTTCCTAGTTCGGCGGTTTTGTAATCCCAGGGGAATGTATGGTGGTAGTTGTGGAAGCCTTCGCCAAGAGCAAAAATTGCAACAGAAAGATTTTCAGAAGGCTTAATGTTCTTGTCATAGGGTTTGTGACCCCATTTATGAGCAGCAGAATTGACAAGCCAGGTGACATTAAGAATGAATGCGTAACGGAACAGAGCAGCTACCAGAAATGCATTTATCCAAGTCTCACCCCAGAAATATACCGGTATCACTGTTGGCATAATGAAGCAACAGAGAGGCATCAAAATAAGGTAATACCTGGAATAAAACAAAACAACTGTTAAAAATATGTACTGTAAAAGGATACTTATTTAATCTTCAGCAAGTTCAACAGTTCAGAGTGATAATTAACAGTTAAGCCGCGAGAAGAAATATTTCGCGTCGACAAATAACATAGCGGCCACCTAGTAACGTGATTTGGTAAAAATAGAGAATTATGATATAAGTGAAAAGAAGTACGTGTTAGCAACGCGGCTGCCGCATGAAAGTTTTGACTCGTCTAAATCGCGCAGGTAACTCGCCTAGCATGCAACAACGGCAAGAATGTCTTCGCCTCGACTGTGCTAACGCAGATAGGTCAGTAATGCAACAAACAATAAACCGGATACGAACATCAATCAACTATTCATCAAATACAAATAATTCAACAAAAATTCTTAGTTTTTCATGAACATAAATGTTAGGAAAGGATATACTCTATTGATTTGTGGATACTAGACATGCCACTGTACTATGTCACTGTACTAATTTGATAGGTTTTCAATAGATCATTTTTAATTTTCGCGATGTAATTCGGCGAAACGAATATTTGGTAAATTCGTATTTGTTACAACACTACGGTGTTGTAGCCTAGTCAATCCTATTAATATTATAAATGTGAAAGTTTCTTTGTTTGGATGTTTCTCGGTCAATCACGCCACAACTACTGAACGGATTTTGATGCAATTTGGTATACAGATAGGGTATTAGCTGACTTAGATAATAGGATACTTTTTATCCCACTTAACATTTCCCTAGGGTCCATGCGGGCGAAGCCGCTGGCGAAAGCTAGTATAGAATAAATTTGCAATGAATGGCCCTATGTACTCAGCTCACACGACGTTTTCGCGCTAGTCAAATGCACCTATACTGTCATTTACATTAAGCATTGTTCTCACAAAATCATTTAAATTGTAAGCATTCAATAATAAGGTTATTTACATATAGTTTTTTTTAATGCTTACGACAATTTTCCATTACAGGCACTTGTGAATATTGAAAGACTGTTTGCAAAATATTGTGGGAGACATTTATTTTTTACTGGTCTCAGACTGCAATTCATTGCATGGACATCAAAATTTTAATTCTATTGAATCTCTTATACTAAAAAGTATACAACAATGCAGTTTATAAATTATCTTGTGTGCTTAATGTCTTAAATGCCTATCAAGTCATTTTCACATAGGGGAGTGAATAAAAAACATCCAAACATAAAAACATTCGCATTATTAGCATGAAAAAATTTCTTACTTTTTCTGGAAACAAAGTATTGGGTCTGCATATAGATCACTTAGATCTAGCCCCTTGCCCTTCTTCTTGAGTTCAGGATGTTTCCTAACAAGCAGCCAGCCAATGTGAGAGAAGAAAAAACCTCGGGTTGCATTGTGAGGATCGGCATCCGTTTCTGAATATTTGTGATGCATTCTATGATCACGTGACCAGTCTATTGCTGAGTCCTAAACCCAAATATTAAACAATTTAATATAATGCAATTTAATATAATGTTTTAATAACTTTATAGATGTGCATATTTGAAAATATATAACAACATTGTATTGAAATTTTTGCTTAGAAAGAACATTCCTATCAGTTTTATACATAATTAATATAAATAGTACATTGTTTCTGTCAATAATAAAAAAAAAACAAACAATTTCTATTATTCTATAGTTTCTATTCACAAATTGTTTCTATGTATGACTTTCCAACAATGAAAACATTTTCTTACCTGAAAAGCCAGGGTGTTAAAGAATACAAGAATAAGTCTTAGTGGCCATTTAGCCTTATAAGACTTATGTGCCCAAAGTCGGTGTGCTCCAGCAGTAATACCTAATCCTGACATCACATATAAAATGTAAGCTGCAACAAAAATAAAGTATTTCTAATTATTCCCCAATAAAAAGATCATCATAAGTATAAATTTATTTAGATATAAATCTACACAATGCATAAATAACTCTTTGCTCCTCTTATCTGCATCACATCGAAGGATCAAGTTTAAATACTTTAAAGTGTATTAGAGATTAAATAAGACCGTTTAACAGTGTAGCTCTACAAGCAATATAAATCCTATCATATTTATTATCAATGATGAATATACTGATATCCATAATTGTCAACAAATAGTACAGATGTGTAATCTATCATTCATGGAATTGTCAATTAAAAATAGTTTTTAATCCTACTGATTGCAACTGCTGATAGTGGTTTGATAAACTTACCAAATATATCTGTTTGCCATTTTGCAGAAAATAAGAATAGATATCCTCCATAGATCGCAGCGAGATGCAGGTATGCAAATGCTATAATGTTTCTCCATACAAATTTTTTGGGATAATTATCGGCTTTTTGTACAGGTAGATTTGGCAACGCCATGTCCGGAGTAGCAGCATCATCTTCGAATAATACTCCATTGACGTCTGTAGCGTTAGGAGCCATCTTTTGCTTTTGTAATCTGATAACAATGTTTTTCTCAATTAATAAAAGAGTAAGCACAAATAAAAATATTGTATCTATATAGCAAATAGTAGTTAACCACCTATTTTTGGAACACTTGCTTATTTCACTGTCAAAATCCATTTTCTTTGGTTTACTGCACAATTTAGGCGTTTTTATTTATACTTGTCTATATTGCTTCTATTCTCGATTTTAAATTTTATGCTTAAATCAACAATCGACCACCGAAAAAGTTATCCTTAGATTGACAACTTAAAAATGTCATGTCAAAAATGTAACCATTCATTTTACCTATGTCAAATGACACCAAAAAAAAAACAACGCCACAGACAAAACATAGCAAGCAGTACAGTCAATAGCGTAGCAAATTAAATAAAACTGACAATTCTCACAATCTGATTTTAAACCTTGATACAAAAAGTAGAGTTCTTTCTTAATTAACTGCTAGATTTGATACCTTAGGATAATAGATTGATATGCTACTGTCTGTACATACAGTGCTACCAGCATTACTTTATTGGACGATTACATCTATATTTAGTAAGAGCTAAAACAAGTTATATTATAAAGTTTTGAGAAAGGAGCCAAAAAAGCTCTTATTTTTTAATGAAAAGAAGCTTAATATAAAAAAATAGAAACAAAAATTCCCATCAGCATTAATATAATAAAAAGTTTACATTTTAATCATTCCTCGTTCGACTTTGGGAAAGTTATACATACCTATAATGATTGCTTATATACAAAGTTATATGATCTTCTGTGTGAGGAATACCTATAATGATATACTAAGATACCAAAATCGTAACTTAAAAATCGGTCACTACAAGAGTGTTGAATACTAAGATCTAATAGGTACTTGATCATAGTTAATAGTGAAAGCCTTCATGATATGCGATCTAGGTATACTCTTATTTACATAGTATTTTTATAATTTAATAGCCTCATTCTTTCACACATATTTTATTTTAGAAACTTCTACAAGTCTTCTCTAGTAGAGTAAAAGTTAAAATGTTTCTTATGTAATTAAACTTACCGGCGTGTACTACTTCAATGTCAATTCACAATTAGAAAATCATACTATTTGCACATTCACAACCGTGTTCACCAAATAACGCAAATGTAATGTTGTCAAATTTCCGATCGCGCACTTTTAATAAGAATTTGTTATTCGATAAAAGCTTAATCAATTACAGCGCTTTAGCCGGTGATAGCAGTAATCTCACGTGTTGAACTGTGACCGTCGATCAGTCGACATGAACATCGCGTGTGCGTAGCGGACTTAGAACGGCTGGTGCAACGGGAACTGGATTGGACGGTGTAGTGTGGCGCGATACTATGACCACGTCACCCAGCTCCGTCCGTCCACGCACAGATAATGTCCGCGCCCGCGGGCAAACGGCAGTCACGGCGCGCGGTGTGACATCGCGAGCGCGACTCAACAAAACACACGTGACCGCATTTTTCGTCAGTTTATTTTTATCGTGTTTAGCCTTCTCTATCACCTCCGCAATCTCAGACCGTAGTTTTAAAACCAATTAAATTATATGATATATATTACAATGTATATTCAACCACAAATGCCAACATTAATTTATATTATGAATTGCAACAAAACTGTACAGGTTGATCTGCACTTGACTGTACTAGTCTATCTAGAAAAATAATAAAGTTTTCGTATGTTCGGAAGAAAATATTTAAAACCAGACTCATAAACGGAGAGAAAGTTTGTCGTAATTATTTAATATATTCAAAATCGAAGGGTTCCATATTTTGTGGACCATGTCGTCTTTTCGAAAGTGAACATGGAGGTCAACTTACTTCTGAATTAGGTTTTTCTGATTGGAAACATGCTCACGAGAGACTTAAGGTTCATGAGTCTAGTTTGGGGCATAAAAACTGTTTGCTAAAAATGAAAAATCGGGGACAAGTAGAGACCCGGGTTGATTCTCAATTATATATACAATTAGAAGATGAAAAAAAGTATTGGCGTAACGTATTACTTCGAGTAGTTGTAGCTGTGAAACATCTAGCTACGCGTGGACTTCCTTTTCGTGGAAAGACAGATAAATTTGGATCCACAAATAATGGAAACTTTCTGATGATGTTGGAAGCTATTTCAGAGTTTGATCCATTTCTTGCCAAACATATTGAGCATTTTGGCAACCCAGGAAAGGGCAGCACCTCTTACTTATCATTTGCAACATATGAAAAAATTATTAAAATTATGGTTGACAAAGTTACCGAAACCATAATTGAGCAACTTCAAAAAGCCAAATACTTTTCTTTTAGTGTTGATTCTACTCCGGACATAACCCATGAAGATCAACTTTCTTTAATTGTGCGATTTGTTCAAGATAATGCAGAACCAGTTGAACGTTTCCTTTGCTTTCTGCCAAATACTGGTCACAAAGCAGAAGACATGTTGCAAGCCATTTTGAAGACTTTTGACAAACTGAATATCGATATTGCCAATTGTAGAGGTCAGTCTTATGATAATGCAAGCAACATGTCGGGGCAGTATAACGGCCTGCAGGCAAAGATTAAAGAAAAATGCCAATATGCAACATATATACCTTGCGCCGCACATTCCTTAAATTTGATCGGATCCTCAGCAGCTGAGTGTTGCCCAGAAGCTACAAAGTTTTTTGGAGTATTGCAAAATCTGTACGTATTTTTTACAGGATCAACGGAACGTACAAAAATATTGCAAACATTTTTAACGGAACCTGAAAATGTAACCGTTAAAAGTTTGTCACATACGCGGTGGTCGGCAAGAGATGATGCTTGCTCGAGCCTGAATAAAAATTGGGAACAAATAATTAAAGCTCTGGAAGCAATAAAAAGTAACTCTTCGCAACAAAAAGCCTCAATCAAAAATGAAGCTACAGGTTTATTGGCTCAACTGAATTCCTTAGAAACAGCGATATTATCGGAATTCTGGGGATCAGTCCTAAAACAATTTAATACCGTTTCTAAAGTTTTGCAAGGTGTGGACACAAACGTTGAGGTAGTCTCCAACCTTTACGATTCCCTGATTACTTTTGTGAAAAATCAACGCGAATTATTCGATGCATTTGAAAAAGCTGGAAAAGAAAAGTGTACTGAAGATTACAAAGATAGCCGGAAAAGGATAACAAAAAGAAAAAAACGAGACGATGAGCAACGCGAAGGAGAAGTAATTTTACAAGGACGGGACTATTTTAAAGTGAATACTTTTTTGCCAATATGCGACCAACTGTTGGGCGAGTTAAGGAGGCGTAAAACATCCTATGACGCTGTAACCGCCAAATTTGTATTTCTATCCAATTTAAGTACACTATCTGAGGCGGAAATTAAATTGAACGCATTATCACTCCAAAAGTCTTATCCTACTGATCTTGCGGATGATTTAAAGGATGAATGCATACTATTAAAGAATTTTTTGCCGTCTCAGGGACAAGAAACTAAAACAAGTTTACGCGAACTAAACTTATTAATTAATAAAAAGGATCTGAAAGTGGCGTTTCCTTACATTGAAATTGCGTTGCGCTTTGTACTGCAGTAACGAATTGTAGTGCAGAACGCTCATTTTCGGTACTCAAACGGATAAAAAACTATTTAAGATCGCGTCTTATCGAAGAACGGCTTAATAATTTGGCAATTTTGAACATCGAAGCCGATTTAACAAATAAAATTGATTATGACGATGTAATAAACGAATTTGTTAAAAATTTTGTCCACAGAAAAAAAATGTAAAATATAAAATCGATAATTTTTTTTTGTTTCCTTTCATTCCTTGATGGGGCGGAAAGCTACAGGAGCCCGGAGCGCGCAATCTTAAAATACGCCCCTGCTTATGTAGTACGATAATTAAATCAATAACATTTAGCGAAGCTTTGGTAGGTTAGACGTTTCGATCTCGGAGGTTTATGTTTAAAATGAAATGAATGGAACATTTACGGCCGGTTTCTGAATTGAGAAAAGCACAAAGTCTCAACTTATTCATATAACAAATAGTATTCATATAACAAAAAGTACATTTTTTATTAAATTGATATCAACTGATCATTAAAAAATTATAAATCACTAATGAAAACCTGTTTAATTGACGTTTAGCACGGTTTGAGACGTGCTCCACTTCAAATTCTCAATTCAGAAACCGGGCGTTAAATTCACAAGGATGATAATGATAATTAACAAAGTATACGAACTAGAATTTTTTTTATTTAAGCAATAATCAATTGTATGTGGTCTAACTCAGCACCTAGAAAGGCAAAGCATATACTACCAAAAGTTAACCATTAACATAAAGCATAGTCTTTATTTATCAACTCAGTCAGTGGTTACATTTATCTTAGAGTTCCTATTCTCTAAATATACCTACTAGATACATTTTTTTTTTCTTGTTATTTCTTGTAATTATTCTGTCATATTTGTAAACTGTATATAAATTGTGTATATGATGTGTGTTGTCAAATAAAAATCCTATTCTATTCAATACAATATTTGGGTTGTTTTTAGGAGGAAAAAACGAGACCCTTATAAGATTGCTTTGTTGTCAGTCTATCCGTCTGTTAAATACTGGGACTGTAGACCGTACCTTGAATACGTAAAAATAAAAATAAATATTACATTTTATGAAAAATAACTTTAAATTACGCCATGTTACGGAAATTTGTAGTTCTTGACAGTTAGCGCCTGGAGCGCTGGTCAGTTTCCGTACTAAAATTTTAACGCGCTACCTATCGAAGATGAACGTTAACATGAAAAAATTTAAATTAAACCCGCTGTGAGAGAATCTGACTTGTTCTCCGGTTTTTTATTCCTATATGACCATTTCTTAAACTCATACGATTGTATAGTTTGATCATAAACGCATTTGACTCCTAGAGTGATTCGTGCGAACTGAAAACAGTAGCTTATGGACAAAATTTGATGCTTTTTTTATGCATTTTAAATACTACATACTTTTAAACTAAGCAAACTTCAAGTTTCATATTAGATTTTAAGTCAGAACAGCTGTTTGTGTTGTATGAGTAAAATTCATCGATTGCGTTATATAATTCAATCATATTTAGTAGTTTTTCTATCACCATATGAGTTGACCAGTCAGTCTGTGAGATGAGTAAACCCACGGGGTCAACCGACGTGTTATTAGCGTGTAATACCACGTATTAAAGTCCAAAGTCTATGACATATTAATATAGATAACATAGTGAGTAATACTGCGGACATAGTATGAAATCATTTCAAAGAACAAAATATTTTTTTAGGGTAAAGTATTTTTAAGGTTCAAGTAATTAGAGCAAACATAGTCTATTTTGCGATGACATGACACACCCTCAAATACGAGCGCCCTAGCCAGTGCCTAGTTTGGCTATATGGACGGACCGACCCAGGATTAGCCACTGTATAAAACATATATTTATGATGCCTCCTTTTTCTCTGACGGTCAGTTGCACAAGGCGTCATTAAACGTTGATGGACGAGGTTTAATGACGCCTTAAGCTCTAATGAATGTCGACTTTGTATTTGTAATGTCGCTTTTTGACAATTTTAATGGACGTTTGTGCAATCGGCGACCAGAGAGCTAAAACAGGTGGGTCTTAATAAATGAAAGTTTAGTTAGGCCCATTCAACATGAACAACCACTGATCTAAATAATTAGTAGGTAATTGAATTACATTTCTTCAGTGATTAGGGTAAGTGACCGGGCTTGGACCACTGCTTCCCTTTGGCCATTTGGGACTTTCTTTCTAACTTACATATAGCTAAATATATTACTTTACCATATCTAGCAAATAACAGCAAAGCTTATATGAAATGAAATGAAAATGCCTTTATTCAAGTAATTTTTTTTCCCTACCACTCGTTCAGGACTTTTAGTTTAGTTGACAAGAAGAACAAGCGAAAGAACCTTACCAGCTCTTTATCATTAGTAATAGACATTTACATAAATCATGTCATTACTATAATAGTACGAATTATAATATATAGGTTTATAGGGCATAAAACGCGATGCCCTTTTTGGCCACTTGGAATTCGAAAGCGTTCTAACCAACGCAAAGACTAGGCTATATTACTTTAACGTGAACGGCTTTTAAAATGTTGTATTATAGCAAAACTAACAGCATTAATAGCTACGATGTATTAAAGTTAACTTCTTAGTAACTCTTAAAATGGTCAAAACTGGGTCATAATTCTAAAATGTTAAAATTTTGAAATTCTAAAACCGTATCGTCTGCCCTACCGTGCTAGCAGCGATGTGTTAAAGTTCACTTTTTTCTAACTTTTAATGTGACCAACATCGGCTCATCTACTATGCAGAGTACCCTCGCGTAGAGGATCCATGATCCGGTTCGGAGGGCACCGGACCCAGTCCCACAGGTGTGTGTTATCTACCTACGTAGTACTTTGTACATTTTTCGTACATAATGATATGTACGAAAAATGTACAAGGAATTATTAAATTTCAAATTTATTTATCATTTAGGAAAGTTTTTGTATGCAGCATCAAATGGGTAATTCCGCGGTAATCGAACTTTCGGTTTGAATCATTCGCCTAACCGTTTTTTCAAAAATAACAACTCTTGCTAAACTGATAATTATTAATTTTAAAATCTATATAGAATCTGATATCTCTGGTGTCGCCAATTATAAGAATATATCAATCAGATTTAATTATTTATGAAAAACGGTAATGACGGATGTATAACACCGGAAGTTCGATTTCGCGGAATCACCGAATAAAGCGGTACGAAAGTCATTTAACTTAAAGACCTTATCTTAATGGAACACGATCGCACTGTCTCGCATTGCGTGGACATATCGCCCTCTGCCCTGACGCAACTACGTACCCCGGATTTAAGGCAGACTTTGCTGGAGGGTTCAAACATACCAGCTCATAATAGAGGTAACGACATTTACATAAACTATCTATTTAAGCTGTCGCTTATACCTACGAAGAATTTATATGTTGGATTTCGATGTGAAAAATATAGTAGATATTTATGCGCATTATATATCTCACAGTTGTAGTAGGTAGGCCTAAGATAGTATGATGCTATATATCTAAGGAGTACGGTTGGCAACCCTTGAAGCTTTCTGAGAGCTGATTCTCTCTCTCGAGCTAGCGACTCGACGCTTTCAGTGGAGGAGTGTATTATAGATATGTTAACATACTTTACTATCAGAAATCATATTAAACAAATAAAATCATCTATAAATTTTCATAATCACAGAATACACAGAATACATACAGAAAACTAACTACCTAATTTTGGTAAAATTAAAAACGCAATGCTACTATAAAAAGTATATATCCATAGAACAAAATCCACGAGGCTCAATTCTACTAATGTTTATGTAATTATGGCGTGTCATTGGCATTTTTATAGCAGCTTTTTTAATACAGTTCTTGTTACAAGATACACAAGAATCTGTATTCTTCAGCAAGATAATATTTTCACACATCACATAGATATGGTAGCGGGAAAATACAATTTATTGAAAAATGGGCGTATCAACAAAACAAAACATGAAGCTGAAATATGAATTACCTAACAAAATTAAATATATTTTAAAACAAAATATCTAACATTTAGCTTTTATTTGCCAAATTTTTCTCAGGTATATAAACAAAGGTCATTAGATAATAGTATAAATTAATCAAAACATTTCCATTGATATACAGATAAACACAATAAAAACGATTAAATTAGAACATGTGACATGTATTCTCGTCACCGATAATTGTTTGTGATTATGAATGTGATGTATTATTTATTTTAAATTGGTAAGCTATTATAGTAAATCGTTCGCTTATCTTTGAGGTACACCTTCAAATCATATATCATAATTATGATTACAGTGATAATAATTGTATAAAAATATACCCTTTGAACAGTTTTGTTCCAACTCAGGTGATACCTACTTGGACCCGGTAGGCTCCTTGCCGATCACGGGTCCTTCCCTCCCCGGAGGATACTCACAGATGGTTTTACCAGGTAGGCTGGTCTCGGTTAAACCTGCCCTTTTCAGGACGTGTGCGTGGTCGAAGAACCTTGGTTTAAGGCCTAAGGTTTCATTTCCCCTGCGTTAAGAAAGGTGATACCTACTTAATTAAAATCCGTGATTAGATCAAAAGGAACAAGATAATTAAATCACGCGACTCCGGCATGCGTTCAATAATTAGATAATCTGTATAAATATAATTATCTATATACGTAATGATAAAAGAAAATAATTATCATTTGCAAATATTTTTATTTACAGTTTACCAAAACATACGTTTTATGTTGGAATAAGATGGAAACTCGTAGTCAGTCATTTTGACGTAAATGTATGGGCTTAGGAGAGATGCGTATTTACACTGAGCGAAACTAACCATGTATACTGCTCTACCCATTATTTATCTATGTCATAATCATTGACACAAATAGTACAGGAAACAGTTCCGTCTGTTGAATAGTATTTATGCCCGCCACAGAGATTATGTATTTAGGAAGTAGGTACATAGTATAAAAATACTAGCACCAGTCGATACACCCTGCCCTTATTACCTACACGAATATGTAGAGTCTACGATTATAGATTCTACATTGATAACGCCAATCGATATAGCACTATTTGTTTATTTTAATGAACAAATACCTATAAATACATATTATAACTGTCTGTACAGTAGGTACATAATAATACTTACAGAACTCTTGGCTTTTAAGCATAATATATTCGACTCTTCAGTTGACTGGTAGAGAATGCCTTATGGCATTAAATCCGCCATTTGTACATTTATTTGTGCAATAAAGCTTAAGTAAATAAATAATATTCTGAAAATACTCTTTGCCACTTTGGAAATAGCGCGTCAAACATGTACGACTCAATCTTTATGTAATTTAATATACTTTTTCATTCTTCGATATATATTTTTATTCTGTTTTTTTTTTCCATTATCGGAATCATCTATTCTCTATGGTCGAAATTCTCTATGATTTAAATAAGGCCTAATACGCGGGGACTGTGTGTATCCGTGGATGTAAACGGCTACAGATGAACCTTGGACCGACGGTTTAACATGCCTTTCAGAGCACGGAAGATCTCGATATATTGGTCACCCATCCTCTCACTGGCGAAAGTTAATTAACCAGCGCATCGAAAACCCGACCGCGCTAACCTTGCACTATCGAGTTACCCCGCTTCATAACTATCAATAATAAAATGAAAAACTAATTTTGTAAACATCCAATATTTATATTTACAGTTACTACATAAAAAGATGACAAACTTATATAGTTATTCACTGTCATTGGATATCAAAACGGAGGGCCACTTAGTAGTAACTTGAGGTAGCAGAGCAGACGGGCACAGTAGCAGTTCGTGTATAGAACTTAATGTGTAGCTTCCCAAACAGTTGAGCACCCACTCGTAGTTCACTGGAACTATTCCTAACTCCAACGCGAGGTCTGTAACAATAGACCTGGATATTACAGAGAGTTCGTCGCAATAAAAAAAATAAGCGTATTTTAAAGCATTAATGATTTATCATCGAGATTTCAAAAAACAGTAGAATCGACTTCAAACTTAAAAAAAGTGATAAACTTATTGAAACTTCGTTTGTGAAATAAATATTATTTATAACTTTTTTAAATTTGAAGTCAGTTCAATTTCGAAATATATAAATTTCATGCTTTTTAGTGATATTGATATGTTCTTTAGTTAATAGGTAATACTAAAATATACATATAAACAAAACAAGATAGTAAAGGTTTAGAAAAGGAGATTTCTAATAAAGAGGTAAGATTTAATTGCTTGTTTGTTTTGAATTGGATAAGCTACAAAACTTATTAAAAAAATTGGATTTATAAGTATTTCATCTAAGGGAAGCTTTCAAGAAGTTTGTATATGGAAAATGCCTCCTTTCAGATTTTGGATGAAATCAATCAAAATACGCAATCTTTTATTTTTTTAATGTTAGAATTTTATTAAAAACTAATAATGACATCTTAAGTTGGACAATAAAAAGTATCATTTAAAAAAAAATTTAGTCTGGGTAATTTTTGTAATTCTCATTTATTAATTGGTTTGTCTTTGTTTACTAGTTATCTTGGAAAATGTTTGATAGCAGCATCCAAGAAATAAGATCTCACTTCACTACTACGCTATAGCTCATTTCGCCAGAGCGACTATTAAATAATTTTATATGGAAGGCGCCTGACACGTTTTAACTTCACAAAAGATAAACTCAATAAGCAAATATGCCGTAGCTGCGTTTGTATGCATAGAAGAGATCGCTAAAGAAAAGTGGACCTATTACTTAGTTAAATCAATTCGATTAATTTATTTAAAACACAAACATTGTCAAAAATTCTTTAAACATTACCTTAAGGCACGAATACTACTTCTAAACGAGAGTAATTAAAATATTAACAGACTAATAAGTCTACATTTTTAATATTCCAAAAACTTTCAGTGTTATCCACCACACAATAATACCACCACACAAATATATATAAAAATAATATCGAAAGTCCGAAATGATATGATATGTGCCGATAATACTCACACATAAATCTATCCTCTTGAGTGTTTTCTGGTTCAGCAAGTAACAATGCAGGTGAATCGCTGGTAGCTTTCACAGCTTTTGCTTCATCCACCACTCGACCGCCAGATGCTGCTAACATTTCCTACAAAATAAATTAATATGTATAATAAAGTACTACAGCAAAATTTGCCTGCGCAAGCTGAAGATGGAACACGAGTACAATAATTTTCGAAAGTTCTTAGGACTTTAGTTCAAAGGACTTTAGTATATTAAGTTACGATCGCACTCATAGTACAACTCTCGACTACCGTGTATTAGGTTCGGGAAAGTCTTTTCGCATATAGTATACATCATCTTGTAGTAAAATCTTTCTTGCTGTACCATTTGTATCTGGCTGGTTTGGTATAATAAAAAAGTTTAATTTTTAAGCTTTTTCAGTCCGGACATTTTGATGTCAAGTCGCTGCGGTCGCCCTGTTAAGGATAAAATGGATGCCATTTTTATACGGAACATCAGTAGTTACGACGTATCTGAAGAACTGGGGATTGACCACAAAGCAGTTTTGGCAGATTTGAAAATAATAATAGAGCATTTACTTTGTCAACACACAACACAGCAGAGTATAAAACAAACAAGACAATTAACAGTTAAGTTACATAAAAAAATATTAAAGTGTTATGCTGTCTGCCATCAAAACTGGTCTCAAACTATTCTGCTGAAGTCAGTAGTGACAACACAGACCTACTATGTTCGACAAAGAAAAGCTGGGTATACAAAAAAGTTGGATATATGGGTAGCTTAAGAGCTCACTGAAAGAAACCTAATAAACCGTGTACTTATTTGTGATTCTTTATTATGGCGTAATGAAACCGAACCATTTTTGAAGAAGCTGATAACTGGTGATGAATAGTGGATCACGTACGATATGAACGTGCGAAAAAAGGTCGTGGTCAAAGATCGGTCAGGCTTCGCAGATTGTGGCAAAACCCGGTTTAACTCGCAACAAGGTGATGTTGTGTGTATGTTGGGATTAGAAGGACTATGTTTATTATGAGCTGTTACCGCCAGGCAGACAAGGGAGTTGAGAGAAAGCGGCCAGATTTAATCAAAAAGTGTGTGGTTTTTCATCATTATAACGCTAGACCCATCTTTTGCCACTCAGCAAAAATTAAGAGTTTGGTTGGGAAGTGTTAATACATTTGCCGTATATTCCTGACCTTGCACCTTCAGATTTCCATATGTATCGGTCTCTTCAGAATTCTTTATTATAAATAATTAGAACAAATTTCTTTCTTTATAGAAAGTTTAAATATTTGTAAAAATATTTCTTTCGGCTGTTTGGGTGGGTTGCCTGAACATTGATGAAAATACGCTCTGTTGTAGCGAAAAAGTAACAAGTGCTTAAAAAATTCGACAGTGCTGTTAGGTCTTGGATAGCTTAGTGTTTAAAGCAGTTACAAAGCTGATTATTTAAGCATTTTTCATTAAGAACAGTCCACATTACTTTAATTTTAAAAATGAATACAGGGCTTCATTTTCGCTATAATTTCACATCCTGGTAACGTCGGTACAATACAAAGTACGAAAAATCGTAACAAATAATTAAGGTACATACTTGTTAATAGTTTAAAATAAGCGAAAAACTTATTCTTAACATAAAAAAGGAAAGTTAACTGCTCAGAGACTCGCCGCATTTCACGATTTGTACAATATCAGATTTTTGGGGATAATGAGCTCCGAAAAAGAGTTTCGTAATGATTGAAAGTAAAATTGTTACTAAATTATTACTAGTTATTTCATAAGAAAATATTCAGACGTTCATTTAATGCAGTGATTCCCTAAGTGGTCCAGGACCCCCAGGGTTTCACAAGGGATTCAACGGGGGTCTACGAAACTCACCCCCGACGCCAATTTCCATTGTTAGATCTTCACATTTTGGTCGAATTTTGGGAATATGGTAAAAACGTAGCAGCAGGGGGTCCACCGAAACCAGTCATTTTATTAAAATGGTCTACGATAAAAAAATTGTTTGGGAACCTCTGATTTAATGGAACAAACATATTCAGTAATCGTCAGAAATTTGTACCGTGCTGCCGCCAACAAGTGTTACAGCGCCTGAACTCCGCACTGGGTACTGACTGATATAATCTTAGTAATTCAACATATTAAAAATCAAGCTTTCGAAAGATTTTTGTTACTAGCTGATATCAAAATAGGTATTGTTTAAAACTGCTAAAAATATTGGAGAAAGCAGTACTAACCTTCAAAGTATTGATATCCAAAACGCTGAAAGGCGGCATACAGAAGAAAGTGATTCCTTGGAATAACTTCTTTTTGGCCAAACGTGAACGTTTCGGACCCGGTTCGCCAGTGCCATCCAACGCTTCAAATTGGTTCTGTTATACATATAATAATATATATAATGTTTTCATTAATTACAAAATCAAACACAACCAAGTATGTAAATTACACTGTTTTAATTGTACACTATAAACAAGGTCGTAGTGAATTCGCCCTTTTACAGAGTTTCGTTGCGGCGAAATTAGAAAAAAAAAAAACAATCGCCAAATTGGATATAAAGTTTTAAAGATTTTGACTCATAAAAATTATAGATATGACCCAAAAAGTTTTTGAAACGATCTCTATAGATTTTCATTAAAAATCACCCCAACCATCTTTGTCCAACGAGATTTTTCTATACATTTTTGTTTATGACTCAATTTATACTGATTCGAGCTATGCACTCCCTATATTCTAATTCGGACCTTACAACCTGGATCTTAAGTATATAATGCTCACCTCTGCCACAATAAGATTAGTCTTTAGGCAGTTTTCCACCCACTCATATGCTACAATCCATTTTGATGCTGCCAGAGCGCACATATATTTTACAGATCTGCAAGCGATAGTTATACAGTCAACAACTTATTGATTTAAACAAAACTGTTTAAATTCTTCAATTGATTTTAAACTTTAATACACTGTAGGTGAAGTTCAAATTAGAGTACGCAAATTTGACACGATTTCAATTATACCAAAATATCATATTTCTCCACTTGATGTTAAACATTAACATGTTGAGGGTACAGTTCTAAATCAATTGCGGGATATATTGTATTAACATGCCGTGTGGCCGTGTGTACATAAATATTAGAATTAATGTATGTATAGGTTATAGGTGTAAAGCAGAATCATTAAATGGGATGGGATATTATAAAGTTTCTCCCCCAGTTTGGAAAAAAATCTTAGATTTGATGCTGAACGTAAGCCAGACCTTGAGACGTGACTCAGATGGTAAGAGAGAGATCATGTTAAATATCTGTATTGTTCTACTCGCGCATGCGCAATGGGGCATCATACTCTGATTAAAAAAGCAATTATTTTAATTTAAATAAGCCACAACAAAAATATTTCGGAAATATAAACACGTTTTCTTGCCTTAAAATTAAATCAAAATGTTTATTTTTGAATACCCGCGAGAACACTATCTGCGATACTCATTGCGTCACGTAAATTTTAGTTTTTCTGCAAATTCGTAACATGTTTTTCTCTACAGAAAATACCCTATTAATGCGTATAATGTAACGAAGTTTATAGCTCCCCCTTACTGTGTAAGTAGAAAGAAACAGATATTATATCGCGATCTTTCCTCTTTTTTAAACAAAACATAGTGTTAGGAACATGAGAAGGCTTATTTACAACACTTTATGCAAGTTGTTCAATTCCATTAGAAAGGAAAGCAATTTTTGTTAGGGCCAGCCAGAATGATGAACCAAAATTTCATTATGAATTTTTAATGAGATGAAATCAATTTATTGTTGGAAGTAACTCATTAACACCCACCAACCCACTCTCACCCAACATGATATATAAATAATTATTATAACATAAATAATATACCTTTGTGATTTATTTTCTTCATCTACACCCACCACTAAATGAGTTAGTTCCTTTGAATACTTGTCGATATATTTCCAATTATGTTTGCGACATAACAATTTAACATTATTCAATTCAGCAGTAGACAAACATGAACCAGCTATGCAGTATTTCAAATCGTTTACTCTAGTATTTTTTGTCAAAAGAGGTTTTTTTACTGGTGACTTTTGAGTTTCTTCAAAAGCTTTACACATGAATTCTTTTTCTTGTGTAGTTTTAGCTATCACTGAACTAGGACACAAAGTTTGTTCAGGGTCATCATCATCTACAATATTTTCACTATCAAAATTGAGCGATTTCCTTGCAACTGGTGTGGATTTATGTTTTATGTGATCAACAAATCTGTTTATAGTAAGCGGAGTCTCCAGGGCTTGCTTCTTTTTGTCAAAGTCTATGATTGTCACATCTTTGTTACTTTTAGTTGTATCTTCTATCGAGTCTGACACATTAATAATAGTTTTAATTGCATCGCTGTTATCATTCGTGATACCTTTTTCTGAACTTGGCATGTTTATTTCATTATTGCCTTTAGGTTTGGCGAATGGGATGTTTCTGTAAAAAATACAATCTAGAAAGATCTTATATATAATATAATAAATCTAGTGCAGAGCCTTAAAATAAAAATTAAGTTGTATCCATACTTTTGTGGTGTTTCTTCCACAACACTTCTATCAGAGTCATCTTGTTCCTGATAGGGCGTGCAATTATCTTTGTTTCCAATCTCCCTATTAGGTATTAAATTTTCTTCATGTGTGGCAACTAAATCTTGACACATTCTTGGAGTTAATAAATTATCAATATGACGTTGTGTAGAACCATCCTGTAAGATAAACATATTACGAGTTTTAAGACTTGGATTTAGAAGTCTGAGCAGTTCCTAAAACAAACATTCATACTAGAAAAGTTTGTCACATATATTTTATTTATTATTATTTTGTTTAATTTCGCCATTAGTTTAAATGTTTGCATGAAGTCTAAAATGTGGACATTTTACTTTCTATGAGCTCAAATTACAATAGACAAAGCCAAATAATTTTGGATATAAGTATAGTGAGTTACAATTGTTGACATATTGCTACGCATCATACTACCACAATGTTAAATTTCCTCAATTTATTTATGAACTTTACTCACAATGCATTAAGGCTTAAAATCAAGTGACAGTTTTAGTCAGACATGCATTTTAATCTGTGATTAAAGTGTCATTCCATTAATACACAGAAGAATGAAAAAATACTTACTTCATTTATTGCTTTATTAATCAAATCATGAGAATCCACATCTTTTTCCACAATAGAAAAAACATTTTCACTGAATTTTTCATCAGCATATCCTTTTGCTTGAGATTCATTTGCAGAAGCAACTATGTTTTTATTTTCTGAAATTTCTGGAGCATCTTTTGATAACAACATATCTTGCTTTTTGATGCCATCTCCACTTGTTTGTATATCAGCATCAATGCTTGCAAACACTTGATCCATCACAACATCATAATTAAGGGAATCATTTTCAACGATTTTGTTTTTATTATTTTCATCTATGATAAGATCAGGTAAATTTTCATCTGTACATTTTTCTGTTGTTAACTTGAACTTTTTAGGATTTGGCGTTTCATCTTCATCCATTTCTCTATCTCTTTTATCAGGATGATTTGTATGTTTGGTACTTTTTACAGTGGGCATTAATATATCAGAGGGCGCATGTTTAGAATTTTTAAGTTGATCCACAATCGGGACACTATTTGAGTCACAATCAAAAATTTCAAGATCATCTGTGATTTGTGTTTCATTCAAAGCATGTTTATTATTATTCTCAATTGCAATCTTGTTAACGTGTTTAGTAACAGAACTCAATTGTAATGTATTCTTGGAACAGAATTCTTCATTTTTATAAGATAACCTGTTAACTTTAATGATTTCATCACACTCCATTATCTTAGAAAGCTCTTTTTCGACACTTTCTGTTATTTCAAATTGAGCTGTAGCAGTTTCAGCTGATGCTGTATTTTTTTTGGTAGAGAGGGATTTATGTACTAGTTCATGAGTAGTATGAATTTTAGCATTGTTACTTTGTAATTTGATAGTAGACACGTCATTGTCATTTTTCAAGTTTTTTTCTGTCTTTTGTTGATTATCATTTTGTGATTTAGTAAATTTATTATTTATATTGACAAGACAATTTTCCCCAAGCGATGTTTGTACTTCTCTGTCGGTATTTACTTTTAACTGAACATCATTTGTTTTCTTTTTGATGACAATATTTGTTAATGTATTGCCTATTTTTATAGTGATTTCTATGTCATCTGAATTTTCATTATCATTATTGATTCCATCATCAATGTTGACAGTTTGTGCATTTGTTCTTTCATCAAGTTTGGGACATAGATTACCTTTTTTTATAAAACTCATTTTTGTGGATTTGTTGTTCAGATTGTCATCAATATTTTCCAAAGATGTTTTTGGTGTACATCTTATTAAAGCTTTATTAATATTACCTTCTGATATAAGACTATCATTTTTACTGCTTGATGATGGTGGATTAATTTCCTTGTGTAAAATAGTGTCTTTGGAAATGTTATGTTCAATTTCATGAGCAACTTTCATTGATGGATTATTTTTAGGAATTTCAGACAGACATTTTTGCTCTTTATCTTTTGGTTTCTCTTTAATACCAATATCAATGGGTGTGTTGTCTTCAATTGTATACTCAAGTGGAAGACATGCTGTTTCTGTATTTTTTTCCGGTTCAATGTCAGTTTTACTGATAGCACTTTGAGCTTTTTTACACATTTCTATAGATACATTTAATTTGTTTCTATTCTGTTTGTTCAGCTTACTAAATTCTTTTCTCATTCTTTTTACGTTATTCCAATTTTGTTTATTTTTATTTGATTTCTGATCAGTATCTGCACTATAATTTTTAGAGTTCAACTTTTCTAAAGATTCATCTTTAATAGTTGGCTCAGTTTGATTTAGATCTCTTTTTCTTGAACTTCTACGGGGGTTATCTAATGAATACTCATTCTCGTCAATTAAAGACAAAATATTTTTATTTTTAGAATCCATATTTTCTTTATTGATAGATCTTTCATCTATATCTGGCAGCTGTTCTATTTTATCCCAATCATCTTGAACTTGTTGAATATAAACAACTTTACTTGGACTTATACTTTTTTTTGTGTTGTTGTGTATCTGAATTTTACTTGATGAAATCTCTATAGGATTATTTACCTCTTGAGAAAGTGTTTCTGAATTTATCAATGGTGCTGAGAAGTGATTTTGAGAGCTAGCTAACCAGTCTTTAACATTTTTTGTATTGTTATCTAAAGATTCTACCTCTGGGATTGAAACATCCAAGGCAAATTCATCTACTGAAAAATTAAAATGTATATTCTTAATCATAGGAGAATATTAATTTATTAAAATGAAACTATCATATTAAACAACTTACATTTGATGTTAAAAAGTTTTTCAAGTGCTTCGCCAAGGGCATGAATATGCTCTGTACGAGTCTGCATCGGTATGTTCAGTTTTAATAAACGTTTTTCTAGTGGTGCTGCACAAGATGGACATGAGCGCCTTCCACGCCAACAGGTGTGACATAATGTATGACCACAAGCAGCAGTTTCAGGTGCAATATAATACTTGCAACTGAAAAAGTTATATTAAAATAAAATTATTTTGTGTTGTACACAACTTTTAAAATAAAAGTCAATTTGAAGCATCACAGATGTCTTGTTTTAAATAATTTAATGTTTAAGGACTTAATAAAAGCCTACTATATTTTAAACCAGGCTAAGAAGTGTCTTTTGAATTAAAATTAAAAACAGTTTTACTTCGCAAGATAAAACACATAAAATTTTAAATCATATTATTTGGGTATAACTTAATTTCAAACTTTCCTATTAGGAGAACAACATTATTCATACCATTCTAAGCATGTAACATTATCTACTTGCTGAGATGTTAATTTTGTCAGTAGAACTACATCTAAGTCTCTTAGATTCATCTTTAATGGAATCAATCTTTCTCATCACCGTACTCGACGAATTTAAGTCTTGAAGATTAAAACTACAATCCAAACCCGGATCGCATTATTTGCAACTCTGAAAAAAAATGATTATAAATTGTAGTAGAGATTAAAAACTTAAAGTTACTATAAGTTATTAATAGACCTGTGAAAAAATCATAGGTTTAAACTTTAGATCAGCAAATTAAGCAAAAACGACGTTTTGCAAAGGAAGAAAACAAACAAACTCCCTACCTTGTCAACTTCATTGTCATTTCATTATCTCTGTCAAAATTTGGCGCCAATTAGAAATTGACGGCAATGAGGAGGCATTTAAAAAAGAAATTACAAAAAATTATGTCACTAGATGATTAATAATGGCTTATCTGCTCATTTCGCACAATTCTGCCAATGTCAAGTGAATGAATTAATTACATGTAAAATGAAAATGAAATCAATGTAAGATGCCGATGATCTAGATGGCAGCACAAATTGTAAGATCTAAATGTCAAATCAGAACCTAAACAAAAACCAGTTAATTAAGCATACTTTTCTAAGGGTATGTTCCGATATACACTGCGAGCACTGCGCAGTGGTCTTACTGCTGAAAAATCCGTGCCGTTATGGACTGCCAGTACACTGCTACAGTACCCTAGCGAAATTTATAACGTCATAAATTGCCGCCATATTTGTACTGTAAGCACTGGAGACTTCGAGGTAAGGTGCTCGCAGTGCTTTTGATCAATTGATCAGTCGAAACAGAATCAGAAAATGATAAGTTTCTAAATAAACAAAAAAAATACTTACGTTTATTTATAAGATGGATTTAATTGATAAATATTTTTTTTATACAATTTTCCAATTTTCTCTTGAAAAGAGGGAATCTTTATATTTATATTCACCTTGAATTAACAAATTTGAAAATGGTGCCAAAAAATAGGATTAACAGTATACTGGACTGCGTTCCGTTTTAAAAAGTCACCAGTATAACTAGCTATAAAGGAACGGGCTTCCAGTATACTAAATTGACGTCATACTGTTCAGTGGTCGCAGTGTATATCGGAACATACCCTAAATAAGTGCAAATGCGCTATTTTACTTAGAATAAAAGTATGCTAATGCTTATTGTACGTCCCGCCATCTATCAAGATATAACTACTAGCTTCAATAAATTTTTCTGTTTCGGCATTTTTTTTATTAGAGGGCCGAACTTTACATAAATTTACTATATTATACTATTACGCGTGACATCCATCTAGACTTTTTGCTACAACTTATTTGAGTTGGTTAATCCAAACGCTTTTTAAATGGAACTTAAAAAAACCATTACGCTTTTCGTTGTTGAAGTAAGTGCACGTTATGATGAATGATAATTAATTGCGTAAGTTGAATAGGGTATTTGACACTTTTCTGAAAACTATTTTAAATCGTTGTTTGTTACATTATAAACACACTGTCATAATATTTCATTGGAATCTTTTCTATTTTTGGTGAAAATAATAGTTAAAATTTAAATAGCTAAAATCGCGCGAAAAACGCTGCTCTATGTAATGGCGCTGATCGTGACGTCACAGGCCAGTAAATATGTCAAATCTATTGGAATAGTCTGTGGTATATTCTGTGGTTTACATTTGTCCTTGTAACTGTTTCCGCTTTCTCTTCCCTTTGTGATGGCGACTGCCACAGGTAACGTTATTAATAAATAAAGATAATATTCTCTGTATGCACGCATTTTATTTATTGCCAGTAAAATCAATAAGTAACAACTGTCATTGGAGTAAATTGAAATAATAATTTAGAAGAGAAATTGAAGTCATAGTGCGTATTTTTTACATTTTTTTTTTCTCTGCTCTGGTTTTCTTTAAAAAATGAGCTACAAGTGATGCGTAGTGCCACAATGTATTAATACTTCTATAAATAACAAACAAACTTCGAGTCTAGAAGAAAACAGATTCGCAAACACAATACTATAGTAGCTATATATGTAGAGTAGAGATGGGTGATAAAATTAGGTAAGGATTCGCTTAAAGTATTGAAACTTTTTTATTTCATATCGATACATTTCAAGGTTTTCTATTTGGTTTTTTTTCTTTGTCATACACATTTTACGACTTATTTATATTTCTTGACAGGGCTCGCACTGTCGACCTATAGATGGATGAGACATTAGTACGATAAAGAATGTTCTATTTTTTTTTATACATGCATGTAGTATGTCTGTTCACTAAATGCATGGCATTTGATAATTAGATATCCGATCCGTGATTTTTTAAATGAGTTTTTAATTTTGAGAACAGTATATATCATCAAAATCGACTTTGTAATTTTGAATTATTATATTAAAGTTCAAGAAATGACACAAACATGTAAGTAAGTCTTTTTTAAATTGCTGGCGTTTTCCCTATTTCTTGGATTTATTAAAAAGCTTAGTAAATGATTCTTTCTTTCTGTATTTCTTTTTGGCAGTTCTTATCAGTAGAAGCGGCAAAGTATTCTGTTATCAGTAAATTACTATAAAGTACTCGATACCTACAGGCATCGAAATTTTATGTATCTTTCTAACACTACTTTGACATGACAGCTGATGACGTCACAGGCCAGTAAACAGAATCGTGATTGGTTGTGACGACGACCAATTATAGGACGTTTTCGTCGTTGAATAAATTCCTAAAAATATTGCATTTTCTTTACGTTATTTTACTAAATCTAAATATGTTTTTTCTGCAGATGTTAAGAAATAAGCTTTATTAGATTATTATCTATCAGGATGACCACAAAATGCAACTTATTTTCGATAGTGTCAAATACCCTATTGTATACGTAAATAAATTACTACTTAAGTAATGACTTTTGTTTATTCGTAAATAAACAACTTAAATAAGTTTTGTTACGAGATGATGGTGTGTATATAAAAACATTCTAAATATTATTGAACTGCATTAGTTTTAAGATTGTGTAAATAAAATGTCGAGAAACGGTAATAGTATTGTGTGGGAATATTTCAATAGAAATCTGGAGGACACAATCACCGAGTGTAATTTATGTAAAAAAAAACTTTACTTGAAAAGTTCTATTACTAATTTAAAACAACATTTGAAATTAAAACATGTAAGTATATATAATGAGTTCCTATCAATTATTGATTAAAATAAAGTACAAAAAATTTGATGTTATCAATATTATGTTTACTTACAACATTTTCGTTTTATATGGTTTTGTAGCGCATTAGCTTTGAAAAAATATTTATTATTTTATATAACAACTAGCTTTCCGTCAGCGGCATCGCCCGCGTGGTCTAGTATTATATATACGAGGGTCAAACTGAAAGTTCTTAGAACTGGCCACTTATAAACAATATAATAAAAAAATAATTCTAAAATTTGAAAATATAACTCTTTGCCAATATTACTGAGTATATATTTCATTCATTTGTCATTTGTTTTACGATTTGGCGGCAAATTGAAAATTGTCTGTGTCACGTCATCATGAATTTAACACGAGAAAATTTTCGTGCAATGATTTTTTATGACTTTCGATGTCATTTAAGTCAACAAGAAAGTTATGATAGACTACGATTGGCCTTTCACGATGAAGCCCCATCTCGTGCGACTGTTTACAACTGGTTTAATGAGTTTAAACGTGGTCGCACTAATCTCACTGATGATTTACGTGAGGGACGGCCTTCTACGGCGACGACTGAAGATAACATCTGTGTTGTGCGGCGTATGATAGAGACTGACAAAAGAGTGACCTATCAACAGATTCGGACAAGCTTAGGCATCGGTATGAGTCAAGTGCACAAAATCCTCCACGAACATTTAGCGGTCAGGAAGCTTTGCGCCCGGTGGATACCTCATAATTTGACTGAGGCTCAAAAACTCCATCGTGTGGATTGGTGTCGTAAAATGATTGAAAGATTTAACGGAGGTGACTCAAATGCTGTGTTCGACATACTAACAGGTGACGAAAGCTGGATTTACTGTTATGATCCTAAAACCAAAAGACAATCTGCTCAGTGGGTGTTTCCTTTCGAGGAGTTGCCAACTAAAGTGAAGAGAGATCGAAGTGCGGGAAAAAAAATGGTGGCCTCGTTCTTTGGAAGGATAGGTCATTTTGCAACAATTGTGTTAGAGGATCAAAAAACAGTTTCTGCAGAATGGTACACTATCAATTGTTTGCCACTTGTCTTGGAAAAAGTTCGAGAGAAACGACCTCGCAGTAGGATCCTCCTTCACCACGACAACGCCTCGTCGCACACCGCCAAGCGAACGATCGACTATTTGGCGACATCAAACGTTGAATTACTGGGTCACCCGCCGTATAGCCCCGACCTCGCGCCTTGTGATTTTTATTTATTTCCAAAAATTAAAGAAAAACTTAAAGGAAAGCGGTTTATGAATGCTGAAGAAGCGGTGGCTGCGTATCGCGATGCCATTGAAGAGACCCCTAAGGACGAGTGGGCAAAGTGCTTTTCCCAGTGGTTCCATCGCATGCAGCGGTGTATTGACGTGAATGGACAATATTTTGAAAAGATATAATAAAACTAATAACTGGCTAATGTAATCAGTTTTTGATTTTCTAAGAACTTTCAGTTTGACCCTCGTAAAAGCCTTTCTTTTTAATCACTCTATCTACGAAAAAAAACCACATCAAAATCCGTTGCGTAGTTTTAAAGATTTAAGCATACATAGGCATATAGGGATAGAGAAAGCGACTTAGCGACTTTTATACTCCATTCATTATAACATTAGAAAAAAGAGGGTCATAGAAGCAGCAGTGCAGAACATTTTGTTTCCAAGATATATTTAAAAAATATATATTAGTTTTGTCGAAACTTTGAACGTTAGGTAGTCTGAAAGAGTTGGGCAATTTTCCATTATTTACGATACCTTGGGGTTGAGATGAGGCCAACATTTTATAAACTCATCTTTTACTCTCAAGCCAACATGGAACTAAAACAGAAACTATCTGTCTGTTGTTTTGATAAATTCTAATTGTAAGTGTAATTAGTTAGACTATCGATGAAGACATTGAAAAAACTTCCTGAAATGTCAAAGGTAGGTATGGGGGCTTAGAGCGTAATTTTTGTAGGCCACTCGGGCCTGCACCGGCATCGTCCATATTTAACAAAACTTAACAACAAAAATAAAACAATAACAAATTTATCACGGAAAACGGCAAAACAACAAGAAAGGCAGTAGCATTCAAAATCACAGAAATATATCTAGTTAGAAGGAAAAAGTGTACGTACT